CTAAACGAAAGCCCCCCCTCTTTTTTTAGCCACAAAAACCCAAAAATGAATTGTGGGGTCCAAAAGAGATACAAGACACCTATTTTAGTAAAGCAAATTTGACTGGCAGTTTTGCGAACGGCAAAAATCTAAATGCTGTTTGTCAATACCTTTGACTTATATTCCAAGTGAAAACAATTACTTAAATGTTTAATAAAAATAAATCAAAATTAAACTACATGGGGGATTATTCAGGGTATTCCAACTTAGTTGCACCAAAAGGGTATCTTACTATACCAAATTAATCCTTGATTCTTCAAAGTTGAGTTTAGCCATAATAAAATGGAGTATACAACAGCAATAGAATGTCATAAACAGTGCAGAATAAGTCTGTTCACATTTCAGGCGAAATTTATACTGTTGAGATAGTGTCAAGACATATTTAAGACTGTCAAGAATGTGTCGAGACATATTCAGACATTATTTAGAATGTCAAGAATATGTCGAGACATATTCAGACATTATTAAGAATGTCAAGAATATGTCAAGACAGATCGAGACAAATTTAAGACAGTCAAGAATTGGTCGAGACTAATCCAGACTCTTATCAGATAATACAGGAAGTGTCGAGAAATTTTAAGACAATGTTCATACTGTCAAGACACTTGTCAAGAAAAATCAAGAACCTTATTAGACAAATTCATACTATGTCAAGAATTTTTAAAAATTATTCAGACAAATTAAGAATGTCGAGTAAAAATTCATGCAAATTCAGACAAAAACTGGTCTTTTCAGACTTTTTGACTTTTGTAGTGATGTATATACAAGTTTTAATTTTATCAATTATTTTTCTCCATATATCTTCGTGAACGGCACACACTTAGTTTAACATTACATCTGATCCATTTGATTTTATCAAATTCAAATTTAAATCTTTTCCTTTCAGAAGCCCATAAAAGCAAGCCTTTTGTGAAGTCGTGACTTTTTCTAGAGCCCGAAGCTTGTTAATATAAGGGTAAAATCTTGAAGGAACTTTCTGTATATTTTTTGTTCTTATTAAATACCTCGGTGTCATCTGCAGATCTAATTAGATTTTATGAGCTAGACTGATTTTATGAGATCATGAAAAGGATCGTGAAATATCCGGGGTCGCTTATTTGTCATTGCCCAAATTATTGAAAGTGATCGAACAATTTTGTACTTAATAATGAACATTTGTTATGTAGTTGGTACAGAAAAGACTAGTTTTCCATGACTTTTCCGGTTCACATTTTGTTAAGGAATAATCTGTGGTAGGCTTTGACGGTTTTAATGCAATTTGGTCTGTTTTTTTTTTAAGTAAGACCATGCCGACTAGTCCGTTGTATCTTAAGAATGTTTCATCTGATATAAAAAATGTTTTTATAGACAGTAATTATATCTTTTAGAAGAAGATCATTGTCGATTTTATTTTAAAAAAAATGGTGGAACACTTTTGTAAAAAGACATTCTTTTTGGTAAACAAATTCACAAATTTTGAGAAATTACTTTTTGAGCTAGAATTTTAGTGAAAAATTATAATTGACGCTGGGAATTTCAAATTTGAGGCATGTAAAACTCGGGGGGAAAGTTGTTAGTAGTATCCTTTAACTTTACTTTCCGCTACATAGATGATGTTCTCTCACTAAATAATTCAAAATTTGGTGGCTATGTTGAAAGACCTATCTCACCGAACTGGAAATAAAGAATACAACAGATACAGTTAAGTCAGCCTCAAATCTTGACTTTCATCTAGAAGTTGACAATGAGGGTCGGTTGAAAACAAAACTTTATTACAAAAGAGATGATTTCAGCTTCCCAATTATGAACTTTCCATTTTTATGTAGCAACTTTCCAGCAGCGCCTGCATACGGAGTATATATATCCCAGTTGATACGATATGCCAGGGCTTGCTTTTCCTATCATGATTTCCTTGAAAAAGGGTTGCTGCTCATAGGGAAGCTTTTAAACCAAGAGTTCCAAGTGGTGAAGTTGAAATAATCCATTCCTAATTTTTACAGACGCCATCACGAGTTGGTTGACCGTTACGGAATATCAATATGTTCCTAATGTCATAACTACAATCCCGTCCGCTTTTCCCGAATGTGATCACCGAATTAGGCTTATTACCGGGTTTGTACTAACATGAGCAACACGGCGGGTGCCACATGTGGAGCAGGATCTTCTTACCCTTTCGGAGCACCAAAGATCACCCCCAGTTTTTGTTGGGGTTCGTGTTGCTCAGTCTTTAGTTTTATATGTTGTGTTTTGTGTACTATTGATTGTCTGTTGGTCTTTTTCATTTTTAGCCATGGCGTTGTCAGTTTATTTTCGATATATGAGTTTGAATGTCCCTTTGGTATCTTTCGCCTCTCTTGTAAAACTTTGGTTTTCTTATGTGCTAGGATTCCAACAACGATTTTTAATAAGGTAAATTATGGAATTTCAGATATAATCCTAGATTCATATTTTTTATTAAAAATAGTCCCCTCCACCCCCCCCCCCCCCCCAAAAAAAATTAAGTGCCTATAGATAGCAACACATAACAAACACTAATGGTTTACTTTTATAAATTTTGACTTGGATGGAGAGTTGTCTCATTGGCACTCATACCACATCTTCTTATATCTAAATCTATTTGAGTGTGAATTAATCAGTACACAGATTAATACAATTACACAAATGAAATTATAAATTGCCTAACAATGTAATTTTAACACACTATTTAGTATGTAAATATTAAAATGTTAACAATATTTACAATGCGATAAAAAATAAACGCAATATTTCGCTAGACAAAATAGCTTCATCGAGCTATAGAGAATGACTCCAATCTGAAAAAAGTAGAAGACCTAAAAACATCCGTGACAAACTAGTGACAGCTGTATTAACAAAGCAACCTACTCCACCTCCCGGTTGCTACAAACAATGTGGAAAAAGGAATTGCTATTGTTGTTAAGCTGCCAATACTAGCAGTTCTTTCATCAGCTCCTCTTCCAAAACAAAGTTATACCATCTACACAAATTCAAACTGTAAAACGGAGAACTCAATTTATGTATTAACATGTAACACCTGTTGAATTCAGTACGTGGGAAAAACAATGGAACGAATTTTATATTCGGCTAAACAACCATCGATAATGGTACAAAACCAACAAAAACTGTCCCCTCACAAGACGTCTTCGCTCAAAGAAACATTCTTTTGATAATGTTACTTTCCAAATCATAGAAGTGAACACTTAGTTGGACACCACGACGAGAAGGAGAAGAGAAAACTTTAAAATCCATCAGCTCCATACTTTAGAACCTGATGGGCTTAATGAAAAGACGAGAAAAGATACATGAAAGATAAATAATAATTAATTATACAGCATCGACCTTTATATATATCTCTGTAATATTTGCCAATGGACGTTGCAAACTTCAACCGCAAATTTCGTAATTAAATAGATAATCTTGAACTTCATCCAAACTTTAAATTATTTACAAGGCAGCAAAATTCATGTACAATGAGCTGCAAAAGTTTCTTACCTGCATCCGATTTCACCTAGATAGATGCAAGCTCGATGAAGCTAGTTTGTCTCGCGAAATATTCAGTTTATTTTTTATCGCATTGTAAATATTTTTTAACATTTTAATATTTACATACTAAATAGTGTGTTAAAATTAAATTGCTATAAAACAACTTAAGAAGAAACTTAACATTGAAAATTGCTAAATAATTTAGTCACTAGAACATGAACTAGGAGACATGGCCTCGAAATTGTCGATAAACACAACAAATGACCTCAAGTGCACTTGTCCTCATTTCCATAGACTGTTTAATAAAGAAGCATAAAGACTATGCTACTAGTTGGATTTATAATATTTTCAAATAAATTTCATAAATAACTTTGTATTCGGTTTTAATTGTTAAAATGTATCTGTTTATATGAATGATAACCCGCATTTCTTTTAAACCCATTTCAAAACAAATATTATACAGGATTAAATTTCAACTATCGAATGTGTGAACGTGTTTTTGATTGTCCAGAAAATATTTCAATGTGGTCATGTTTTATGAAAATTCAAACTCCTCGATGCTGAAGTACTGTCCAACTGTATTGCACTTAGTATATAAATAAATGAACTAAATATTAATCGTCTTCCCCGAAATCATGTTTCAATGAATGGTTGTCATATCGACCTGCGTCATTTCTATATTTATTTACCTGTTTGTCGATTTAAAAATAAAAAATGCTTAGAATGAAATTATGTCACAAATACTGCACATCCGATATCTATACACGGCTAATCGATAACATATTGATGTGAAATGGTTATATTGAACATGTATACCCCCCCCGGTTATTTGGGATATGTTGTTTTGTAAAATAGTTGATACATGTCATTGGGTTGGGGTTAGGTTGTTAGAAGGGTATGGATGGAGGTCATATTTCTGTATTCTTTATTTTTGTCACTCATTATTCTTTATCTTAAAAAAAAAACGGCTTTTCTGTAGTTACTTGATAATTGTATTCTGGACATTGTTCTTGTCTGTAATCAATATAATTTAAACAATTCTTTATTTTTTGCAGCTATTTTTTTTATATTCTAGCACCTCATTATTCTCTTTTCTTTATTTGTTTTGCCCATTGTTCTCTATTCTGTAAACCCCCAACCAAACCCTCTGTTAGGGTAAGTGTCACTGTTGACCTGCAAAGTAATTTGGCTATTTACTTAAGGTCATATAGTTCTTCGTTTTAAGATATTTACTTATCCTGCATAGCTTACAAAGGTCTAGGTTAGAGCGGTCCTGATGAAGGTAATTTCAGAAAGCTCTTCGGACGCACATTATTTTAATCATTCAGTGTATTTGAAATCCTGGTGCTAAATGCAAAATTCTTGAGAACAGATTATCAGTGTTTTGTACTTTTTCTTCGAATTGATGAATTTAAAGCTTGAATTTAACATTCAGAAATCGACATAAGCATAGTAATTGCTTTATTTTTAACAAGACTTACCTGTTGTTTTTTCCAAGGAGTCATATATGATCAACCTGTGTTTTTAATGTGTAGCGCTACACCTGACTGAGTTATCGACCGAGGTTAAAATATCTTTTAATGCTATTCAGTATTTTAGTCTGCAAAATAATCTCCCCTTTTCATTTGTTAATAGGTGTTTTTTTGTTTAACAGGATATCTATAACATGTGACAAAAAAAAACAAAAATGACAAATAATTTGATTGTATTCTTTGAGACATAAACGTATAGGAAATTTTAAAAATATGTATGAATATACAATGTATAATTCAATAACAGACAAACATAAAAAAAGAATTGATTGTATACTTTGGTTAGAGAAATACACGTACATATGTTTAAAAGATTTACAAATATGTATGGAATCGGATATCAAATGTATAATTTAAAAAACAAACTAATACGTCATTATTATACTTTATAACTTTGGTTATGGCTTCCGATTTATGGGGGACAGGAGGGGAAAGAATGTTGTTAGTTGAGAAGTCAAGCCCCTCCAACTGATTTGAATCGTTTTACACTTTGTCTTCACTTACTGTATTGGTTTCACTCATTTTTTAAAGAGGGTTTTATTTATTTTTGAAGTGGGGTTCACTCATTTTTGAAGGAGGGTTCACTCGTTTTTAAAGGGGGTTTGACTCATTTTTGAAGGAAGTACGTTGACCTGTAATTATGTTCATATCTTTGTATTCGATGTCTCATTAGTTACCATATCACATCTCCTTATTTTTATACTAGACAAAATTTCCTGTGACAAATCATTCGAAAAAAGAGAGACACCAGTGTTATTATTTTTAATTCTTTTCTTTTTTTTTTTTAGATATACTAAATTTTTTAACGAATCTGTTTTATTTCCTTTAAGTTTTTTTGTGATTAATGTTAATTATTAAATGTCTTTCTAAAAACAAATTTACTGTGATATCATAGGCGGATCCAGGGGGGTCTCTCCCCCGTTTTGTGGGAAAATTTGGTTGATTATATAGGGAATCACTGAAGAATGACTGGAGCGGGCCCCCTTTTAGACAGTCAGTGCCCCCCCCCCCCCTTTTATGAAAATTTCTGGATCTGCCACTGGATATAGTCATGAAGAGTTTTACATTAATTTCATTAATTAATGCGTTATGAATATGAACCATGTTGTGTACTGTCAACGTATATTTGTTCCACCTTACAGAAGTTCCACTGGAAACTTTGTTATAAAAAAAAGCCCACCTTACTTCTCAAACCTAAACACTAGTACATGACGTCATATATAAACCTGCAATTGAAGATTTTTTTTCGATGAATAACAAAACAACTTGAAACAAACGCATAGATAAAGCTGTAAATCTTTTCAATGTTAGATCCTCATTCTCTAACATCTGCAGCGTAATGTCTTATACTAACAATGGATTATATTTGCTTCTTCTGCAGATAAAGAAAGGCCCTTATAATAGGTTGACAAGAGTGTAACATCATCCAAGTCAAATAGACATAATAATAAAAATCGAAACATTATATAATTAAAAGTGTATTATAATATGACGCTCTTCTTTTGCTTTGTAAATAAAGCCATATTCTAATTCCAATAGAACATGGAGTGCTTGTGCGTGACGTCCATAATTACCATTGCAACGCCTGTTTAATTGTTAACAATACCAGATATCAAAATGGACATTTGTGTTGTTATTGTTCGCTAGGAAATTAAATAGAATCATTCTAAAAGTAAGTTTATACGTTTCTGTTCATTTCTTAATCGAGCAACGGTTGGTTTCCTAGAACGTTTTCGCTTCATCAAATCAAAATTGTCCGCTTCGAAGTACAAAAGTTCTGAATTTTCCTATTAGTATCGAAATAAAACTATCATGCCATGCTATATGCTCATTTCAACATGACATTTTGTGTAGGCATCATATTTGTCAACACTTTCTGCACTTAACAACTCGCTGACGCTCGGTAAAAATTCTTACCCATGTTAAAATGAGAATATCACATTGCATGGAAGAATTATTTCTTAATCAACAAGTAAAGGCATAACTTAAATGTCTTCATTTTCTTTAATTTTCAAATATAATTGAACAATTGAGCGACTATAAATGAAAAACTTAACCATCATTTCTATAACTGCTACACAATTCAGCACCTTTTTAAGTATACAAATGCATTCAATAATTTTAACATGATCAGTTTAAATGGTTGTCTAAAAATCCATCTGTTTTAGCACTGGTGTTCAACATGTATGAGCACTCCACTTATATTATTTGAACAATAGTACTTTTATCATTCAATTATACGGAAACATTTATATTTACTTTTATCATTCAATTATACGGAAACATTTATATCAGTTGATCAAAAGTATTTTTATCATTCTATTATACAGAAACTTTAAAAAATAAAGTCCAATTTACTTGTATATATGGGTGTCAGTTCGAGAAATGAAATTTGTAATTCACAGGATAAAAGTTTTGAAATATAAAACTAAACTCAATTAATAATGTTGTGGTACCTCATATTTTTTTTAATAGCGGTAATCAAACCTTTCTTTTCCGATTTTAAACGTGTTAAATAATGATGACTTTAAATTGAATTCCATTTTATCCTTGTAATCTTTATAATTACTTTGATATTTCGCCAAAAGTGAATTTGGATTACCCACCATTAAAAGTATAAGTCTTGAACAAAGGAATGCTATTCAAATAAAACATAAATTCATTGGATTCAGTCAAGTTGTTTCAATAATAATGCAGCGTTAGAGGTCATCTGTCATCCTCTAGAGGACAAGGCACTGACCATACGTTTCATAATTTCAGATTTGTACTGGTTCCATGTTTCCGCGGTATATAGACTGTCTCTTGCTTCCTCTGGGTTCATGTACTCTCGATGCTGTAAAAAATACCTTTTCGTCAATTAAACATTGAACATGCGCATGTGTAAACACACCTTCTTCCGGTATGTGAAATACCCGAGTTGATCTCTACTTAAGTCTTACGTGTTTATCACGTCGAAACCGATTAAGACAGTACGGGAAAATCTGTTTCTGTCGGAAAAAGATTCATGTTCAACTCTAAAATTGCTATGCTATGTTTGTATTAAATTAAATGTAGTTTCAAATCATACTTTGAATTCTATTTTAAATTAGTTCAGTTGCAATTTAGCATCGATTAATTTATTTTGATAAATGCATTGTTCCAACAGGGAGACGATGGTTAATCTATCTGAAAATGTCAAACATGCAATACATTTGTCTTTTATGGAATGGTATGCACTATATTCAGATAGTATGTGTTATTTTGCTGTTTGCTGTCAGTATATTAATCACGGTAATATCTTTGGCATGAACTTTCAGCATAGTTATATAACGGTAATATCTTTGGCATGAACTTTCAGGATTGTAATCACGGTAATATCTTTGGCATGAACTTTCAGAATAGTAATCACGGTAATATCTTTGGCATGACTTTTCAGCATAGTTATCACCCTGACGGTAATATTTTTGGCATGAATTTTCAGCATAGTAATCACGGTAATATTTTGGCATGAACTTTCAGCATACTAGTAGTAATCACGGTAATATCTTTGGCATGATCTTACAACCTTTCGGTATTTTTGACTAACAATGCTCTTCAACTGCGTGTTTGATTTGACTTTCTTGTTTTAACATTTGATTATCTTAGCTGATCCTACAATAGCTTCGTCTCTCAATATATAGAACTTTTTGCTTCCTTTATCTTTGAACCAAGAAAGTTTTTGGCATATTAGTTAGTTGTAGAATAGGTTCCCTTCGCAGTTGGCATACAAATACAGATATTGTTTTATTTAAATTTGTTGTGTCGAAATTATTATTGAATACGGAATGTATCGCCCTCATGCATAGATCTTAACCCTTGTACGAGTTCGGCTTTACTTTGAATCGTTTTAGGTTTTGTCAGCTCTTCAATGTTTGTATTAGGTTTCGGATTTTCAAAAATTTTGGTCTCGAGCATCACTGAAGAGACATAAGTTGTCGAAATGCGCATCTGGTGCAGTAAAATTGGTAGCTATTAATAAAGGTTAATTATATTATTGTTAGTGTAATCTTACCATAGTTTCCACTCTCAGCATTGTATTATTTTTGGCATGTAATAAGAAAAATCGTTTACTGATTCTAATAACTTCTGCACCGTCACTAACCTACAAGAAAATACACAACATATTATTTAAATGTTACACAAGACCGCACCAATAACCTCTGCACCGTCACTAACCTACAAGGAAATAGACATGTTACACAGGGTCACATTAATCTACAGTAACAATTTCGTCCTTCTTCAACAAATAATTAAGAATTAATTTGATAGTTTTTGCATATGTAAAACGAGCGGAAGTAAACTAGCCATAAATTCACACACATGCTGATAACCCATATCAGCCCTATGTGACGTCAGGTGGTCGGGATGATATGAGGTTATCAGCCTGGGTGTGTTCGTACATTAGCAGAATAAAATAAAAAAAGATTAATATATGTCCTTAATATCGGGCCGAGTATCATCCAACGACCAATATAAACCCTCGAATAACGTCTCAGGCTGATATGGGGCCTCGGGAAGATACACGGGCCGATATGGAAAGGCCATGTATTAATCTGCATGTTCATAATAGTAGTATATGCATATCAATCATAACAGGAACTCACAAAAATATTTGACAGTATAACAGACCAAATCAACCACAAATACCCCGACATATCATAAAAATTGACGTTCAACCAAAAACAAACAACATGTGGTTCAGATATCCGGACTTGGTACAGGCATATAAATTGTAGGATTAAACCAGTTTCACGTCTGTAAAACCATCTCGCCTTTGCCTATTTAAATGATTATCACAAAATTAACACTCACATTTAAAACTTGCACAGTCCAGTTACCAAAAAATTCAAGCCATAAATTTCAGATTGTAAACAATAATGAAAACAGTTTTAGAAGAAAAAAAATGATGAATTGAAGAAAGAAAAGGGACAGTGTGAAAATACCCGAAATATATGTGACCTGAGATTAACAATGCATGTCTTGAGGCAGCAAATTTTGCAATCAATCATATTTTACATCTATTTCCTTGTTAACCAAACAGATTCTACTTATTTATAGAACAAATCCAAGTTTTACATAATTTACGAATTATACAAAACTCTAAGATTTGGCCCATCTTTTGGGAATTTTAATTTATAATGCTCTTTAACTTTTTTAGCGATTTGGTTTGATTCGAGCGCCACTGATCAGTCTTATGTAGACGAAATTCTAAACCTGTAATCTCTGATGAGGTTACGTTCTCAGACTAAAGCCTGTCCCTAGTCAGGAGCCTGTAATTCAGTGGTCATCGTTGGTGGCTGTCTACAATATCTGCTTTGTTTTATATTTTATTACGCCAGTGCCAGTTATAAATCAATATAAATATGGTTGTACTCTTTGTTGAAGGTCGTCCATACGATGACCTATAGAAGCTTCTGATTGATAGTTGTATCATTGGTAATTACTTATTATATATAACTATTTAGTGTAATAGTATTTGTCCCTTTGGCATTAATGGAACAGAATTTATTAACACTTCTTGAATATCCGTTTATATCCCTTTTCTCTGTTTTTGTGGAGGTTTCATTATTCCTGCTTCTGTATGTTTATATTCAACTTCTATGTTTATTTAATCTGATACGTCGTCTCTTGTTGTTTAACAAGACCGGACGGACAGACAGACGGACGCCCGGTATTTATATGTTCACAACAACGCGTCGCGTGTGTGATAAATTTCATTATACGATGCCAAATACAGTACTATGGTGAAATGTTTAATATTTCACACGAAGTGGTGGAATCAAAATCACTATTTATAAAGTATTGTGAATCGATGTGAAAAGGATAATTTCTTGTGATTTGGATAAGGGCGTCCTGCTTAGTTATGATAAATATAGATACTATTGAAAGAAGTTTTGTGCGGAATAACCCATTATTTGCCGTTTCGAAATCTAATGCATTCGGTGAAAAAGTCAAAAGCGTACACCAAAACGTTGGCATTGGCTTACAACGTCATCAACAATGGATACTAGTATTAAACCAATGGCGTGATTTTTTTTTCATTTTTTGGTACGAACAATGATCTCATCAACAATGCTTTAGATGCTGAATAATAAGAGCACCGAGAGTGAAATTTACCATGAGTGTACTCCAGACAGTTCCAGCAAGTGGACTTCATTTTCATTTTTTTTATGAAAGTCATATCGAATTACAACAATCATGATATGTGATGGTAAGACTCACTCCGGTGCAGCACATGCGCTGTAATAACGCTATCGATCCCTTCATCCGGGTAGTTTTGCTATCAATAATGCAGCAATATTCATTACAATCAGGTTGTAAACTTGTCTGTAGTCGATATGTATAAAATTAAAAATTCAGAATTCTTTGGGTTTTTGTTTCGAATTAAATTACTATTTGATTAAGTTCCACTCACCAACGAAACGCCTTTAGGTTCTGATGCCATTGTAGGATATAAATGTTCCAAACCCTGGTAATATATATGAGAAATTATATTTAAAAATAAAAACTATTATGTAATTTGCATGTCTATTGTCATCATGTAGCTGATCATTTAATGGTCAAACAATTCATTGTAACAACGTATGATCTGTTACATATCTCTTTGTTTTTGATTTCCAACTTTAAAAATATTTAATGGAAATTTTACTGTCCAATGTCGTTCCCAGAATTGATGCGAAATAGCATTACATTGTGTTTAGGCTATAACTAATGGAATTTATATTACTATGGGACTTATAATCTTTTAACATAGAACGTGGGGCTGCACAAAATGTAATTATGGGGTTATTTGTTACTTTAACACGGTACATAAAAAAGGGGACATTTTTTCATACATAATTGAACAGGGAGGATCAACTTGCTTTTACAAGATTTGATTTTTTTTTAACAAAGTGAAAATAGATACACATTGTATGATGACCGATAAAATTGTAATCTAAATCATTTCAAATATTTGCATAATATCATATCCTGTTATAGGTAGCATTTCAGCATCCTAGTATAAAGTGTTACCTCAGTCATTTATCTATTAGCTTGGAAAGCAATACACATTATACTGTATACAGCAGATAGTAAATGGATGTGTAAAAAGGTTCTGAAACACCCTTCTCCATCAATTCCCAGAAAAAAGTATTGATATATTTCGAAAAACATATTGCTTTAGGGAACCATTCAAGTCGTACTGGAATTATTGAGCGACATGTATTTTCTTTTATTTTTTTGAAAGTATTTAACAATAACCCATGCTTTTTTTTATTCTACCAATACAAAATTCCATTTATTTTTTTCGGATGTCTCTATCAGAAAGATATATAGAATAATGGCATTTTTGTTTTTGATACTGACTCTATCAGCAAAAATATCAAGTGAGCCCACAAGGGTGAGCTGATATTCGAGCTGATGAAGTCAGTATCTAAAAAATAAAATGCCATTGTTCTTTTTATCGGTAATTATGTTTGTTGTTTGAGAATATGAAATAAAACGAAGTAGTAGGTAAAATCATTTTTACGCGTAGAAAACGTTGTGATAGTTATTCGCGATCGGTTGTATGAATATGGAGTCGCGTGCATTCCATTGATAGATTGGTGCGGATGGACAAGAACGCGTGACGTCGCTGCACTGTTACGTGACGTCATTGCATAATATTTTCGAGTATCAGGTCCTGTCCATGATATAGAAAATCATTAGGCAGTAAGATCAAAGGGAAAATGTACAAATTGCCGATATATTGAATATATTTTGTGCAATTTGAAGGACAAATGATTAAAATTTGACTATTTACGGAATGGGAAGGATGAAATCATCATGTTTTTAAAAGAATTTGACCGAAAACTTAAGAAAGCAGGTGAGATAAAAGTGATTTAACCCGAAAATTCAATCTGTAAGGTGTTTCCCTATATGCGAACAAATCATGAACAATGCCTTCTTGTATCTTTATTTCTATTTTGAATCTTGCTTTTTCACGAAAAATCGTTATTTTAGATAGCAATTATACTACGGTTACACTTCCTATTTTCAAACTGAAAAGGCCGAAAGTTGTCAAAGTAGACAATGTTCATTTGTACACGAATAGAAGGCAAACAACATGCACAATTCACCTATATGCGGACAAATTATTGTTCTTCGACTTAGGAACTGGCATATTTGCATTTTATTTAAGGGGCATATATAATCCTATTGTAATGGCTGCCGTCATGATAAGGCAATATGGCAGCTATGCAAATTAGGAAAGTACCCCAAATTTTGCCATATGATGCATTCAACAGTAGTTTTTGGTTGAGGACATTACTTATTGGTATATAAAACCACGAGTTTCAAATTTATGAGATTGTAAATTTGAATCGAACTATTTTTCTAGGATATATTACCTCTTCAACCGGTACTTCTGGTAGTCCTTGGAACCGTCTCGCTACAGCATCTAAACCCTGTTACAGTGTGGTGGAAAAACGTTATTAGACAGTGTAGGGTATAACACATAAGTCAATGTGAAATTATTATTAGTTATATGTGTTTAGTGAACTGATGCACATATACTTGAGGTCATTGTTAAGCAGGTGTTTTCTTTCCTATTTTAAAGATAATAAGCATGAGAATGTTTTTTAATTTTACATTTTGCTTTTAATTCCTTTTTATTGTAAATTCATATATCTTTTATTGTTAAATAAAAAAAAATGTAATAACAAAAATATTGAACTTCAAAGTAAAGTAAAGAAGGGGAAGTCCATTAAAATTGATAAAACAAAACGCTCGACTTTATCAACCAACACAAAAACACTACCATATGCCTGACTTGGTACAGGTATTGTCCGAAAAAAATGGTGGGCCTAACCTGGTATAATATCTAGCTAAACCTCATACTTGTATGACAGTTGTACAAATATAACATTTAAGTAACTCGAACTTGGTTGAGTTAATGAGGGTTGGGCTTGATCTGGCTAATGATTTCCTATAATTTAAGAATATCCTGGGATACCTGATGAAAATCATGTTTAAATTGAACTGTCTATTAATCTATCTATACTTTTTCCTATTCCGAAAGTTATTGTGTAAACAGTTGTTTTAATAGAATAGGGAAAAACAAACCGTTTTTGGGCTATTCTTCAAGGGTTTTAAAGCACCTAAAATCTTCCAAATAAATTCGTTAAAAGATTTTCACTAATAAATGATGTAATGATCATGAATGTGTCAAATATCGTATTCACTTGCAGAGATTGATGTGAAGCAGATTAATTTTTTAGTTGTGTCACAAAATCAACTGCCAATACTTATATCTTTATATATTTTGGTCTGTAATGCGTTTGCATCAGTCAGATTTATCCACGCTTATTCAGCATTGATGGGATACAGAAACTAATATAATAAATAATCCATGTTAACTAGAAGCTTAGAATTCCTCCATGAAAAAGTTTGACACAAATTTTCCAGTAATTTGTAAGAGTTATTCGCCCATAATACATGGATCTTTTAGCACTTAACACAACGTAGGCTTCTATAACACACTAAATTAAAAGAAATTAACATCAGGAACCAAACAAATCGACAGACATTTCATAGTTAGTAATTGTATGAGTTGTCTCCCCTAGGAAGAACCCACATTTTCATTGCCAACCAAGAGAAAGAGGGGGAAATGTATCTGTGCGTTATATTTGTAATCTTTCAATTACACCTATTCTTTTGTTAAGTAGCTTTTTTTTTAAATCAATAATTATATTTTCCTTAAAAATGGTTTAACGCCTATATTTCACTTTCATTATATCATGCTTTACATTGACAGAAGCCTAATTTGTCAGGTTTAGAACCAATTAACGATTAGCAAAGGGAAACAATTGGGTTAAAAGTATATATTAACGGAATCAAATCGGTAATTGGCAAATAGACTATTAAAATTGATCAAATTGCAAAAGTAGGAATTATTACTGATTTAAGTGATTCAAACGGCTCACACTGAAATAGATATAGTCCACTTACAAATATATCTCCGCTCCGTAATAAATCTAACTGTAGGTACGCCTTCCTGGACTGTGTATCTCTTTTCTGTCTTTTGGAATAAACAGAATCAAATTCTGTCTTTTCTCGTGTAAGATATGTTCCATGAGGTTTAAAAGAATCGTCCTTAATGTCTAGTTTAACCACTTGAGTATTAGTAGGTGATTCTATTATAATGGGAGGAAACATTTTTTCTTTCCTGTATTCCTGTACTGGATTTGAAACCTGTAAATAAATTTGGTTAAAAACATCAAGTGATTCCTATTTCGTTTAGTAAGATTGAACATAAACTCAAAAATGCGGTTCAATTAAAAGATGTTCAGAATTTGCCATACACATTGTCTTGAAATCAGGATACAACATTAAAAGAGAGGTGGATGATACCAAAGACATTTTCAAACTCATAAATCGAAGACAAACTGACGAGGACTTCGTAAAAAAGGAAGACAAACTGACGAGGACTTCGTAAAAAAGGAAGACAAACTGACGAGGCCTTCGTAAAAAAGGAAGACAAACTGACGAGGCCTTCGTAAAAAAGGAAGACAAACTGACGAGGCCTTCGTAAAAAAGGAAGACAAACTGACGAGGATTTCGTAAAAAAGGAAGACAAACTGACGAGGCCTTCGTAAAAAAGGAAGACAAACTGACGAGGCCTTCGTAAAAAAGGAAGACAAACTGACGAGGCCTTCGTAAAAAAGGAAGACAAACTGACGAGGCCTTCGTAAAAAAGGAAGACAAACTGACGAGGACTTCGTAAAAAAGGAAAGACGACTGAAGACAAACAACAATCTACAAAACACAATATGAAAAACTAAACACGAACCCCACCAACAGTCTGAGGTTATTAACGTCCGGATGAAACAAATGAAAGATGTAACCTTTTGGAGGAAAAGAACTCACATACATGAGGTATTCAATAGTAATATAAAAATAAGATACATGCATGTAAGTTTTGTTTGGGTTTTAACTTCAGAAAGCGCTTCGACGCACGAAATGTATGCACTGTTTTTGTTTGTTTTCTAGAAAGTATCATCCGCCAAGTAGACATAATCGGCATTATTATTTAATGATACATTTGGACTCATTACCAGTTAAGAAATTATGTCGTTGTACTTAAAATGAAACTGAATCTTTCTCGGATAGAAGGTTTTTCATCTACATCGTGTCTGAACTGCATTCACCTTTTTCAAACCCAATCATTTGAAAGCCATGTGTCTAGTATAAAGACTCAGAAACAGACCGTATACGATTATCCAAATTCAGTAAAATCCAATTTGCCGGAAGGAGTTTGAACGTTAGTTTCTAAGTAACTTTTTAATTCAAAATCGAGAAATTTTAGAAAGATATGTTCTGAGTTGATGATACTTTCGGAAGTGAAAGGATACCATGATAAACCTCTGAAATCTGCCAAAACGACAAGAAACTCTACCATATCTTCTCAACTAAGATATCTAAACACAATACGCGGGGTTAGGTTGTATGTACCGACGAATACAACAATTTATGATAAGAAAACTGAAACCAACGCGGTTGTCATAGATTCAAATAGTCAATAATCTATTGTTTTCAAGTACTAGTAACATACCCAGATACCAAGTACAAGCTAAAAAATGAGCTTTGAATAGGGGATATTATTAACATGTAAAGTGAAAATAAATGAAATTTAATTTACCATAAGTTTTTTTTCTTAAGAAGGTTTGGTATAAGTTCTGTTTTACAAGATAAGAATAAGAAAAAGTCAACTAGTAAGTATCTTCACGTTTATGAAAAAGTACCCTTGAGAAAATGTAAAGGTTCAGAAAGAAGAAATTTACTAAATGAGCTTTTTTAAATGATATACACACCCGATTATCGTCTGCTGGTTGGTTCTCTTTTACTTCAGTATCTGGCTTCATTTCTTCTTCGGTAACAGTCACTTGAAGTGTAAAATAGTTTTACATTATGCACGAATCAACATTTAAGTATATTAAACTTCATTCATTATTATCTGTTTTTTGTCTCAACGCACTAACAACACGGCACGTTATCCCGGTCTTTGATCTTTAGATACCAGAATAGTCGTCTGATCTGTAATTTTTCGACTATGTGGTTTGCTGATTGTAATGTGACAATAATTGGGATTCAGCTACCAAAACTGTGTAAACATACATTACAGACATACAACACAACTGACTAAAAGATTGCATGAACTAAAAAGGATAATCAAGAAGTTGGTTTGTAATAATATAATATGTAGGAATGTAGAAAAGGAATCGGAGGGTACCAGGGGTATTTAAATCTCCAAGGTCGAAAAGAAACTTACAGCTCCATTGCAAAAAAGCGAAAGACGACGGAAAGACAACAAATGCAATGTATCTATAAATTGTTCAGTTATATTTGCTCGGGAAATGTTTGAAATGGTGATCAATAGGCAGATTTCATTTGGTCTCTAATTTCCAAATACATGTATATCAACACTTTTGGTTAATTCTATTAATGGAGATATCTAAAACTTTATAAATCCATACCTTTAGCAGACTTTTGTTTTTTACTGCGTTTTGATTTTGACAATTTATTCTTCAGTAGCTTTGGGTCTGCTGAAACAGGTTTCTTATCTTGAGTTTGAGCAGGTTTCAGACGTTTCGTAATCTGTAGAGAAGAAAATAATATAAAAGTTAACACATTAGAAACACACGGAATTAGAAATGAAACACCAACACACTAATGTCTTGTAAACTACTCAAACACAACATAAATGTAGTAATCTAAATTACTTAAACCTACCATAAAAGTAGTCATCTAAACTACTCAAACCAAACATAAAACAAGTCATCTAAACTACCCAAACCAAACATAAAAAGCAGTCATCTAAATTACTCAAACAAAACATTACAGATAAGTATTTTTTCTCTAAAAAAATATCATATCATTATACATACAATACATAAACGACGTGTTGAGATCTAATATTTACTTGACTTTCATTTCCTGGCTGATATATGTTGATTCAGTAATCGATAATTTAGGCTTTCTGGTCACCAAAGGGATTTGACAAGCAAAAAAGATTCTTGCAACGGTCCAACTATATTTACAAACAATAATCTCATCATAGATACCAGGATTAAAAATTGTACGTCAGACGCGTGTTTCGAGTTACAACAGACACATCAGTAACACTGGAATCCAAAAAGTAAAATAAAGTATGAAAGTAGAGAGCATTGAGGACCCAAAATTCCGAAAGGTTTTGCCAAATACGGTTGAGATACTCTCTTCTGTGGACATTCCGGAATTATTAGTATTGAACTTCTTTTAATGACTCGAATTGAAGGTAACAGAACTTTACCAATGTAAAATTCAAGAGAAACTGCACATTGCATTAAATATGCCACAAACCATTATTTTCCATCACCTAATTGTATTTAAAAAGTTGTAAGTTGTCTAGGAAAAAGAACGTTTTGTATAATATTTTGCCTCTTACTTTGTTCTTACTTCATTACCTTATTAATTGTGACAAGATACTTTCATAATAAATCTCCTGCTTCCAAGAAATAAACGACAACAATTAACCGTTCTTCAATTTTCATCTTCAAATCTCATGAGTCCATTTACAAGATACAAATTAATGTAAAACACAAAACATGGGTGAGTCGCATGAACTTCAAAAGGATCGAGCCGGGTGCATGGACATGGTAAGTATCTCTTGCTTTGCATGCATCATCCGCTGTTAAAGGTCCTTATAGAACAGCCAAAACCGTCTATGGTGCAACCTTTTTTTTAGCATTATAACATAATTTTAGTTAACTGTCAGCGCATGTGCATCAGTAGTACCAATCATGTGGCAGCAACAAAACGTATGATAGGAAATGAAACTAAACCTCGTTAAGTCGAAGAGACCGGACAAAATTATTTGACTTATCAGAGGTTCGAGTCATTCCAAAAGAATTGGATGCGTCCGAACTGCTTTTCTTGATTCACTTTCATTAAGAATGCTAAAAAAATTGAAAGCCAGGACCAAAAGTGATCTTAAACGACAGGCCGAAACCATCTAAGCTCAACTTTGCCTGTGGGGTTTCTAAAAATATTTAACGGTTAGTTTTAGAAAGAATGTTTTAAATCTTGTCAGTGGTGAATCACGGATTACTGGATTCATGATACCCTCGTGGACTAAGGTCATCATCAGCAGATGTATCCACCCAGTGGTAGATTATGCAAATAAACTAAGCATACATTAGTTTACCGGTGTTCAAATATCTTAAATCGATTACAAAGAGACATATCAAGGTAACGAGACCAGGTGAATCGACACCGTAATCGTTTCCTGCTATGTCGACATCACCCGCCATGCGAATTCACACTCAGTCAAAATGTTACAATCTGGAATAGGACACAATAGGTAAGATAACAGATCAGACGACTATACTGGTAACACTTTATAAATCTGTTGCGTCCCATTTATCACATGGCAAAATATATGTTTGGGTTTGACATATCTAACTATTAACGACAACATCTCCATATGAGGATAATTCGATATTTTTTACTTGACATAAAGAAGATAGGTAACGAAGGTATAACAAAATTGTACAGGCAAAATACTGATTACTGATTTAACAATATAATGTTTTGTAAACATCTTGGGAATGCTATAATTATGACTTACAATATACATTTTTTTTCTCGAAAAATGGATAAAAAATTTAGCTTTTTCATACCTTCTATTTGACAAGTGTCATTTATTTTTTAAGCAGGTGTTTTATATTAAAAAAAAATCTTTTCCAAAATCAAATATTCGTTTTAATCAATCTATTAGTAAGTGGCTAAGCAAATCAAAATTTGTGTTCAAAGCATTTACGAAAACCTGTAAGCTGAGAAATAACTTTGTTCATTGGAGGGTAACCATGGTAACATAAGTAAGATGTATAGAAGGATATAGAAAACACACAAAAACGTGCACACCAAATAAACTCTGTGTATATTAGTTTTAACAGGCAGCTTACACCAGCAAGCATGTTCATGCCATCAGCAAAGGAATTGCTCCTTGAGAATTGAAATGTCTGTTCAGTAGAATCGTTTATCTAAAATTGCACATAAAATAAAAAAAAATATTCTGTTTAAAAATATTAAACGCTGTGAATGTTTTGGTGAATCGTTAATCTAAAATTGTAACCAAAACATTTAACTTATAATAGTAAATGGCAACTGACTTTTATAAAGATATAACTATAAATATACAGTTTCTAATTGATTGATACAAGGTATCCGTGCGAAATAGAGACTAGCAATGTAACTTTGTCAATTTCAGTGACACCAATATCACCCTGAAAGCTCTCCTCCAGAAATGATATTGGTTGAGGGTTCATACGGTGGTGGAAATTGAAAAAGCAATATCAGATACATTTTATTATGTAATATGTTTTTCATGTGCCATGACGCATATATTGAGGTATGACAAAGCCTTTCAACCGCGACTGATATCGATATTATCACGGGTGGCTGATACAGAAAGATTGCAATTAATTGTATTATGTTTAACATTTTAATTGTATTAATATTCAGTCAATGATAAATGATCATATCACCTTGAGAATGGTGAGCTATTCGTTATTTAACCATAACAAGTTGCAAACAAGAGGTCCAACATCATACTCAAACTGTCAACATAACTTATGTACAAATGAAATTGGCAATAAAGCTATATGTAAGAAAATAAAATGATCTGTACAGATTTGACATTTTTGAATCGGTAAACATTTTCCGATGTGATTTAAGAATTGAATGCGTCTTTTTGCAATTTCATTGGGGTTTAAAAGCGTTGACCGAAGCACATTATGTATGAAGCGCGGAATACAAAAAATGTGCACATGATCAACGCTTTTTCAATCCTATAAAATTACAAAAAGAAGCTTCTAATTATTATGATTACATTTTATGAAACAACCATGAAATAACGTGGTATAACACATTTGTTTTCCTATACATTGTTGTGACGTTGTCATGGGAAACACGCGCTGTCATGAATGTTGAATTTTCTTGGGAAATTAAATCTTATTTGGGAATTCCCCTTTGTTTGTTGTCAGCCAATCAAAATCACGTATTCTTATGAAACATACATGTAATACTGTCATTTAAAATGGAAATAAAATAAAATTTCCTTCAAAAGTTCCTGCAAAATAGTAAAACACATTTTAAAATAAATGTAAATATATTTTTGATATTTATAAAAAAAGATTATACGTCAATCAAGTCTACCATGTAGAACTTCAATTTATCAATAGACTGGAGTCTTTTGAAGACCGGAGGCTTGCCTGACAATATGCTGTATGTCATATTTGTTTTTAGTTTATTGATTTTAACATATTGATTTTTTTCTCTATAGAAAGTTTTCATATTTGTTCTTACCGTGGTCTTTTATGGTTTACTATACGGTATTGTTTTAGAAAACTGAACGGTGACCTATAGTAAACTGAACGGTGACCTATAGAAAACTGAACGGTGACCTATAGTAAACTGAATGGTGACCTATATTAAACTGAATGGTGACCTATAGTAAACTGAACGGTGACCTATAGTTAACTGAACGGTGACCTATAAAAAACTGAACGGTGACCTATAGTAAACTGAACGGTGACCTAGTAAACTGAACGGTGACCTATAGTAAACTGAACGTTGACCTATAGTAAACTGAACGGTGACCTATAGTAAACTGAACGGTGACCTATAGTAAACTGAACGCTGACCTATCGTTGTTTACATCCTCGTCTTTTCGTCCCTGGTGTATGTTTGTATTATTGACAATTATAGATCAGTGTCCTTCAACAATAAGTTAAACCCACCGGCCACCATAATTGAACAACCAGACTATAATTTGTGTAATACCTTTTGTTTCTATCTGTTTTCTTGGTTTAGTTAGATTCGTGATTAGATTTAAATTTTCTTTTTGTATGTCATCTAAGGTTTCTACTAAGAACATTTTCATCGAACGTTAATCCAGAGAGGGACTCAACAAAATTATATTCATCTATATACATTTCACAAATCTATAGCTGATTGCTTACCTCAGGCAAGGAAAATGTATTACTACGTAAAGCTTTCAGTTTTCGTTGTTTATTCAGGTTCCCAAACATGGCTGAAAATAGTCAGTGATTACAATATTGTTTCACTTGTTCAGAAAACAAATCATGACAATGTATGCGAATATCCCTGTACCATGTATACTTTATATAGTTGTGTCAATTTAGACGGTTACCCACCAAATATAATGAGAAAAAGCGAACATCTGGCCTGTTAATTTGTTTCAATGAACTATAATTTTGGCCAAGATAAACTATTTTATTTAGACTCTTTTCGTTTTTTAGGAATTGGTTGACTTTTATTGGAAATTACATAACATTTAATAAAAGTCAGAACAGGAAAAAAAACACTTAACTCTAATATAAAGGTATAAAAAATAACAAAATATAATACATTACCATCGGCATGACTAGATGACCGTACACAACCTAATTCCTCTGTTGTCCCACGTAACAATTTGTTGTCTTGTTCTGTGTTTACGACAGTCTGTATTCTTACTACTTTAACTTTCCCCTAAAATGGTAAAAACATTTGTGGACATGCACATTTTTAAGGGGACTTTATAAATTTCGTGTTTCCGGAGCGCTTTCTGGTTTTACCTTCACCAGGATCGCTCAAACCCAATCATTTAAAAAACAAATGATGTCAAAATAAATCTAAAAATACGTATGACAAAATTTACCATACATGACCTAACAATGTTGAATTCATTTGTGTACAGGAATAACACATCTTATTCTAATTACTCTATTAATGCTTATTACACTTTTAGTTTTTGAAATGCTTGACTTATTTATATTTTTCAACTGTATATAGTATATTGTATACGGCTCTATTTATGAAAAAAGAGGTTAGAAGATACGAAAGGGACGATGCCAAAATCATAAGTCGAAAAGAAACCGACAACGCAATTGCAAAAACTGGGGTTGGTCTCGGGTGCTTCGGAAGAGTAAGCAGATCCTGCTCCTCGTATTACTCAAATCTGTAGTGTTTTGTAGCTAATGATAAGTACACATATTCTATAAAGGGAAAAATGAATAACAAACATACGTATACTTAAGTATAAGTTATTACTACAGGTATTGACTGTTATGAAACGGGTGCCAGATGTTGAGCAGGATCTGCTTACCCTTCCGGAGCACCTGAGATCACCTCCGGTTTTAAATATAATTCGTGTTGCTCAGTCATTAGTTTTTATGCAGTTTTTAAACTGTTGGTTTGTTTTTTCATCGTTTTCCATTTTTTGCCATGAATAAATTAGTCGGTTTTCTTCAACTCTTTGGAGTTTTGATTCGCCCTTTAGTATCTTATGTATCTTTTATTTATAAAACAAGATTAGCAAATCTAAATTTACTTACCGATTTCACTATATATATCCAAGGGGTTCTGTTGGAATCGTCACATATAACTATATTCTGACTGAAAAATATATATACATTTGTTCTTTAAGAAATTATCATCTCATATGTTGAAAGAAAAATCCACATAGACAATTTTTATTGTGACAAGAACAAATTTGAAGATCTAGTAATTTCCCCTATCAATATCAGCCTTACTTATATATTTAAAAAAACATACTGGAAAGTTTCATCATGAGGGGCTCCGTGGTGTTTACAGAATGTAGAGAATAATGGGCAATATGAATAAAGAATAGACAAAAATGGACAAAAAAAAATGAAAGAATACAGAATAATTGGGAGCTTAAACATAAAGAATAGAGAACAAATTTGGTAAAAAATTAAGAATGGCCTAAAAATTATGCAATATAGAAAGAATGTATCCCCATCGTTTATACTGACAATAACCTTTCACTCCTAGAACGTTTAAGACGTAGATTTTAATAGAAACATTTTAGCTAGTTCTTTACTTTACTTCGTACTAAATTTCAATACTTTTAAGTCTTACAAGAATAAGAACTTGCATTTAGAAACATGTAATATTAGCTTTAAGACATTGGAATCATTAGGAATAGTTTTAAATCTTTTGATCTTTCATTACATCACAATTCGTCCAGTATATTGTCTTCATAGTTTTTGTCTGTTTTACAAATTCGTAAATCACATAAATACACATATGGAAAATGAAAATCAACATTAAATATTTACTCTACTCTATCAGAACATGTTACATAAAAATGTTAGGTTTGATATGTAAGAAGTTTTTCCATTATTTTTGTATTCAAGACAATTTTCTAAATCAGATCATGAATGATTAATGTCTCTATATCCATTTTTAGTAGCAAAAAGCTTTCCAAATTTAATATTCAACTCTATCATATATATTCAATGGTTAAAAAAAATGGGATATATATAATACAAACCCGTAATAACGTAGATCTATGGCATCTTGATTATTGATAAAAACTTCTACGGGAAACTCCATAAATAAATCTAAAGATCTGTCGATAAATAAATAATTATATTCATATTTAATCAAAGAACCTGTGTGAGCACGCTCACATACCCCACGTCCCCACATAAGTGCAAAGGGGCATAACCCCTAGAAAAAATATTGAATCATAATTTCCTGTCGATATGCACATCTACATAGTATGTCCTTATTATCTATAAAGTTTCATGAAATTCTGTTGTGTGGTTTCAGAGAAGTTGCGATGACAAGAACAGGACTGACGGACTGACGGGCGGACTGACTGACAGACAGACAGACAGACGGACGGGTCAAAAACATTATACCCGACGCAAACATTGCGTAGGGTATAATTAAAAGAGAGAAAATTAACAAGATGGCTACGCCATAGCGAAATGTCCGCTGTATAAATGAGGAATTGAATTGAATGTCATAATGTGTCTTTGTGGTACGATTGGCAAACTATGGTTCACTACATATGATGGCAAACACTCATATACCAAGTACATGTATGCAAGATTTCAGTCAAATGGTTACTGAGGAGTTGCGTTCACATGGTGTTATTGTCACAATACTCCAAAAATAGTCGAAGTATCATAACTCCATAAAAATGTTTGGATTAAATGACGGTATAATATTGCCAGCTGTACATGATGACAAACAATCCTACGAAGTATGACAGCTTTATATAAAATGGTCTCAGAGAAGTTGCGTTTGCAATGTTTTCTTGTAACAATACTAAAAAAAGTGGTCAAAGTCTCATAACAATCGTAAAAATTGTTAAATTAAGCTGATGATACAGCACGGTCAAGAAAATATATGACGATCAATTATTCTACCAAGTATGAAAGCTTTATGTCGAATGGCCTCTGCGTATTCATGTGTTTTAGACGGACGGACAGAGACCATTACCATATCCCCGCTGCGCGGCGCACTAGGGGACGAAAACTAATTAACTACTCAACAGCCATTTTTTGCTGTTACAGTAGCATGGAATGCTCATCATAAAATAATGGTGTCTCATTTAATAACATCAACTCATTATTGATCGACGGGGTTTGAATATAGTAATAAAGGAATCATCAATCATCGACGATCTTTCAATGTGAAATCATTATTGATTGCCAGTGTGTATTTTTAATAACGCCCCTTTATAGAAGATGAATGTTTGGTGCCTAACAGACACTATTGTCAACAGAAAAGAACCAGAAAACAAAAAATCCTCAATCAATCAAAGTCGACCCTCCATCCGATCGTTCTTTCTCTACTGTTACGTATTTGTTGCATACAATTGCAGAAGGCACACACAACTAATAATTTGTACTTTCTTTGCATTTAAGGAGACCATGAACTACTCATTGATTTTCATTTTCTTGTTTCTTCATTTTAGCAATTTGCAAATGTACATTGTATATGTTATAAGATGCACAAAAGTCTACAAATATATTGACTAAAACTAAATAGTTGACCATATTTACGTATCTTGGTTGACCATATTTACGTATCTTGGTGGTGGCTTGCTATCATATACCAATCATTAACAAATAATTCATATTAGTTTAGAACATAAACATTCTTCTTAATAATTATTTTTGACGTATATATTTAATATTTAATTTACCTTAAAAATTCTATGGGTGGACCTTGTGTTCTGTTCCGGAGCCTCAGAAAATCCTGAAATGAACCACAAACATGTATTTGTCATTTTTGTATTTAGTCAATCTGTTGCAAATAAGGAATTTCATCGAAAGCAAGTATGAAAAATCTGTAAAATGCATAATACATTTATAGAAATTTGTATAATGATAAAGATAAGTATTATAGAATACTTACGTCTCTATGTATAATAAGAACTTCAACTTGTCCACTGGAAACAAGATGGTGATCACGTGGCCAATTTCCTTCCAGGTCATCAACCTAAAAAAAAATATTCAATGCCAGCTTAGTATGAAATTAGAAGATATCAAATAATTTCGTATTATTTCTTATATAAAAGTATCGTCCTTAATATGTCATAAAGTTAAGTAATTATCAATCTTTCGCATTATATCTAAAGTTAAAACGCAAAACTTACAGACGCATGTCCGTGTATATTTGCGCCCATTTCCTTTTTTTAAAACTAAAAACTTTTTTTTTTCATTTTTGATACTGCTTTCTGAAAACACTAATAAATATAATGTAAACGAAACCTCGTGATCAATTTACTTTACTTTTATCACTTTCCTACAGGTGGCAAATGTAGTGCATGGTCTGCCAACCGGTCCGAAGCTCCAGTTTTTGGTGAGTTTCACGTTTCTTATGTTCTCTATGTTGTGTGTTGTTGTCTGTTGTTTATCATATCGAAGGTGCTTCTTCGATTTGTGGCCCCCAAGGGTGACTGGGGAATAGAAGTATGGTCACCATTGATCTTCCTCCGACCGGCAGTAAAACCCTTGCTAAAGTGGGGCGTCCGTTTGGCTGTGCGGGATGTACAAATTTGCAGCCACGTCCGGTCAGAATGGGGACGTTAAATCCGATGCCTCGTGTAAAGAGAGTGCCACGCTCTTTGCACGTAAAGAACCCTTGCAACAACTCTTTGAGGGGTCCGTAGGTGACCTGTTGCAAGGCTAAAATTCTGTCCCTATCCAATAAACCCTTATTTCCCGTGGCAGTCTAAATTTCTCCGACCTTAATCCCGGAAGCCCCTATTACAGAACCTACCTATTGTATTTATTGTTAATTTGTTCTCGTCCTGAATATGCATGAAATATTTGCCACTGGACGTTTAGCAACCAACAATCAATCAATTAATCTTCGACTTGTGATTTTATATCCTTATATTTTTGTACAAGTTTCTATCTATGTATGACTTTTTACAAAGAAGGTGAAATTGTTGATACAGAAAAAAATGCACCAGTCTTATTGAAGATTTAAAATACATAACCAGATACCATTTCATCGATTTTTCTGCATTTTTTTTATCAAGTATTGGAGTTCGTACAGCACTATCATAGTCGTATTTATTTGTTTAATCAGCTTTTTCCGTTCACAATTTACAAGCGATTTTAGAGTAATTTTCTGTATAGGTCAATACTAAGTAAATAGAAAGCAAAATGATTAATTCGATTTGTCCTTCAATAATGAATTTGTTATCTTTAGAATTTTTTTTATGTCCATTTGTTTTTTAATATTGTTGGGTGGCTGCCTCATCGAAGTTTTCAGTGACTTCCCTTCTCCATTCTTTTGCATTTGTGCGTTTACAAATCTAACGATCGAATTGTTTATGAGGGTCTAGAATGGGTCGAGGAGGCGGTGTATTTCTGTATTCTATCATTTTTTAGACCAATTTTTCTATTCTTTCTTTTGCCCATATAATTTATTCCATATATGTTTGGCCTTTTTTAATATAATAATTTTTTTTTAATTTTGGCCCTTTTTTCCCCTGCTTTTAATTATTTGGCCCGTTGTTGTTCATTATGTTATCCCCTATTCCAGAACTTCTAATATCTTGTTATTACACAGTTTTATTTCTGAATTATTTCAATTTAGTTATGTATAGTCTGCGGAGAAATATATTTTACAGTGCACATCGTTCAATTTTAATAGAGTGTATTAATCTAAAAATAACTACTTAGTACTAGTTTTCGGTATTCATCACACTATCTAAATAGGGTTGTGTAAATTATACATCAGCTTTCATTTACAATCACATCTTTAATTATCTAACATTCCACTTAATAACATGCCACATGCAACGTAATTAAGAAACCTGGTTTTAATGAATAATTTAGTTCTAGGCTCGACAAAATAATTTTACCCTAATTAGTTTGTATATATTGGTGCATGAGTTAATTATCAGTGTTGTTCGGTCACGAGTTGAATATTTTTTCGATTAGTTATAAATAATTCTTTGTATCACATTGACCGCGGACTTTTTAAGTTGAAATAAATTTGAAAATTCAAGGAACTATATCTTTTTTTCTACGCATTCCTAATTCGTTTTGAAAAAAACGTCATCGACCATGTCTTAACAACACACATTGTTGTTTTAGGTCAGATTTCAAATGTGAAATTATCAGTTTTTATTTGGGAAATCACGGTACTTCATTGCAAACAATGTAATAATCGTTGTGAACTACTGCATGGGAGTGTATCTAATTCTAAAAACCATGCCTTTGTATCCGAATTTAAATAGTGTTCTCATGAATAAGGTCTAAGTCACTGTCCAGGACGTTGAGTCCTGAGGGCTGTTCATATAACTCTGGCACGTTTTTTTATATACATTTGAACAATGGGTCTTTAACAACTCGTCTTACAGTATTGTCTATTGTCCATTGTTAATAAAACATTCAGTAATAGTTATACACCGAGGGATAGGTGTGTCTGGATAAGAAACCCCGACGGCCGGAGGGGTTTCTTATCCAGACACGCCATATCCCGAGGTGTATAACTAACTTACACCCAATGCTAAACCCTATATTTTTTAACATTGATTATTAAATGAAAAAGAACGGATAGCATATTTATTGACAAAATCAAACCATAATTTATAAGAAAATCATTTTTTTTTTACATGAAACCCCATAAGTAACCTTACTTTAGCTATGTTCGTTCAAACTTTGACAAGTGAGTAGATTTTACAAATGTCAAAGTTGCTGTTTTGCATATTCCCGTTAAATCCTGGTGCTAACGGATCAGCAATTCAAGGTTGACCGTTTCGTACATTCTTATTACAAAAAAAATACATCATGCTCCTTGTATGCAGTTGTCAATATGGACGGGTATAAGACGGAAGACATTTTGAGTCAAGCGTTGGATTAAGAAGAAGAGACTAAAGATAAAGGCAATAGTATAACCCAAAGTACTAACCTGTATCAGTTTAATGAAGGTAATCATAAATGTAATTTTTATGTTACGGCTTTATAAAAAAAAAAAAGCCCCCCCCTCTTCTCGAGAATAAGCAGACATTCATGAGGGATAGGTGTGTCTGGATTAGAAACCCGACGACCGGACACGCTCAACATACAAAAATACAAATTGAATATTTAGGAACTCCCTTTTTGGGGCAATCCAGGAGGGGGGGTCCGGGAGTTAGAATCCCCGATTTTTTTAAAGATCAATGCTTTAGAATAGAGACATATGACTGGGATCAAAAAATTTACCTTCAAGCAAAGACGTATAAAGGGAGCAACCACTTTAACTTCAAGGGGGGGGGGGGGGGGTATGGTTTTTTGCGAACAATTTTATTTAGTTTTTCAACGCTATCAATCAAATTAGTTTTCCCTTAAAGGATTTTTTTTCATTCAAAACAGATGCTTAATATTTTTTCGCTATTGGAATTTCCTAAAATGTGTTTTTTTAATATCTTGAAACAACTTGTAGTGAACACTATTAGTAATTTCTTATGTTAATGCTATTTAAAAAATAATCAATTTCTATTGTAATGAATAACAATGGACTTTGTTTTTCGGGATGTAGAAGCAGGGGTTTCCAGAAACCCCGCTCGTCACACCCTGTGGTCAAAATCCATTGTTATTGGTAACAATAGATCTATTCAATTTACACTTGTTTAAGAAATTGAAACTATGAAGTATAACAATAGAACTTGGGTGTAACTTCCAATCTGGTTTATAATAATGGTCAGATGTCTAATTGCCAATCATACACCATCCCTTTATTTTTGTATAAGTCTTTTATACACAGAAGTGTAATTGAACTAGGAATAACGCCATTTTGAGTATGATCCCATCCTCTAAAAAACCCACAAAAAAATCACTCAAACGAAAAAAAAAAGATTCGCATGTCAAGATTGGACTTCTGCCAAACTTATGTTTTGAAAGACACGAACTGTTAGTTGTATGGTTGTATGGGACAATTTTGCAACGAACTTTTACAATTATATTTCTAGGTTATATCTGCTATTTAACCACAAAGAGTCTAACAAAGGGTCTAATGCTCGTCACTTGAACACAACTCAAAACGCTAGCGTTGTTTCCGACTGAACAGCACTACAGAACAAATTGAATACTTCGATTTGAGCTTTATAACTAGCCTAACTAGTCTATTTGACAATTCCGTAATTAACCCTGTAATAAGAATCGATTTGTACGAGTTGTTTCCCTTAGGAGGGACATACATTTTTATTAGAAATGAAGCGTTAGAAAGAATGAATTATCCGTGTGTAATGTGCGTATAATGTGTGGGATGTGTGTAAAATGAGTAATGTGTGTAATGTGCGTAATGTGTGTAAAATGCGTAGTGTGTGCAATGTGCGTTATGTGTGTAATGTGTGTAATATGTGTAATGTACGTAATGTGTGTAATATGTGTAATGTGTGTAATATTTAAGTTCAAATCTTTTTATTACATTTAATCTTTTGTTAAGCTAAAAACATTTTGATATTATAATAATATATAGTTAGTTCTCATCAAAAACATTTTAAACATAAAATAACTTTTTATGGACAGCAGCATATTCTGTCCAGTTTAGAACCAGTCTACAATTGGCAAATGGAAACAGCTGATGTTAAAGGTGTGAAATAAACAAAAATCAACTAGGTACTATTCGACTTAAACTGCAATTATCTAAAGTGAAAACAATACATACATCTGTTGTTGTTCCCTTCTCTATGAAGCCTTCATTCCTGGAAACTATACCGGAAGTCAACCGATATTCTTTCACTTTTTGAACTGCAATCAAACCAAAATAAACAATTCGTTTACGACATAATGAATCTGAATAAACACTTTTATGATCTTTTACTAATAAAGACGTTGAAAAAAGAACTACATTTATATGTAATTATCATTAAAAGGTTATTTTATGGCCAAATCAATTCAAAATTAGTTTGTTTATGTTGTTGTTTTGTGAAATCAGAACATAAAACAATGCAATAAAGACAAATATGAAAGAAATATTATAGTGATTTCTACACACAATGGAGATTCATTCTTATGTTCAAAAAGTTTGCAGAAAATATAAATTGTAAAACATTGTCTGAAATTAGTTACTAGAAGAAATGATTTACACCATTTTGCTTTTAAAAGAGCATTTTTTATACAAATAATTATACACATTCAACCCCCACCCCCGAAAAAAAGGAGACAAAATCAATGTGTATTCAAAAGAAATATTTTTTCTATTTGAACATTTGATGGAGTCATTAACAAGATTTAATTAAAAAAGCATTGCTCAAATGCAATTTCTACTCCAATCGTATATCAAATTAATATAAAGGGAGATATAGAATTTACATTGGATCAGTGTAATTTCTTAATCAAACGTTTCAACCACAGAAAACAGGTTCTACATTGAAAATAAAAAGGTGAGAAAAAAGAGAAAGGAGAACATTTCTGAATTGATTACGAGTGGACAACATTTCTGAATTGTTTACAGAGAGGACAACATTTCTGAATTGATTACAGAGGACAACATTAATTTCTGAATTGATTACAGAGAAGACAACATTTCTGAATTGATTACAGAGAAGACAACATTTCTGAATAGATTACAGAGAGGACAACATTTCTGAATTGATTACAAAGAGGACAACATTTCTGATTTGATTACAGAGAAGACAACATTTCTGAATAGATTACAGAGAAGACAACATTTCTGAATAGATTAAAGAGAAAACAACATTTCTGAATAGATTACAGAGAGGACAACATTTCTGAATAGATTACAGAAAGGACAATATTTCTGAATTGATTATACAGAGAAGACAATATTTCTGAATTGATTACAGAGAGGACAACACTTCTGAATTGATTATACAGAGAAGACAATATTTCTGAATTGATTACAGAGAGGACAACACTTCTGAATTGATTACAGAGAAGACAACATTTCTGAATAGATTACAGAGAGGACAACATTTCTGAATTGATTACAGAGAGGACAACATTTCTGAATAGATTACAGAGAAGACAACATTTCTGAATAGATTACAGAAAGGACAACATTTCTGAATTGATTACAGAGAGGACAACATTTCTGAATTGATTACAGAGAGGACAACATTTCTGAATTGATTACAGAGAAGACAACATTTTTGAATTGATTACAACAGGTGCAAGCCAGTAATTAATTAAATCAAGCTTGTGGTATTAATATGAAAATAATGAGAGATGGTATGTTTGCCAATGACACAACTATCCACCAGAGTTCAAATGAACTCTTTTCTTTGAAAGTTAAAATTGGCCTTCAATTCACAAATCAAATAATGACTACTTTTTTAAAGATCACTCACTTTTCCCCGTTAAGATATAGAAAAACCTTTCACTCACTTTCCCCCGTTAAGATATAGTAAAACCTTTCACTCACTTTTCCCCGTTAAGATATAGTAAAACCTTTCGGGGTCTCTTCCTTGATACGATATTACCCTATTAGCGTCGTATCTGAAAAATAAAAAAAAATCAGTCGTAATAAATTATGTCTTAATTTGTTATTTTTTTGTTGTTATGATGGGAATTAACTGTCAATATATAGTACATCTGTGATAGTTTCTTAATGATTTATTCACAATTGTTATGATGGGAATTAGCTGTCGATATTTAGTAGATCTTTGATAGTTTCTTAATGATTTATTCACAATTGTTATGACTTGCACGATTTAGAACTTGCCATCAGGTATAGACCACGTGGTATAGTCACATGTCTATTGTTGAAGATTGTATGTTGACCTCTAGATGTTTTTTAGCTATCTGAGACGTTTGGTTGTTGTCTCATTGGCGTTTACACCACATAGCATTTTATTCATATTAAAAAGTTTGAGTACACCAATGGAGATTTGATGTTTTTACATTGAGATGGTGTTACATGTACATGTATAATGGTTCAGATAAAGGTCAATTTAGTGTCCTGGAGGTCCACTTATTGTTCTAAAGGTCACCTTACTGTCCTGAATGTTACCATACTGTCCAAAAGGTCACCTTACTGTCCTAAAGGTCATCTTGACGTCATGAGTGTTAATTGACTGTCCTGAAAGTAACCTTACTGTTCATAAAGTCACCTTACTACCAAGAAGGTCACTTTACTAGTCTAAGGATACCTTAATGTCATGGAGGTCACATTACTGTCCAGAAGATCACAATACTATCCTGAAGGTCAACTTAATGTCATTACGGTCACCTTACTGTACTGAAGATCACCTTACTGTTTTGAAGGCAACCATATTATCCTGAAAGTCACTTTATTGTCCTGGAGGTGTCATGAAGGTCACCTTACTGTCCTGAAGGTCACCTTACTGTCCAGAAGATCGCCTTACTATCCTGAAAGTTATCCTACTTTTCTGAATGTCACCTAACTTTCCTGAAGGTCACCTTACTGTCTTGAAGGTCACCTTACTGTCCTTGAGGTAACATTACTGTCCTGAAGGTCGCCTTACTGTCCTGAAGGTCACATGAATGTCATCTAACTGTCCAGAAAGTCGCCTTGCTATCCTGAAGGTCACCTTACTGTCTCGAATGTAGCTTTACTGTCCTAAATCTTATCTTACAGTGTTAGAGGTCACCTTGTTGTTCCTGGTTTAATGGTTGCCTTATGTTTAAAAATGTGAAATTTAAAATTTTCTATTTAAAATAATGCATTTGTTTAAGAGATGTGATTCGCTATTGGAAATGTTTATTAAATCAAATATGTCAAATTAAATATGTTGGCATATACAACCCCCCTCTCCCCGACATCGTAAAAATCAAACTTTACATTCTAAAAAGGAGATTTAAAAATCAGCCATGTATCGACTTTTTTTGTTGAATGGGAATTAATCGTCGTTTCACAATCTTTTGCATTTTGGGTAATATCTTGCTAGTTTTACACCAAATCGTTGTGGCTGTTTGGTGACATTTTAAACAATGGATAATTGTACCAATGATATAAATAAATGTTATTTTCATTTTGCACCACAGACAATGAAATCAGCTATGGTTCTATAGATTCTAAATCGTCAAAAAGTTGACTGACAGACACATTGAAGTACACAGCTACTTTACACTGAATTGCATACTTGTATGAGTTGTGCTTAATTTCTTTGTCAAAGTTCCATTATACATACCTTTCATATGCCACAACTCGAGCCAGCTCTGTTTCTACTTCTATTGGAAATAAATTTTTAAATGCTTTCGTGGCTCTTAAAACCCAGGCAATCTGAAATATAAAAGCTAACAATTAACTTGTGAAATTATTTAGGGACATTTTTGCATGTTAAATGATAAAATGTTACCATGTGTTTAAGCATGCTGACATAATCATGGTTAAGCTACAGATTTAAATGAAAAAGACGTAATACATCATATCAAACACATTTCATACATTTTTCATAATAGATTTAAATTGTTGTCTCATTAACGAATAGCAGGAATCATAGTCATTTCGTACCATAACCATTTCGTACCACATATTTCGTACCATAACTATTTCGTACCACCCATTCGTACCATAACAATTTCGTACCATAACCATTTCGTACCATTACTATTTCGTGTTTTTTTTTTTATCCAAACCACTGTAATGGTCTAGTTGAAGAATTGGAGACACAATGTACTATAAGCATGCGCATTGATCAAGATCGATTTGTTTTCAGTGTTTTTGAAATCTACCTAGAAGTACAGCGACTGATATCAGAGTGTACATATTTTTCTGCACTGTTTATGACGTTGATGTATAAAATCTTGAAATAACAGTGCCTGATACATGTACACGAGTATATAAAAAGGTAGGATTTCATTAGGTTCATTACTTTGAGCTACCTTTCAGTAAGCTATTATAAATCAATCCAGTATTTTTAAGTACAAAATGTATGTGCCTCTTGTAACCATGTTATAGGGATTACGTTATATGATCCCTAAAAACCTAGGATTTGTTCCCTTTGAAAACAATTATAGAATTGTTAATTAAGTAGGTAATTTTAAAATGAACTATTCTATGTTTGTCTTATAAAACTGTCTTATTTTAGTTTTTCAGGGCAGAGAAGCGAGGGATTGGACTATGTTCTTTAAATGATAGATGAGTCTTTAGAAGGTTTATTTTGCTTGTCAAGTTTGTCCCTTCTTTTCACACTATATAGTCTATTCCTCCGCTACTGATATTTTCACATTAAGATGTATGTTGTTTGGTGTAAAATGTACACTTACTCGTTTTAGATCTGTCACTGTTCTAAATTCAGGTGATGCTATTAAAGAGAGGCGGACGTCAAATCCAATCTACAAATTAAAAAATAGTATGAGTATGTGTATTGTCATTTAGGAAATAAAGTGTTGATAGCAGATCTTTGATTGTTTCTATAGAATTTGTGCACAACTTTTATAGACTCTGAGCCAGAAAGAGCTAAAATATTACATAGCTACCTATCTATTGATGAAGACCATTGAGCTCAAGATATTTTATGTTTTTTCTTACATTGGGTTTCTCTCTCGTTGATATATACCCGCATCTTCTTTTAGTAAATAACAAATGTGTTCAGAAATATTAAAAACAGTAACAGTACTACAACCGTTCATTGCCACTTTAGAATTTTGAAATAATAGTAGACATCCACTAAGTTCGAGAGTGTGTATTAGACTATCATATTTATCATTTAAACTCACATTGTCAACTGATAAAGTGCTTGTAGTATTTAATTGTGTTAAAAGAAGTAAATGACATTTTTTCTTCAATTAAGTTCGTCTGCTTAATTTTGTTTTATTGACTCAATTTGGCCAGTCTTGAACCAATATTATTTCCGTTTAAGAGTATAAAAGTGCGTAGTTGTCTTTAGTCTTTGTTTGGTGTATGACCGTGCTTGTTTCATATATGTACTTTGTAGTGCGTTGTTGTCTTTACTCTTTGTTTGGTGTATGGCCATGCTTGTTTCATATATGTACTTTGTAGTGTGTTGTTGTTTGGTTATAGTGTTTAGTTATATACTATTAAAGTGTTATTTTCGAAATTTCATTTCAGTATTGTCTCAACTAGCATGCATGGCAATCAAAATGTTAGCAAACCCAGCGCATGTTATAAAGCGCGCAAATGATCAAGCGTCTTCGAAGGATATCAAAAGCATAACGTTTTGCAAATATCACGGCATAGAGGGTAAACAAGAGAAATCCGTGTGTAAATTTCCCGTCGAAGGTTGAAAAGAACAAAATTCATCTGACATGAAAAATATACCAGCTATCAACCAATCAAAATACAGGATACTTATAAAATATAGAAATTAAACTTTATCTAAGTTGAAATTAAACTATTTAAGTTGACGACTTACACTAGATCGAGCGTAGTTATCCGCGTCTTCCTTGTCTATGGACTTTTTCATGCGTTTTAACGTCGCAGCCGTGTTTGGTTTATCTGCTTTGTAGTATCTATCATAAAAATAAAATATCAGAATCATTACAAAATAGATAACAGTATAAATTGGTTTGAAAAATTTATTACAACATATAATATTAGAGGGATTCTTGAAATTGTTTGATTCGTGCAAACTACTTTAATTTGGCATGGTATTCCCTTCCGAACGGTTTAATTTGGCATGGTATTCCCTTCCGAACGGTTTAATTTGGCATGGTATTCCCTTCCGAACGGTTTAATTTGGCATGTTATTCCCTTCCGAACGGTTTAATTTGGCATGGTATTCCCTTCCGAACGGTTGTGATCATACTATGTACACCAAATATTTTTTTTCTTATGGCTTCACATATGCCATTCGACCATTTCTTGGTTCGCTTGCACCAATCAATTATTCCCGTTCATTGTTTAAATAGTACTAAAAATAGCAAGAACAACATTTTATAAAAACATTGTCTTTGATCCTCAAAGGCTTATCAAATATTTGATCTGACCGTGGCAAAGATTATAAATTCGTTTCAAAATGAAAAATCGTTTTCCGTGACTGATTGATTCTTAAACCTTATGGAATGTTTTCTTAAGGGTTTGTATTCTAAATTATCTTTCCGTAGAGCAATATGTAAGGATTCAATTTCAATATTTGATTAAAATCTCACCACTTGTATAACATAAAACATTTACGTATATAAAATTTAGCATAAATTAAAACTAATAGTAAAACATCATTAACTAAGTGAATAATAAAACATATACAAGTGCCATTCTATTAAGAATGTTGGAAGATTATTAACAGAATGACTTATATCAAGGATTTATTACTATATAAATCCTTGCTTATATACAATACTTAAAGTCATATTTAGAAATAAACTAAAACGAAATAAGATCATCGGCTATCTATAAATTAAGATATATTTATTGAAATAAAATGATTGAGTAAGTTTTAGCAACAAATTTAAACGGTTTATCATTTTTGAATAAAACGACATTTTTTTGTCATTAGACCACAGGGGTTTGTTACAATTTGCCGGGTTTACTATCCATTACTATCCATACGAACCCCGAAAAAAAAAACATTTTTCGGGGTTCGTATGGATAGTAAACCCGGCATTCGGGGTTCGTATGGATAGTAAACCCGGCAAATTGTAACAAACCCCTGTGACATTGTATAAAATCGATCATAATATTTTAACTGCTTCACTTATAACACAACTTATTTCGAAGGTTTGCAATTGTAAGGACAAACATAAAAACATGTTTTTCATCTTCAATTTCATTTTTCCTCACAAAACAATTTCTTTCATTTTCTAGTTTATTACATTATCGCCCTGTTTCTATTTTAAGAGCCACATCTAATTTTTGAATAAGCACTTCTAAACTTAACCGCTAGAGTGTAGAGATATTTTTAAGTATAACTTTGAACCATATTGTGACTTATACAGCTTAAAAGTCAGAACCGTTTTACCATTAACCCACGACACACAACTAACTGTTCAGAAGAAACATACAACTTCAACAAACATTGCAAAAATAAAAATATATCAACAAATTATATGTTCGAATGACACTTACTTCTTTCTTGAATTACAAGCCTGTATTATCTTGATTATAAATCTAACTGCATCTTGTATCTACAAAAAAAGTTTAATATATAACTTTACAACTATAAAACAATAAACGAGTAATGGAAGGGGTGTTTAAACATTTCTAAACCAAATAAACAAAACTATATATAATTTTTTCTTGCATTGCCTGATTGTGAATTTTGTCCCCCAAACGATAACAGGCGCGTACATACGTTTACGTCAAAACGCCCGGGCGTAAACATTAATTTTGGGAAAAACATATATTTAATGTCAATAGATTGAAAGAACTTATTAAAAGCACATGAGCCTTGTAATTCTTTTTTTTTTAATGACATGTTAATTGAAGATTAAAGTGACGAAATCTACTTTTTAATCAAATTGCATCATATTATATATTGGTTTATGTTTTCTGTCAAAGTCTGAATCAACTGTGAATTCTACTCATTTTCCTATTGTTTAAAGCAGTTCATTATCTGCTGAGATACGATATGTGGTTTGCATTTTTGTCGATCATGCGACATTTATGTCCCGAAAGCGAGACATAACGATCCTAGATTTCGGTGTCGGCGGCTTGGGGGTCACCAACATTTAGTTTCAGTCTGTGGTTAAAGTTTTTTCAAACATCAATAACTTTGTCAATCCTTCACGAAATTTTACGAAAGTTGGACCGAACCTTTTTTGTGATCAAAAGAGTGTCCAGAGCATAATGATGAAAATATATTTTTATTTTATGTATTTTACTGATAAAAGTACTAGTACTTTTTTGCATTTAATACGTAGATACAGTCTGGGGTTAAAGTTTGTTACATATCGATTACTTTGTCCAAAATTCATCGAATTTTATGAAACTTTGGCAGAAGCTTTTTTATGATTAAAAGAAATAATGTTTGAAGCAAAATTTTTTAAGTATATATATTTTTTTTCCATTTTCAGTATTTTACTGACAGACGGACTTACTCTTTTTGCAATTAACAGACGGTCTGGGATTACATTTTTTGACATGAGAAATTTGTAAAACTTCACAATTTTCAAAATCAAGACAAAGCCTCTAAAGAAAATTTTGATTTGTTTTAAAACTTGCATTTGACAGATAAATGGATTCACTTATTACAGTCAATATTGCACTTTTACACTGACAGCAGCAATCCCAAGCGAGACAGAAGGTTCAATGGAACCCTTTACGAATTTTCATATTCCACCTGACCATTTATACAAGTTAATTATTTCATGTGTCCATTAACGAAATCAGTGCATTAAAAGGAGAGAAAACTAGATGAACTCAGAAATGATTAAAAGTATTACAACATTGAAATGGAGACTTGTTTTTTGTTAATATCTCTAAAGTTCTGATTTTTTTGTAGATTGATTGTATTATCCCCACATCTCCTCTTAAAGATATTTTACAGTAAATGCTTTTGACATTTTTTTCTAAAACCAATGACCATTTAATTTTTAATCAACACAATGAATAAATAAAGGCAACAGTAGTATACCGCTGTTCAATAGTCATAAATCGATTAAGCAAAAACAATTCCGGGTTACAAACCAAAACCGAGGGTAACACATCAACTATAAGAGGAAAACAACGTAACAACAGAAACACTGAACTGCAACAAAAACAAACGCCAACATACATAGAAACGGACTATTAGATAACAACTTCCATATTCCTGACTTGCTACAAGACATTTTAAGAAAAAAATGGTGGATAAATTACACATAACAAATAAACAGATTAGACTTTAAAGTATGTTGCTATTAATGAGTTTTAAACGACAGAAATGGTATCTCTTCCACGATAACGCGTTAGTTTCCGAGGGCTGCACGCTTCGAAACCCCTACCAGGAGGTCCTCTGCCCCAGACCCACTGGGGGCACTCAGACCTACCGCCGAGGTTCGGGTTTAGACTTAAAAATGACCTAGCTACGCCACTGGATTGTATATTGTCAGTGAAAGAAATATATGAAATAAAAGAGAATAGAAAAAGTAAATGGTCTATCGTGATTGTAGGTTTATAATTGAAATACAGTTTGGAATGGACTTTCTGCTTATGATCTGAATAAAGATGTATTGTCGTTTGACGTCCTGTTGTATATATTCTATGACACAAACATGTTAGTGTAGTTGATCATGTAGTTGACATGTGTTTGACATGTGTTTGACATGTGTTTGAGCGACACATGATCTGTTTTTTAATTATATTGCTGAATTATTAACGTATACTCCGCATTTTCTTCTACTGTAAATTCAGAAATTATTGCGTGCATTTATTATTGCGATTTTGTCATTTTAGACTAAAATGCGATTTTAATTTTTGCGATATTGAGAAAAATCCTGTTTAATTCATATAAAAAATTTCAAAATGCGAGTTTAAATTATTGCGATTATAACCCTGTCGCATTTTTCGCAATAATAAAAACATCGCAATAATTTCTGAATTTACAGTATTCATGTTGTTCTGGTTTTGTGTCGTTTGGTTGCCATCTCATTGACGTATACTCCGCATCTTCTTCTATTCATGTTGTTCTGGTTTTGTGTCTTTTGGTTGCCATCTCATTGACGTATACTCCGCATTTTCTTCTATTCATGTTGTTCTGGTTTTGTGTCGTTTGGTTGCCATCTCATTGACGTATACTCCGCATCTTCTTCTATTCATGTTGTTCTGGTTTTGTGTCTTTTGGTTGCCATCTCATTGACGTATGTTCCAAATCTTCTATTCATGTTGTTCTGGTTTTGTGTCGTTTGGTTGCTGTGTTATTGACGTATGTTCCAAATCTTCTATTCATGTTGTTCTGGTTTTGTGTCGTTTGGTTGCTGTGTTATTGACGTATCTTCCAAACTTCTATTCATGTTGTTCTGGTTTTGTGTCTTTTGGTTGCTGTGTTATTGACGTATGTTCCAAATCTTCTATTCATGTTGTTCTGGTTTTGTGTCGTTTGGTTGCTGTCTTAATGACAGATACCCCGGATCTATTTCCAATTAAATTTAACACACTGATTATTAAAATTTTTAAAAGTTATTCATCTGATCTCCTAAATTGCATTCAGAGTGTCATGGGTAAGAAAAAACTGTCATGTGTATGTTAATTACTGCTTGACAATTAATGTCTTTATATCAAAACTATTCAATTACATGTAGGTATTACTTGACAATTTCAATGAACAACCATATGAAATTCAGTTGTACAAAACATGAACGAAGACAATACAAGGCTAATTCTGACAAATTTAATCATTAAAACAACAGTTTTCTTTATCTATTAAGCATTGACGTAAGAAAAAGATAATCACGGGCTTTGATTTTGACCTCGATTAATATTTCACTTTAATAATCTACAAAATCTTTTCAGAAGTCCGTAAATGCATAATATTAAATAATTTTATTTTGTATTATATAAAATGTTTAATTCATTTAAAGGATCGAACAATGAGAATAATTGAAAAAAATCAAATAACAAGAATACGTTTTATTGTAAATTATATCATTCCCAAGCATTTTAATATTGTTTAAAGTTAAATCACACCTGATGACTTAAACATTTGAACAATATGACACTTATATAAAGTCAGGAAATATCATGTAACATTTCGTATTTACTAAGATATTTTATACTTTTAATTCAATTAAATATATTGCTGACTCATAAAAGACACGTTATCTTGTAAATCAGGATTTTATATAAACTGCGTGAACAACCATCGCATACAAATATGTTTTCAGTAGAATGTTTGGATGTTTGTACATTTGGAGTGGAAATTACTGGTACATGTATCAGTTTTAAAGTAATTTTTGGTGTTCCTACTCTGGACAGTTATAGGAGTTGGGTTGCTTGTGGAAATAACCATTTATCTCTGTAAAGCAAAGGCAATAACAAAACGCAGCCCATCCCCGCCCTTGATTAAAAAGAGAAAACAAAAAAGAAAGAACAAAAATTATGTCTTTGTAGTCCGAAGTTTTTGGAATATTTTTAGATTGTCAAAAGACCTTTAAGAGGTTCACATGTCTGCAGAAAACTTTACTGGGTATATAATTGACTGATTATTCTCTCAATTAATTATTGATTGACACCTAATAGTTTGGTTGCTGGTGTAAAACGACATTTTTAGTGACCTAGGTTATATAATGACGGCTAGTTTTTTATTGGTGGAGGAGGTCGGAGTACCCGGAAAGAACTACCGACTGTCGACAGGAAAACTAACAATCCTTGTCAAATAAGATCGAACGAGCACAAACCTAGCCACGAGCGGGGTTTGAACTCACAACCTCCGAATTAACAGGCTAATGATGTAGATGAACTATTTAGACCACTGTTACTTCTGATCATCATTTGACACAATTAATCTCGGCTATACATCATCATAATGTGACAATTAAAGAAGAGATGTGCCATAACTGTGGTAAATTCTTGAGAACAATCCAACGATATACTTAAGTTATTCTCGTCACGAATATTCATGATATATCACTCTTGAACCTATACTCTATAATCTATTATAAATGAAAGATTACATTGACGTTCGTTTTTTTCTTTTAATTTTAAGTTAAAATTGTTTGTTTGTATCTTTTTTAAAAAAATGTGACACGTTTCACCTTCTAGACGAAATCTACTATTTTTGATTATATGAAATAAAATTTGATAAACCTATCTATTTTTGATTTTTGATAAAAAGTTGGTACACCTGCACAGGTGTTGCGAATGGAGATAACGGATAATCGGTGAAAATGTTTTGACATATTATACCTAAGATTCGAAGATATAACTTGTATGTATTATTTTAATGTAAAATGTGATTTAAAAGATAACGAAAACTGATTTCCGAAAAATTAAACATACTAGTGATTTGTTTGCTGTTAAATATAGTCACCCAAAGATTACGGAGATCTAGAGCTTGGTATCATATGAATAGATACTTGTCTAAACTAGTGTCGAAGGTCTAATATTGTACCCTATATATACCTCGTTTGGTTGTATCTTTGTTTTTGTTATTGTCTTATTGATCTACACCCCAAATCTTCTCTTATTTATTATAATGAGCCTTAATCAACAGTTGTCATAGTACACGAATAACATTAGAAAATATAATTTCTTATATCGAAATGTAATATCTTTTCTTCCATGCTCTTCAACTTCGTACTTTATTTGGACTTTTTACCATTTTTGATTCGAGCGTCACTTATTAGTCTTTTGTAGACGAAACACGCGTCTTGCGTACAACATTTTGAGCCTGGTATCTATGGTGAGTTTATGTTATCATACATACCACCAGTAGAAGTGTGCATGGAAAAGGAGTAGGCCCGGTTAGCCCCCCTTTTGATCCCAAAATATAGCGTTTTTATAAAGTAGTTAAAAATGTCACTTTTAGCTATTTATTGGAGAGTAGAATATTTTTGTTACATAAAAATATGTTGTTTTTGACAATACAATGGACATGCATCAGGTACTAGCATCATTATTGTATGCAAACATACTGAAATCGTCACAATTTTAGAAGATTAATGCGAAGTTTTATTGATGCGAAAAATTCAACGGTATCAGCAGCCGGTTGTACGAACGTGGCATTAGCTTAATGGGTAATTAAGTCTTCATTAAGCCTTTATGATGCATTAGGATAATGAAGACGTAATGACTCGTGAGACTCGTAGGTTCGCAATAATAAATATTTTTAAACATCACAATGACGAAAAGTCCGGAAATTTGAAGCTTCTACTAAAAGTTACTTGACAATTTAGACGTCTAATTATGGAAGTTAACGATGTGGAAATAGGACCCTTTAACAAATTGTTGTAATAATATAGATCAAAATCGCAATTCAAATATCACTTAAAAGAAGAAATTTTATCAAAATTTGTCTGATATGGTTAAATGGTCAAAGAAGTAAGTTAAAAGTTAAATTTGATATGTTATTGCAAGTAAACAAAAAAACAAAATATCCAAAACAATTCAGTGTGACATAGAGTTGAATACTAGTATAAACGTAAGCACGGATATAGTGTTGAATACTAGAATAAACGTAAGCACGGACATAGTGTTGAATACTAGAATAAACGTAAGCACGGACATAGTGTTGAATACTAGTATAAACGTAAGCACGGACATAGTGTTGAATACTAGTATAAACGTAAGCACGAATACGTATATTACCAGCAACTTAATTTTCTAAAAATATTCACTAAAATGAAAATGAATCTTCATAGAATTGGTGTGTCCACATCGCTTTTCTTAACCAAGAACACTCAGATCACAAAAATGGAAAGCCAAGGAAGTATAAAAAGTAAAGTCTTGAATACACAAAGAGCTTTATTACCCAAAGGAACCTAATGAGAATAGCCAAATCTATTTAAGGTCAACTTCAAAGTCATCAATTTGAAATGGCAATTTGATTTCATATTGTGCTAGACTCGAAACGATTTAAAGCTTAAAGTGATGTATAGATGACACCTGTCTATGTTGTCATCTATATGTCTATTGCTTGTTGATGTCGTTAGGTTACTGTCTCATTGACGTTTACATGGCATTTCTTTTTAACTCACAAACATATGACTTAAATCTATTCTATAATATGCAACCAGTAAATTACTCGGCAGTCCTCGCTTTCTACCTGTACTTTGTAAAAGTACTAAGTACGTGCGTAAATTTGTACACAAAAGTAAGAGTTAACAATACCAAGGTAACTATGTGATTGCATTGTGATCTTATGTTGATTTGTATGAATAGTTATGAATCAAGGCAGATTACTCATCTAGACAATATTTGGTTAAATGTTTTGTTTTAATATTTTCTCCTGATGAATTAAAATTTTCTTGTCCGTTTATCCACTCCATTTCATATACTGTTTGGTTTACTCTCAAACTGAATATGAATGAAATATTTGCAATTGGACGTTAAGCAAACACCAATCAATCAATTCGTTTATCCTTCTCTCAACAAGCCCATCTGCTTTCACTGTATGACGTGCTATTTAGCTTTGATTAGTGTCAGGCAGGGCAAACACAGATTACTCTGGCCTTAAGTTCATCTGTCTCTCGTTGTATGACGTGTTATTTAGCTTTGATTGGTGTGAGGAAGGGAAAACACAGTTTAATCTGGTCTTGAGTTCATCTGTCTCACATTGTGTTAGTTTAAACATGTTTTATTGTTCAAAAAGGCAAATGGATAAGACACAAGTTTATCAACTTAGTAAAGTCTTCTCTCGCTGTGTGACGTGCTATTTAACTTTGTTTAGTGTCAGGCAGGGAAATTACAGTTTAATCTAGTCTTAAATTCATCCGTCTCTCACAGTGTGGCGTGCTATTTAGCTTTGATTAGTGTAAGACAGAGAAAACAAAGTTTAATCTGGTCTTACGTTCATCTTTCTCTCACTATGTGACGTGTTATTTAGCTTTGATTGGCGTCAGGCAGAGAAAACAAAGTTTAATCTGGTCTTAAGTACATCTCCTTTTTAGAGACGAGTTAATGTTTGTTAGTACCTAATGTAATCTTTACCTTTGATTTGGTATCCCGTGGTCCTTGTGATGATTTAAACTGCTTCAACGTCTCGGCATCCATATGGGCAATTCTCTAGAAAAGAATATTGAAATGATACTAGTAGATAAATGAATTACAAGTATGTCGATTACAACATCGAAAAAATAGCATTAAAACTTAACTCTGTTGTGTTAAATTTCAATTTGGATCAAAATAAAAGAATTTAAATTGCATGCACCATGATGTAATTTTACACATCACTTAAGTCCATTACACAGCTATAAAACTAGCTGAGATATTGAAAAGAACATAATTACTTTAAAATGTCTGTGTTAAAATGCAATTATGAAATTCTGAAACATTTCATGATTGAAGCACAAGAAAAATCACGGGAAAGATATTTGGCCATCGATTGTACTGCTAGGTTGATACATGTTTTATATTTTTTTTTCAAATTCCTTTGACGCATACAAGGAAATAAACGCCATCTTTACTAAAATAAGGAACTTTGAAGAGGTGTGGAAATAATAGCAAATACATAATCAACAAAACGTTGATTCTGACCATTATCAATTATGTATATCTATACTCTTTTATCAAGAGATAAGGCCAATTTCCCATGAAGTTATTTCACACTGTGGCCATTTAAACAAAATATTTCAACCTTCAATTAGATTTATAATATCACAGCCCAATGTATGTATTTTTAATGTTCTAACAATATAATGGTTTATTTCGTAATAGGTCATCAAACGATAAACTCGAGATTAAAAACGCCTAAAGATAATCCAAATCCACAATTTTGACAGATTTTGGCAAATTTTCAATATCTATCCAAAAATATACAAAAAAAGGACTTGTTTAATCAAAACTCTAATTCAATTAGAGGTAAAGCAATGCATAATATAACGGGTACATATTAGTTCATTCTGGTAAACGATATCTTCCAATGCAAAATTTTCAGACACACTCATTTCTATTATATTCTTATTATTTATATATTTGTATTATTTTTATTTTGTTGTCATAGGGCAACCATCTCTTTAAGAAAGAGACATGGCTGGTGTTACAAGTGGAGCAGGATCTACTGACATTTCAACACCTAAGCTCACCTACGTTTTTATGGTTAAGTTCGTGTTAGTCAAGCTTTAACCATAGTGTTGTCTGTTTTTCTTCGACTTACGAAATTTGATTGACCCTTGAAATTTTTTTGTCTTATATTTCTGTGAGAAAGTGGACCTAAATAAAGATACAATATATAATAAACTTTCTCGTTCAAACAGAACTCAACCCCGAAGTTCCTTAATCATGGACGCCTTTTCCGTAAAGTTGACTAGCTATTTGTTGGCAACAAAGAACGATTTATACGTTAAAAGCTAACTATATTATTTTACTTTATCTTTTTCTCTGTTCCAAACAACAAGGTTTATCATCTCGTTACCCTTCTCTATTTTTTTTGTCTTGATTGTTTTGTTATGAATGGAAGGAGATTATTATAAGAATGACGAGACAGCAAGGTAACAACACATTACAACCTATTTAATCAACTAGAGGTCTATATTAACCAAACACCAAGAACTAGAGGTCAACATTAACCAAACACTAAGAACTAGAGGTCAACATCAACCAAACACCAAGAACTAGAGGTCAACATTAACCAAACACTAAGAACTAGAGGTCAACATTAACCAAACACCAAGAACTAAAGGTCAACATTAACCAAACACGAAGAACTAGAGGTCAACAACCAAACACCAAGAACTAGAGGTCAACATTAACCAAACACTAAGAAATAGAGGTCAACATTAACCAAACACTAAGAACTAGAGGTCAACATTAACAAAACACTTAGAACTAGAGGCCAGAAGTAACTCTTGCTTTTCGTGTGGCTGGGTTGCTGTTCATTGTCGTACACTCAACATCGCCTTCTTTTCATATTTGTAAAGAGGCATGGAAAAGGAAAAACTACAAACTCTCGTATAATTTTTCTTTAAATTTCAAATGGTATTTTAAGGGTCCCTCGTTCACAATCCCATCCCAACAAATGACCGATATCGATTCATTTTTGGTTCCATCTCTATTTTTATGATTCCCTACTGTATTTTTTACGCCAAAGTTGGAACTTCGCGTTCTAAAATTAATATCTAAACATTTTAGGTTGATCGTTAAGTGTAATAACTAACCTAATGTATGTACATAGAGATTAGAGATTTAAATTTGGCAATAAAACAAATACATACGTTATAAGAGAAGAGGATATTTTTGAAATGAGTGTATTTAGATAAAAATTTTCATACACAAACATACAGATAATTATATATATATAGTGTCAAGACAGGGGTCAACATCGAAAAATGAAATAATGTTTTGTATCAAACCTTTTGTAAATCAAAATATAAGTTAGACTCTATTTGATATAAATTATATTCAGTCTTAGCAATATTGATTTTAATGTATTTGAATCTAGTGGAATTTAATTAAGACTTTGATTACTTTTTCATTAAATCTTCAAAAACCATACATGTCACATGTCATTTTAAATAAATATCATTTAATATTTGTAATTATATCTATATAAAGTACATTTTTACTTTATAAAGTAGCAGTTAAAGAACACTTGGAGTTCGGTATTTTTGGTGTAACTTTTTTCAGTTTATCATTAAATCTTATAAAATATATTTGGTATAAAGCTCTCGAGACGTTATGTTTGTATTTTTATATGTGAACCGAATAAGAATAAAACTTTCGTATTCGTATTTGTTTTATTTATGTGTGGACATAAGAGAGGTAGATGGAGATAGAGAGAAAGGTTACGATGGTCCTTTGTGCCATTTTCTTTCTAGAAATGTAAAGGTTTTGAAGACACCTCCTTTTCTGTATATTTTAGTGTTTTAGTAACTGCTAGTTGGACTATTTATCTCCCCTAGTAAGAAAAGGGAAATATTGACACCAAGAACGCAGTCAAAAACTCATTCCTGGAAAAAAAACCAGACACGTGACCTCTTTTACACAGACGAATGCATGGAAAAGACAAGCAATAGTCCACAAAACACCTCATTGAAAAAACAAAAACCCCAAATATAAACTGCAAGGTTTGAACTCAAATGCACCGGAAGGGACACATTTCTTTTGATTCACCAAGATAATAGACAATGGTTACCAATAAAAACCAAAGGAACATTCAAACTCATAAGACGTAGACAAACTGACAACGCCATGGCTTGAAACGAAAAACGATGTACTTGTCAAAGTGTTCAGAATGCATAAAAGTTAAATATTTAACAGAAAACGTTGTTTACTTTGTAATGAATTGCACATGTTTTTGAATATTCAAACAAATAATTCCAAATCGAATCGAATATTACATTATATTATGACTATATTTACTTAAAGTTAAAGCAAACACTAAACATTTTCAATTTAAATGACATCGCGTTGTAAATAAATGAAAAGTAAATAATATTTGATGTCTATATACATTCCATATTTATAATAGGAACAGTGCACTTTACGCATAAATACGAAGCGTTGGCATATTTGTCTAGTATTACCTATGCGTGCAAAAAGTACCCACCCGGCAAACAATTTATTTACAATGCAAAGCGACTAGTCGTACCTATAGGCAGCTATTCATTACTTTTCTTTAAATAAAAATTTTACTAAAATGGTCAAACATCTTCGTCTATTATAAAACAATGACAGGGTGTGTATCAGTTTAGTCCTCAGAGTTTTGTTGTTTTGACATGGACATAATTGGTGAAAACTAAAAACAAACAAAAAATTTAACTATTTCCATTTTACCTATGTAAACAAAAAAAAACTGTTAGTTACACGTTGAAACGTGTACAGCGGAGTATTTTTAAGTCGGTAATTTTGAGATCCCAAGAACAGTGAACAGAGTAGCAGTCGACAGGGATAGATTTGGTAATAGAAGAAGCAAAGGGGATAGGTAGAATGGAATTCTGAATATCAATACTATGTAATAAAAATAATATGTGATTTAAGGAGAAATCACACTGTTCTTTAACTCAAAGTCATAATCTTTACCATAACTATCAACACTAGCCCATGCTAGACCTTTAAATATCTTCTTATCTGAACAACGGCAATTTAAGATACTATAATTTTAAGGGTAATAAAACATTTACGGAATAATTTAACTCTTAACAGAAATATAAATCACTCGAAAAAACCATTAGTTTTGTCAAGTAGTAATAATATTAGTAAAACTTTGCCGTTCAGAAGGTCATTATAGTCGCGCGATTTTTTTAAAGCAGTAAAAACTAAATACTAAGGTCTTTAATTGTACATTTAAAAAATCGTAATGTTTAACTTTTTGACTGTAAGATTATGGAATTATTTAAAAAAAACAACAAAAAAAACTATCCAACGTTTTCAAAATAAACAGACCTTTTTCGGTAAAATTACCAGTGGGTCAATTACTGGGTACATAGTCTACTTCTTAATAAGCTAATAAGCAATGTCAAACATTTATCTGGTTTTTGGCTGGGTTCGTTTTAGTTTTATATGTAGTGAATCGTAAACTGTTTGTTTTTTCGTCGTTTTAATATTTGCTATGGTGTTGTTGGTGTTTCTTCGAATTATCCCTTTGTTATCCTCCGTCTCTACTAGCACATTCACTTTCTCCCAACGAAACGTTCATTTTTTGCCTTCATAATTGTCCTAAAGGATTGCTGGAATCAATTTTTCTATTCTTAAAGGACCATATCCGTGTGTTGAAGCCTTATGCGATGACCTGGAAGCTTGAATTGTCGTTCTTCAAATTCGTTATCGTGATGTTTTCCGAGGGTCTGAATGGGGTTTACAGAAAAGAAAATAATGAGCAAAAAGTGCCAAATAAGGGACAATAAAAAAAAAAGAATAGAAATTACTGGGGTGCTAAAATATAAAGAATAGAGAATAATGGGGTGTTTAGAAAAAATGACTGGAAGGAGGCGACAAAGGAAAGTGAGAGACTCAGTTTAGATATCGATGGGATTAAAATGACTAAAGCACGAGTGGACGAAGCATAAAAAATGTAGGATCAACGAGGTAGGATGAAATATTTACGGACTTCCTTGTCATGTACCTCAATTTACATCAGGCTCTTAAAACTGTGACTATAAGCATACTTGTTTTTTAAGAAATTTGGAAAATTTTCAATTGAAAAAAGGAGACTTGAAGTATTAGGATTTAGGTGTGATTTTTATAATTCGACAAAAATCCCTAACTTCATCATTAGACCTTTGAAAGAAGTGACGTTAGGGAACGACCATTTAACTTCAAAGAAAGAGGGGGGGGGGGGGGGAAGGTGTTATGGTTTTTTCCTAAAAAAAATATTCTGATCCCCCAATTTGATGAAAAAAATATTGTGGTCAGGCATATGACAAAAAAAATATTCTGAATCCAGAATTTCCCCATACCTTATAGTGTTAAATTTTGAAAAAAATAATTTGATTGATAGCGTCGAAAAACTAAAAATTAAGCGCGAAACAAATTTTCTGACTCAGACAAAAAACATACCCCCCCCCCCCCTTTTTGAAGTTAAATGGTTGCTCCCTTATACAATTCCAACTGTTCAGATCATAAGAACGACACTTCTTATCACGTTTTACAATTCCATCTGTTCGGATGCCAAGAAAGGCGTTTCTTATCACGTGTTATAATTCCATCTGTTCAGATCCTTAGAAAGACGCTTGTTATCCATTTTTAACGCTAACCTATAATTCTTTCATATAACACATTTTTCCCTCATACAGAATCAAATCTTATAGGTGTATTCTGATTTTGTCATTCACTCTGCTTTTTAATACATTGAAACTTATGTTTGCCATTTACTGATATTTCAACAATACTAACACATTCTCTCTATTCAAAATCTCTGCAATTGGATTTAATTGAAAGAACTTTTCAATACCACCCTCTGATTCTATTCTGTAACATGATTCACTTTTTACAATATGAGTATTATTTCGATTCTTTAATGGGACCATTATTGGTTTACTATTTTTCATTAAAGCTTATTCTGTATAGATATATATATTTATTAAACTCAATAACCTAATACGATAATTTAACAACTTGTGTATATTAAAAAAAAATAATCTCCCTCCTTCGATGTAGCAATCGAAAATACATTCAATATTAAACTGCCTGCTTTAGTTCAGTTGTGTATAGTAATTATTAATTAAACTCCTATTATATGAATTCAATGAGTATTGATTTAAAATTAATCTTGGATTAAATATTAATATTGAATTATGCATTGTACAATGCAAATGGATTAATCAAACAATCTTTTGAAATTGTCAATGAAGGTTTTCTACAGGAGGAAAATTCAGGGCCAGACAGTGTTAATCAAAATTAAGGAAATTTTCTTTTTAGGAGACTGACGACAAAAGGATAGAAGGAATATCTCTATGCCCTTTTCATACAATCAACGCAGAAAATAAACACACCCTATACCACATGCCAACTTGACAATTCAACGTATGTATTAAAATAAACTATATAAAGTCTAATGAAAGGTGACGTCATCGACTTTCTTATCTTGTATTTATTTATCTCCCATTGAAGAATTAACATTTTCTTTAGCTTGTCTTGTGATGAATACTGAATAATGATATATAATATTTCTTACAAAGATAACCATGGGAATTCCTGATTTTTATGGTCTTTTTATGTTTTTAGCTGTTCCTGTATTATATATCTTCTGCTATCCACAGTTTTACTTCTGAGCGTTGTAATAGTTCTATAAATTTGCTTCCAACGCACCAGGTTTTTTTACAATATTAATTTGATTTTTAACAACATAGTAACTCATGTACAACAATTTCTCAATAACAAAATCATTAAATCGTATGCACATCAATTTTCTACGACGATACCCCATAGCACCCCCCCCCCCCCCCATATATGCTAAAAAAATTAGAGAAATAACAAAAAATGGATGACCTTAACACAACATCATAAAACATAAAACGTCAACGGTTAACTTAACAAGAGTGAATTGCAACCTTGAACTGGGAATTATTAACAGACAACAAATATATCAATATCTGCTGTTTAAGACCAATAAATACCATGATAAAATAAATCTCAGTTTATCACTCAGAAGAATGTACATCGAACAAAGTATAATAATGTTGTTTTCGTTTGTAAACCTTTATTGTTAGAAAAGTGAGAAAATTTCGCTTTTTATACTCAGTTTATACATAATATAATAGCGATAAAAATGATATTTTGCATTTCACTGAATGACTTTCAATTTTAAATGGAGAAGGTTTGTTGATTTGTTAATTTGATAAAGGTAATTTAAACCCCATTAAAACATGAACATCGTATCAAAGGAAAACTAGACAGGAAACTAAAGTACCGTAAGTATAGTGATGTAAATGTCTTTTGCAATGTGTTATCTATATTAATAACCCGTAAAATGTTCTGATATGTTTCTGTTGACAACAACCGACAGAAAAGAGTGAATAAAATCAAATTATAATCACATTCACGGACGATAAATAATGTCCATTATCGTAGCGTACACTATATATACAATATGCAACATGCATCTGGTTATCTGTTTGGATAGGAAATAATGAATAAATAAACGATAAAATTATTGTCAACCATGAAATTTAATAACTCGTAAAATTTTGTAATGTATCATGTGCAAAGTCTGATAGCTCGAAAATGACTATGCCGTCGTAAAATTACCCTGTTAATGTGTGAGGGGTCCGTACATTAATATTCAACCAAACATGCAATTTCCCAGTTGCGTTCACAAATATCACAGATAAAAAGAGATGCAATGTATTAATTCATGACACAAAATCCATGGATATAATTGCAAACGAAAGCAAATGCACAATAACTCTTTTCTTTTTGTTTTTCTAAATCTTAACTCCTGTTCAAAACTGAATAAAATGCATATTTATAGATTGTTTCCTTTTAGACATCAACTACGTCTTGTACATGTACATGTTACTGAATACCAAACAAGAAGTTATCAGTCAGTTAGAGGCGGGAGGAGAAGGGAAGAGACTGTAATTGAAGGGAACATTAAAATGTCTATAAATCTAGTGTATATAAAAATGTAAAACTACGAAACAAATGTTCCAAAACTTATGGAAGATCAGTAACACGACGATCCCTTTAGTTATCAAGAGTAAAACTAAATGAATAGTAATAAGCTTTTTCTTTGCGTTGATGGGTTGATGTCTCATTGCCGTATACCCCATGTCTTTCCTGTTAATAACCAATAGGAAAGAAAGACCAAATCAAAACTAAATCAGTTACTTAATTGATAGATACATGTAGCCTTTTAATAATTTGATAAAATTTGAGGACATTTATTCAAGCAAAGTTTTGATAACGAAATCTAACGGAAGAAAGTGAGTTATTTTCAAATAGCAGGTGATATATACCAAACAGATCATTTATGGTGTACGCCGTAGGTTTATATAAAGCAGGTAAAATATATTTTACAAATTATTTGATGGTGTATGCTGGATGTTTATATAACAGGTGATATATACCAAATAAAAAATGTAGCAGATAAAACACATGTCATTTTATGGTGTTGCTTTGTAAAAAATCACGCAAAATATTCAACAGAGATCATTTGATGGGGTACGCTGTATATCTATGTAACAAGTGAAATATATCAAACAAATTAATTGATGGTGTACGCTGAATGTTTATATAGCAGGTAAAATATACAAAACATATCATTTATATTTACAGAAGACAATGTTTCAGTCGAAGTTTATAAATTAAAAGCATCTAACTTCGGATAAAAACCTCTGTTGTTAAAAATCATGTCCAATGACTAGTATGACATAGATGTTACAATAATTGCCGGTTAAGTATTTCTCTAGTGCCAACTTACCAATCCCCCTTTCTCCCCCCTTCCCTTCTCTTTTCTTCCTCTCTCTCTCTCTCTCTCTCTACGCATCCACCTTTAATTATATAAATTTGCACTTACCGATATTTTCTCTCTCTGCACAGGGTCCATTTTACTCATAAAATCCCCTAATTCTGCCCGAGGTTTTAACATGGACTTTATTTCCTTCAATCTATCTGTAACTGGAGCCTTTGATTCATAGTCGGGTTCAGGGATTTCTAACTTTTTTCCTTTTTTCTTAAAATCTTCTAAATTTTTCTCTAATGTTTCATGTAAAATCCAATTATGTTCCATTTCATATATGCCTAATTTATGAAGTTTTGATTTTGCAGTGTCATTATCATCGTCATAATTTGTAAGATAATCCAATGCCTCATCATTGTTTTTATCTGAACTACGCGCGCGGTTTTCTCTATTTTCAGGCGTGGAAATGTAACTGGCGCTAGCATCTCTGATGTTAACGCTTAAATCTAAATCACAATCCGGCTCTATCTGTGGTAATAATAAAGACAGCCGTTCTCCCTTTTCTTCGGAAGCAAGAGATTTTTTCTTCTCATCAATTATTGTTTTGAATTTCGGTAGATGTTCGAGAGATTTTCCGAGATTTTTCGTGATTTCATATTGCGTTACAGAACGCGGCAGATTGACATTACTATGATACAACCGATTAATCCCATTTTTAGATGGCATTTTTGTTGAAATAAAAATAATAAATCCTTGTAATCAAATGAATATTTAGTGGGAAAATGATCACATATTCATCCACATTTACACAAATATAAAGTCACTCCATAATTTAAAGACAACACACAGAAAAACACAGATAAAATCATTAATCCACAAAAAATCAAAAAGACACACCACGTATTGACAGGTGTAAATTCTAAATAAATATCTCTCTGTAACAATTGACAAAATTAAATCCTTTTAATATTTCGATAAACACAAAAGAATTAACGATTGGTTAAAACACATTCTCTCTTCACGACGAGTCGGATTAAAATATGTTCAATAGCTAATTTCCCCCGATTTAAAGCGTGGTTTTTAGCCAGGTAGATAAAGTTTCTACCCCTTTCTACCTGGAGAATGAATTAATAAGTAATTTATAACAGTCAGTTTTTCTCTTTATTTATTATTCATTGACTGGTTAGTAACAGGGTTGTTCAGACTGATATACGATATACAGTTACGTAAATAACACTAAATTAAGTTGTATTTTAAAACAAATTACACGTTCTTTACAAACCACTAAATCCCAACTTCAAATATAGTTCTTTTTTAAAATCAAATAAAATCGCATGCAAAGTATACTTGAGGTGGGCTTTATTTAAACGACTTTAGTACACAATATATGATGGGTTGTTAAATTACATTGGAACTATTTTTAGTATATTAGTAAAAAGTAAGATATAGAATGTCGCTGAATGTAAAATATGTAGATTATCTAAAAGGGGCTGCTACAAGGGAAGGAGACGTGCAAGTTACCACTTCTGGCCCTAACTTTTTTATTTGTGTTTGTACATCATTCTTGTTTTGACTCTCTTTAGGCATACTTTTTTCAGTAGGATCTTCCGGGTCCCCCTTTTTAAAACATCCTGGATCCAAAACTGTAAAATATGGCAAGACTATGAGGTAGCCCTTTTTCGAAAAACTTACACACTGAGTTTAAAAAATCTAAACTAAAAAAACACTCTAAAACTTTCTCACTAGGATTAATAAAGAAAACCACCAAGATTAAAAAAAAGCTTCAATGATTCACACTGAGAATAAAAAATTACGCAATGAGATTGGAAAAAGGAAAAACTCAGCCATTTTGTGTATCGTCGGGTAAGCCTAACTTCTTAACAAAAACTGTTTGTATAAAATACTTGAGCAATCGGCGATAAAAATTAGAATCACAGATAAAATTGAAATATTTTTTTTCTAATGTTTTAGGTATTAAATATTACACATCTACATATATATATTCTTCCCCTCTCAATCCTATCTTTACTCGAACTCTTTTTACTCACGCATTATTCTCCTTTTGCAACCAAGTGGCAGCGCTAGAATTACTCATTTGTATTTTGTCGCACCTATTTTTCTCCAGAGAATAGTATAAACATTATACTCCGTTTTTGGGTGGTGGTGGTGTTTTAGATGGGGTACCGTAAGATGGAAAGAATGGGGGTGTTGGGGGGGGGGGGGGGGGGGTGTTATTATTTTTTACCGGACAAACTCAAAATAAGTCATCGCTATATAAAATTTTCCCATGGCATGTACTTTTGAAATTTCCACACCACAAATAAACAATATACTGTATTTTTCTTCGATGTATCTTTCTTGGTGGTAATTGAATAGTTATGCATTGAAATGTTTTTTTATGATCATATTTTGATGATTATAATTATGTTCTTTAAAATGCAAGTACTATCAGGAATTGTCTTTCAAATCTTTCATTTTAATAATAGATTTCTTGATTAAGGTTACTTCTTCTTTTTGGTTTTAGAGTCTTCCACATAATAAAACTTTATATATCTCTAACCGAAACTAGACGAGTTCATCTAGTGGAGCAGGAACTATAATTCATCCTACGGAAGCATGTGTGTTTATATATCTCTAACCGAAACTAGACGAGTGACACTAGTGGAGCAGGAACTATGATTCATCCTACGGAAGCACGCGTGTTTATATATCTCTAACCGAAACTAGACGAGTTCATGTAGTGGAGCAGGAACTATAATTCATCCTACGGAAGCACGTGTGTTTATATATCTCTAACCGGAACTAGACGAGTGACACTAGTGGAGCAAGAACTATAATTCATCCTACGGAAGCACGTGTATTTATATATCTCTAACCGAAACTAGACGAGAGCCACTAGTGGAGCAGGAACAATGATTCATCCTACGGAAGCGCGTGTGTTTATACCCAGTGTTTTGGTTGGGTTAATGTTGCTAAATCTTTAGTTTCCTGTGAAGTGTTGTATGAACAGTTATTTTTTTGTCATTATTTAATTTTTTTTTTATTCTAGTGTTTTTTGTTTTTCCTCGACATACGGTTCGGATTTTAACTTTTACTTTGTGTAAAACTTGTTAAGTAACTTTAAACTTTTTACTGTTTTTTTTTTCAATTGCGCCTGGTTTTAGGGGAATAATTACAATATTGTTTTATGAAGCAGGACTCATTACTTTTTCTTTCCATGTATTGTAATTCTATATATGAATTATAAGGGAATTGTAAAAGATCACGTCTTCCTGGACTGTTCTTGAAGTTGTATGAAATCTATTCCAAAGAACAGTCACCGATACATAAATATGTAAGTAAAGTGGAACAATTGCTGCATCAGCAGTTTTGGTTTTTCAAGCATTCGTTCGGGGTTTGCTTGAACTTTTTTGAAAGTTTCACTTGCATTTTTGTTTTTGTTGTTCAAAATGCTGACTTTAATAAGTGAAGTTCTTTTCTGATCTGACTTTTTCGTCCTTCTCTATAGGTTATAATGAAAAGACGATATGTACGTTGATTGAATGTTGTTCGCTTAAAATCCAGTGGCAAATATTTCGTGCATATTCAGAATTATTACAATGGGTGAGTTATGCCGGGATGATAGGCGGATAATTTGGACTGTCACTGAAAAATGAGGCTATGTTTGATATGGTTCACTTAGATATTTTACTTAGGGAGACCCAGAGATTTGTTGCAAGGAAATTTTTTTAAAGCGTTGCACTACACAAGGGATCGGATTCAACGTTCCGTTCCGACCGAAAGCGACTGCGTATTCATACATCCCTAACAGTCGAATGTATATCCTACCTTATAAAGGGTTTTACATCCGGATATTTCTAATCCAAGTATCATAATTTTTCAAGAACAAAATATATCTGGTGCATGACATTAACGTCAAAATCATTATATATTCTGTATTGCACATCATATTTGGTATTAAAAAAAAATACAGAATTAAATTTCAGTGTCATATGTATAAAATATTACATTAAAAACAATTACATCATTATATTTCCATTTTAACATTTACACGATAACATTTACATTATTACATTAAAAGTTCTAGGGTAGGCAAGAAAAATTAGTGGTGTTAGGGAGGCATGAAACAAGACTATATTATGGTTCGTCATATATCAAAATAAAGTTGAACATCTTGTTAGAAGGAAACTTTCTCACTGAATGCAAACTTTAAGCTTCCTTTATTAAGATATGACATACATTGGGAATCCATGCAGTTAACTCGATGCAGTTTTCATAACAATATTACATTTTTGACATGCAGGTTGGGCTCATTTCACACGCCTTTTTCTTTATTTCTCACAATATATCAACAAATTCCTTTGCATCAATGCATTAATTCAATATCAATATTGTTTTATCATTCGTTGTATCATTGATTTCAGTAAGCTTGCTATGTCCTTCATTGACGTAATTGCTGGATTTCCCGATTTACTTGTAAGCTTATCAAATCAATCGAAATAAACGTCATGTTTAATAAGCTTCTTACATTTCTAAGTAATAAAGATAAACCGAAGATTGACTGATTGATTGATTCTTGGTGTTAAACGCCACTTTGAGCACCCTGAGCTATATCATGTCGGCAATTTTTTATTGACTGGAGAGAACCATTGACCGACGGTAAAACAACAAACTGGCAATCCTAGTCAATTAAGATCGGAGTTCTGCTGATAGAAAAAGGGAGTATGTTGAAAAGTATTTTGCGTTTCACAGACCATTTACGGATCCCTCAAATTGTTTGTTTTCATGAATATTGTTTGGTAATAAATTATTTTCTTGCTTTGTATTTATTTGTTGTAATTTTCTAATTTCTATTTCATCTGTGTAGTTAGAAATATCAAAGAATTGCTCACTCACTTGCATTTAACAAAATGTTTAACTATTTTCTAAATTAATTGTAAGAATCCATTTGTCTATTTCATATTTTGTTTTAATTTTATTGTAGAAGAAATGTTTACTGTTTTCATTTTATTTTAATTTTTTCAAAGATTATATTTTCATAGCTATCTTTTAGCTCTTTTTAAATATTATTTGAGAATGAATTCTCCTCTTGTTTATGTTTTTTCCCTGTACTTAATTTATGTTATTTTCATCACTAGATATTCTTATTGAATATTTCATTGAAAGCACTTTAATAAAACCGTCAACGCGATACTCAGCTAATTCTAATCCTGCAGCTTTAGTAGCAGATTATATTCTAAACTCTAGTTTGGATTTGCAAAATTATATCCACTAGACTGGTATAATGTATAATCATTCGTTGATTACAAACCAAAACTAATTATATCTCTATTTTGTGCTAGACATAGAGGCTCATAGCTTCCTCATAGAAATCCATATGCTAAATTCCGGGGAGTCTTGGTAATTCCGGGGAGTCTTATTCCCTAATTTCGGGGAGTCTTGGTAATTCCGGGGAGTCTTATTCCCTAATTCCGGGGAGTCTTGGTAATTCCGGGGAGACTTGGTAATTCCAGGGAGTCTTGGTAATTTCGGGGAGTCTTGCTAATTCCGGGGATTTTTGGTAATTCCGGGAGTCTTGGTAATTCCGGGGAGTCTTGGTAATTCCGGGGAGTCTTGGTAATTCCGTGGAGACTTGGTAATTCCGGGGAGTCTTGCTAATTCCGGGGAGTCTTGCTAATTCCGGGGAGTCTTGCTAATTCCGGGAAGTCTTGCTAATTGATTTAATTTATCCAATTTTTTATATGTTGATAGAAACTCTTTCTGTAAATTGATCTTAACACAGAAAACACTTTAGCGCCTTTCTTTGTTTCCTATTCCATATGTGCCGACGTAAATTTTGGGGAAACTTGTTATCATTTTTGTAGAATGCAAAACTTTATAAACCTTGAGGAAAAATGTTTTGACAATGTTTTTACATTTCAGCTTAATAAATGTTTAATATATAATACGAAAAAAATGTTTCGATGCTTAGAGTTAATCATATGTTTCTTAAGAAAATAATACGGATTGGTATATACGTATGTGTTGCATTTATGTAGATAAGAACCTCAACAACTCTACCTCACGCTGAATAGTAGAGACTTACGAGAAGATACATAAATTAGTTATTTTTAGCTCACCTGGCCTAAAAGGCCAAGTGAGCTTTTCTCATCAATTGGTGTCCGGCGTCCGGCGTCCGTTGTCCGTCGTCCGTCGTCCGTCGTCGTTAACTTTTACAAAAATCTTATCCTCTGAAACTAATGGGCCAAATTTTACCAAACTTGGCCACAATCATCATTGGGGTATCTAGTTAAAAAACGTCTCCGATGACCCGGCCCGCCAACCAAAATGGCCGCCATGGCTAAAAATAGAACATAGAAAATTGGATTATATCTCTGAAACCAAAGCATTTAGAGCAAATCTGACATGGATCAAATTGTTCATCAGGTAAAGATCTGTCTGCCCTGAAATTTTCAGACAATTCAGACAACCCATTGTTGGGTTGCTGCCCATGAATTGGTAATTTTAAGAAAATTTTGCAGGTTTTGGTTATTATCTTGAATATTATTATAGATAGAGATAAACTATACACAGCAATAATGTTCAGCAAAGTAAGATCTACAAATAAGTCAACATGACCAAAATGGTCAATTGACCCCTTAAGGAGTTATTGCCCTTTATAGTCATTTTTTTAACAATTTTTTGTAAATTTTTGTAATTTTTTACAAAAATCTTCTCCTCTGAAACAACTGAGACAAATCTAACCAAACTTGGGCACAATCATCAATAGGGTATTAAGTTTAAAAAATGTGTCCGATGACCCCGCCTACCAACAAACATGGCCGACATGGCTAAAAATAGAACATAGGGGTAAAATGCAAGTTTTGTTTATTATTTTTTGAACCGTTATAAATAGAGAAAATCTGAAATGAGCACCAATGTTCAGAATAATGAGCTCTACCAATTGTCCATATGCGTCAAAACTGTTAGACAAATTCTTATAGGAGTTATTGCCCATAAATGACAAATTTTACCATTTTTTTCATTTTTGCCTATTATCCTGAAAACTATGATATTTAGAGAGAAACATTATTTTTTCGTTAGGCCTTATATGATTTAAATTATAATAGACAAATAAACACTTGAAATCACAAAAATGATCAGCAAGGCAAGATCTATTAAAAAGTCAAATTTTGCCGATATAGTTAGTAGACTGTCACTCTTCATAGGATTGCCCTTAAATGAGAATTTGTTTTACCCTCTTTTGTGTTTTGAGCAAAAACTAAAGAAAATAGAGAGAAACTAAACAGACTTAAAGATCAGTAAAACAAGATCAACAAAAATAGAGATTTTTGTCATGAAGTCTATTCTCGTCTACAATGTTGGAGAGTGTCCTTTGTTTGATATGCACATACACCAAGGTGAGCGACACAGGCTCTTTAGAGCCTCTAGTTTAAAAATGTCTGACCTATCCAAATGATCCAAAAAGGGTCTTGATGGGTGGTCCTTCGTTCTGTATTTTTGAATTTTTTAAAGTCATACTTCTCTTACTTTAGATCTGTTGCCCATTGTTCTCTATTTTATATTTTGTGGCCTATTTTTCTCTCTTCTATATTTTTTGGGCACATTTTTTAGTAGTATTTGCACATAATTCTATATTCTATAATTTGTAAACCCAATCCAAACCCTCAAACAAACATACATTTGAGTTATATTAAAGTTCTACGGATCTTTTCATAAAAAATCTTACGACTAAAATTGATCGGGAGTTATACTCAAATGTGACTTATAATTATTTTTTCTCGTAAGTTTTTTTGAGAAATGAGTCGCTGGTTAAAGGGAAATAACCCAATTTGGACAGTGTTCCATGCAATAAAGGTTACAATACATCATTTTGTGTAAAGTAAAAGTAGGACAAAATATGCAATACATAAATAGTCTTAAAATAAAACTATGAAATTAGAATAATCATGATAATACATGTATGTAAAATAGTTTTTGAAGTTACTGGATCATTTTTCCAGTTTTATGTATTATCAGAAATCACATTTGATGATTTCATTACCTTTAAAGTATCTCCAAATGAAATAATAGTATTCTAATCTTATGTTCATTTACTAAAATGTAGATTGTGAAAAAGATATGTGGGCTTAATTCACATTGGAAAATGACGTTGCAAATCGAAATGTCTTTTGTTTGAAAAGAGGAAAATCAGATGGCGAAAAAAAACTTAACATGGTATAAAAATATTGTTTTGGCGAAAGAGGTGGCGGAAAACAAATTTGACCCTGGTAACTATTAATAAATTCCATAGATCTGTTTAACTGTATTCAACCTATTAATATAACAACATGTGATTTATTTACCCTTTAAATAATTATTTCGCATTTTAATCTAAAGACAGATAGATAACAAAATTAGGTCTAGAATAGAGAATGGAAACGGGGAATGAGCCAAAGATCCAACAACCCGACCAAAGAGCAGAAAACAGCCCAAAGCCACAAACGGGTCTTCAACGCAGCGACAAATCCCGCATCCGGAGGCGGCCTTCAGCTGACCCCTAAACAATAATGTATACTACCTGTAGTTCAGCGAAATGAACGACATATTAAACTCCGAAACATACATATGAACCAAAATTAAAAAAAAATACACAAGACTAACAAAAGCTAGAGGTCCCTGACTTAGGACAGGTGCAAAAATGCGGCGGGGTTAAATAACATGTTTTGTGAGATCTCAACCCTCTCCATATACCTCTAGCTTAGGTGAAATAAACAAACACACAGTAAAACTCATTTTGATTAGTCCTACATGTATGTGTAGTGAAATCAACAAATCAAAATATTTTTAAATTTCGAATATTTCTACAAAAATGGGAGTCGTAGATGCCAATTTCTTGGTTTTGGTCATGCAAATTTTACGTTGTAAAGAACTGCACTGATTGCAGTTCTGTACAACGTAAAATTTGCATGACCAAAACCAAAAAAATTGTATCTACGACTCCCATTTTTGTAGAAGTATTCGAAATTTTAATCAGTTTGATTCCAAAAACAAGTACATCGAGGATGATATTATAAAAATGCTGGACTTTTTGATCAGCCACATGTTTGTTGACTTTGATGGATTAATATTTCAACACGCAGTCGGTATTCCAAACGGAAACAAGTATTCACCCCATCCCAACCGTCCGACATGTTCATTATTCAGTATCCATATGAATCATAATTCCTACAAAACCTTCTCAAAGACAAAATAATGTTGCTAAGCTATTTAATTCAATTTTCAGATATATATGTGATGTCCTGTCACTCAATAACACGCATTTCAATGAGTGCTTGCATCTCATATATGCCAGTGAATTTGAAAAAAGGATATCAACGAAACTAGAATGTCAGCTTGATATCTTGATATTTTCTTCGATATAGACACTGATGGGCGACTTCAAACTAGGATATATGACAAACGTGATGAAATCGCCTTTCCAATTGTCAAGTTCCCATTTCTTAGCAGTAAAATACCTCTGCCTCATCATGTGGCGTTTGCATATATCATTTGATACGTTAAGTTCGTGCATTTTCGAACTATACTGACATCATAAGCAGGGGTGTGATAATTATCCTGTCGATTTACCGGTCTTGCTTTTTGAGTTCATGCGATTTCGTTTGTTTTTGTCTTTTTCGTTGATTCGGCATTTCTAATTAAATAAAAGGTACCACCCTTTCCTCTTACCGATCCGTTCTTTATTCTTATTAGGCATATTTCAGACGAGAGATTCTCAAGATTAAACTTTTACATCACGCTATGCTTCATAGATTACGCATTTCCACTTAATCCAAAGATTGACGACTATGTTGATTGCATCTATCCCAATGAGCTTGAAATAGAGGATATACTTTTAGTGTTCAATATTAACTTGTTGCGTTCGATGGGCTTTTCTAGATTTGTCTTCATCAGGAACACCCATAGTCCATACCCAACCAAATGAATGCCAAGTATGTATAGGAATCTAATCACGTGGAGATCTTTGTGATCAAAAGAGACCTATGAAAATAAGCAAATTTATCTACTTGGTGAACCTTGATTAAGGGAGTTGTAACCTTAGTTAAAATGAAACACTTTTTCAATTTATCAAAGGAGAGCTATTGCAAAAGTAGGTTTTAAATGATGTACGTACCGAAGCATTAACAATTGCGCTGATAATACCCTTGGGAACTAACAGAAGACCAGTAATCATACAGACCCACTTTGTTATTGGTTTGATCTTTTAACTGTGTTGATTCGAGCGTAATTGACGAGTCTGGTGTAGACGAAACCCACGAACATATAAAAACTGATGACTGATCATAGTCTGAAGTCTTATGAACAACTGAAGTATGTTATTTTGCAGATTCAAATTGATTTAAATTTTCGAACTCAGGTGCCAAACAAGTGGCCTTATCATCCGAACCGCCCTTTTTGCTCGATGCATTGAATTTTTTCGACAATTTCCGTTTACCATCATTTTTCAGTAAATCAATTTAAGAAAAAATATTGCATACATCGAGCAGCACTGCTGTGCATTTTCCCGAATAGTCATTCTCTGGCCTTTGTTAGTCTTGTATGTTTTTTAATTTTAGTTCATTTATATGTTTTGGAGTTTAGTATGACGTCCATTTTCACTGAACTAGTACACATTTTTATTTAGGGGCCAGCTGAGGCCCACCTCCGGGTGCGGGATATTCTCACTCCGTTGAAGACCCATTGGTGGCCTTCGGCTGTTACATGTATCTGCTCTTTGGTCGGGTTGTTGTCTCTTTGACATGTTCCCCATTTCCATTCTCAGTTTTATTTAATTACAAATACGTAATTTTTTATTCAATTATATAATGAAACAGGTTTTCTGCTTTTAATGCTACGTAAAAACATTGTATCATAAAATGATGTTTGACTCCATTCCGTTAAGTTATATCACAAAGAATAACCAGTGATGAAAATGACAAATTTGCCTGCTTTCTATTCCATTCACGAAAGAAATTAATTGCATAGCAGAAAATATGAGATAATAAGCAAACTATATTAAAATCCTTATTTGTTTTGTTTTTTATCATGATGATATATGTCATGTAGTGGTAATATATCTTATATTGCAGCACTGCCTAGTACGAACAGGTTGTAGTTGTTCTGAAAAAAAAAATATGATAGATTGTAAGATTGATTTTTTCATATGACACATGCTTCGTCTTTTCTCGAGACGAAAAAGAAGCTTAGTCTGTATCCGTATTTTTCAATGATTTTGGAAACATTAATTTTCATAATATCAGTTTTGGAAAATAAAAACAAGTGAAAGACGAAATTAAGGTGGTACCCAACACCTTGACTAATATTAATTTGGCTCGTTTAATTTTCATAAAATTTTGACAAAATGTTTACTTTGACCCTTTGACAAAAATATAAAAATTTAAAAAAATTTGAACCAACCACTTTATCAGAAAAATTTCATTGGTTATATAGCAGTTTGATAAACACTAATTTTGATCATTGAGAAGCTTAATATTTCCTTAACAATACAACGTAATTAAAACGTTTAGCTGATTTTTACAGAGTTATCTCCCTGTAGTGTTAGGTACCACCTTAAGAACCGTGTTCTCCTTTCCTGTAATGATACTGGTTTTAACAAAGACTTATAGGGGAAATCAATGGTGGTATAGTTGTATGCACTTTTCAAAACAAATTGTGCAAAATTTATCTTTGTTTCAAATAAAGAAATACTTGGCATGAGTAAAGTTTTATCCTGTCCAGTACTATAGACAACATTTCACATTACATTGCATTGCATATAAGAAAATAACCATCACTGGAAATTAACCAATCAAATATTCACCCCTTTTCTCCTGTGTACAAGCTTTAGTAACCTAGTAACCTCAAGTTTCCAAAATATTCTATAGAAACACCAAATAAAAAAAATAATGGTGCTTTGAAACACCCCGGCAAGATATATGTTTATGACTCAGAATTTTTTTACTGCAATGAAATGTAGGATTAATTTCCTACAACTGTCAAATTCAAGGGAATATTTTTTTTTGACCCTTTTTCGTTTGCAACCGGATGTGACGTACTATGATTTGGTGGTATTACACCTATATGACAAACCATGAACTGTTGTTTTGAATTATATCATATGATAGCAAATGTTGGCATATTAGTATCTGCATCATCAATGTCCTTTAGAGCATTAGCCCAAACATCTTCAACTGTTTTGGGTGGTAGAAGTGATAGGACATCAGCTCTCCGAATAAGTAGATGGATGTTGTCGTTTTCTGAGAATAAATATTGATGCACCTTAGAGCCGAACAGACAAGGAGAAGGAACAGAATCTCTTGGACTTGCATTCGATGTACTGCCAGCATGAAATAACGAGGGATTTTTATGTCAGAAGCTTAGGATATAAATTTCAAGCCCGCACTTACTTGTAAATTATGTTTTAGTTTTAAGTTTTATGACAGTGTTTTTTTTTACTATTAATTCTAATGACAATACCTCCCGTTGAAGAAGCCATGGATCCCAAACCGATATTACTAAACGTTGTATGACAAAAGCATTTACGAAAATGCTGGTGAAAGACTACATTATCTCTCTGATAAAAAAAATCTAAAAAAAAAAACCACTTTATATTTCAATTTGAAAGTACATATTACAATAGATCCACAAATGCTGAATGACCAATCAGAACAATGTATTATGGCCAATCAGGGTTCCCAGAATGCACTGTTCATTCATTCATCGTTTGTCGAAACCTTTGATATTTCTTTTCCTGATTAAATGTCGTTTTTTATGAATCACACTATTGCTTAAAGGCTGAAATTAAATTAGACTGATTTTATCCTAATATAAAGTTAAAAAGTTATTATAAAAGTCAGTGGGGGGTATTGCCATTAGAATTTTCTTGATAAGTTTAAGGGGTTATAAACCTGTCATCTCCTTTACATCTTTTATTGAAACTTACAACTCCATAAGGAATATAAATAGTAACTTACCTACAATTCTTGCAATATCTGAAATAAAGAATGTATACCCGATAATTATATGTATACGAAATAACTATATTCATATTTTGCAAACGTATGATTATTCTATAAACTAAAGATAGTTCCTCTCCGGTTTTAGTGCATAGTGTTCATGTTTTCTAAATCTTTGTAATGCACCTTCAAAAAAGAGGTACTTGTATCACTCACCTGACACACATAAACTAATCATAGATACCAGGATTAAAATTTTGTACGCCAGTCGCATGTTTTGTCTACAAAAGACTCATCAGTGACGCTCGAATCAAATAAGTAAAAAAGGCCACATAATAGTAATAAGTACTAAGTTGAAGAGAAATATATAACAATATGTTTAATTTCAAGAATCATCATCTTCAAAAACAAACAAACAAGAAATTCTCTGAAACTGACATTATCAAGATGATTGATTTCTTGTTTGACAACATCTTTTTTACGTTTGAAGGACGTGTTTTTCAACAAACAATGGGGCATTCCTATGGGAACCAATTGTGCTCCTCTTCTTGCAGACATGTTCATTTATTCATATGAGGCTGACTTCATACAGGAACTTCTTAGGAAAATAGAAAAGAAGGTAGCAGTAACCTTTAATTTCACTTTCCGCTATACAGATGATGTTCTCTCACTAAATTAATCAAAATTTAGTGAGTATGTTAAACGCATCTATCTCATCGAACCTGAGATAAAGGATACAACAGATACACTCTCTCATATCTTCAATTACATCTAGAAATTGACAATGAGGGTCGGTTGGAAACAAACCTTAACGACAAAAGAGATGATTTCAGTTTCCCAATTGTGAACTTTCCAATTCTATGTAGCAACATACGGCAGCGCCTGCATACGGAATATATATCTCCCAGTTGATAAGCTATTCCAGGGCTTGTATTTCCTATCATGACTTCTTTGATAGAGGGTGGCTGCTCTCAAGGAAGCTATTTAACAAAGAGTTCCAAGTGGTGAAGTTGAAATCATCCCTTCGTAAATTGTACGGATGCCATCACGAGTGGGTTGACCGTTATGGATTATCTGTTTTACTACAATCCCGTCCCCTTTTCCCGATTGTGACCTACCGAATTAGACGTATCACCGGGTTTATACTCACATGAGCAACAAGACGGGTTTTACATGTGGAGCAAGATCTGCTTACCCTTCCGGAGCACCTGAGATCACTCCCAGTTTTTTTTGTTGGGTTCGTGTTGCTCAGTATTTAGTTTTCTATTTTGTGTTTTGTGTATTGTTGTTTGTCTGTTTTTCTTTTTCTTTTTTTAACCACGGCGTTAAATGAAAAATACCCGTATAAACAAAATCAACGTTTGTTACGGTCTACAAGTCATGCTGTAATCTTTTGAAGAGAATAATTAATACCGGGGTTTGGGGGAGGGGGGCATAGCCCCAAGAAGCTATCGAGGTTTTGTTATTTAGACAAGAAGAATCTATCAAAATTTCGTTTCATCATAATCATGTTAATATGCCTTACACTATGTTATACTACAGATTTATTAGTTGATTACTGGTACCTACGTCATTTTCAATGTTCAAATGAATACATAAATGTTCTCAAAACATTCACCACTTTTTCAAATCGAATTCTTTCAGTGAATGTCCAAGATTTGTAATTCTTTACGAATAAAAGGAGATGGATATGGGTATATTTTAATGAGACAGCAAGCCAACAAAACAAAACAAAAAATTAAAAGTTATCTAGAAAAACAACTGAAACAACTGAGAATTATTTAAAATATTTTTTATGATGATCGTTTATTTTTAAATTCGTGGATCACGAACCAACGAATAGATGATATTCACAAAACGACGGACGGAAAAAAAAAATCGTGATAAACTAGAAAATAATCTGAAAGCACTACGGCACTTTTATTGGTTGCATTTTACCCTGATATTTCTTGGAAGGTCCCCAAATTGGACTGAAGAGCTGACACATTTACATTTTCTTGCATGTTTTTGAACTAATTCCTATTTTGAAAGTGACAACCGGCGAAGTACTAACGGAAACATCTATGTTATTATTAAGTCTTCATAATAAATGAAAATAGTATTTGTTTGATTTTTTTTATATAAAATGCACGAATTAACAAATATGTAATTATATGTTTCTCTGGAATTAATGACTCCTTTAAACATTAAAAATTCCCTGCTACGAGAATAAAACTTGAGAACAACATACAAATTAGTTTTTGTGCATGTTGATTGAAAATGTCAACACACAATGATGTTTCAGTTTTAGACGTAACCCGTTATTAACGAGGGTATGAATTTGGGTCTTCATTTTTTTTATATTGTTTAATTCTCAAAATTGATTATTTAGCTGAATGATCAAGTCATTCGATTGGAGAAGGCTTGTGAGTTGGAGTATCATTTATTTCACGGAATTTGCTTGGGGTAGGATTAAACAAATCTGTCAGCTTCAATTGTATCCTCTATTTTGACTCCAACATATTTACATAACTGTATCCTACCGCAAAGAGGGTTTTCGATTAGGGGAGGAAACTGGTCCATAAATCTTGAATTCGTGAAGTGTATGAATCAATAACGGCAACAAGACGATACAAGTTGGTATATTAGCGTTTAGTAGCGAATCTCCTGCATCAGTTGGATTGTATATAAAGGACACGGTTTTATTTTTGTTTTTTTTATCCCTCGGTTGCCTCAACGTAAGCTACATGTACGCCAATGCGGCTGCCAGTGACGGCTGAACGTTTTACATTTTTTGTTTTTCATTGCTCTTATACTCCGTAATTTATTTGGCGTCCCAACTGTTTTTGAAGAAATGTGCGTCAGCTGCACAATATGACACTCATGGCATCATTAAAAGTAGACGTTTCGTTCCAGAAGGTATTCCAACCAAGTGAACAGCGCTGAGTTTTTTTCCACCCCAAGTATAGATGGCCTTAGACACCTTTGACACAAGTTTTAATTTTCAATGCTCTTCAAGTTTATAATGATTTTTTTTGTTGGTTTTTGTGGCATAATAAATTATGAAAATGCCTTTGTTTAGTTTTTATTCCTATAGAATATCGTAAAAACTTCTAGCCATGTTATTGTATGTATAGTATAGAAGGGCGTAGATATATTCTAATGTGTTAATAATTGCTTAGTCCATCTATTTTTTGCCGCTTTTTGAAAATCTGTAAATCTGGATTAAACACATCAACCAAGTGAAAAAGCATAGCAACCTAAATGTAGGCTGAGCAATGTTAAACTGGGGACATTTATGAAAAACTGCAAATAAAGTAAAGAGGACTCTTATAATATTTTACATTTTTGCACTCATTTTTATCGCTACACACTTTTTTTTGTTATTACGCTCTCCGTGCAGACTCATTGAAACGAAAAAAGCAGAACACTGAAAAGCAATTTCTTAAAAAATGTTAAGCACTGCTAGTATTTACATTAAAATTATGACATCGTATAACAATACTTACAGAAGCTGTCCTTTAGAACTGAAAAGTATCAACATCATAAAGTTTAAAACACGTTGAAATAAATAATGTACAACATGAAGCCAACTAAGGAAAAAAAAATGAAATACAATCAGGAGGATAATTGTTCGTTCCTGTTTTAGTTGAAAGATGAAGGGACACACTTTCGTTTGAAGTTCATACAAGTTCATAGTTAAAAGTCTCGGCGGGAATAGGTAAATGCTAATTATGATAGTATATCGGTTCTGCAGTCATCTCTTTAGTTCTCCAAAAGTTCAGAATTATAATGTATTGCTTACACAGATGCACAGGACGAATCTAAACCGAAACATTTTTCGTTTACATTTACCCAGGCTATACATTCTTCTTTTATTTCATTCAAATTAAATTTATGATTCATATACGTATTTTTTTTTTTTGGTCAAGCACTGTGTCAAGTTTATATTTAACCTTTGTATGACGTTGAAAAATGACGTTAAGATCAATTTAGAGATTTTTGTAGTGTAGCCTTGTTTATGTTGTTCAATCTAAAATATTTTACCTCTTTTCACCTGACCAATTGATACTAGTTTATTGGTACAAATTATAATGGGGATGAGTTAGCACCGTTATATTCCACTGTTGACCTTGATCTTAATGATTTCTATTGCGTTAATTCTGTATTTGTTCTTATTCAGATTTATAATGAAACTCAAAAGCCTTCGAAATCTTAATGCAATTGATAGGACAAATTTGACAAGAATATTAATCAATTATCTAACTTTATAAATTTCAAAACGATGAATTGAAATGTAAAGTTCCATGACTAAGGTGAAATTCTTCCTAATCTTTCATGGACTACCTAAAGAATCTTTAATTCCGTTGTTGCAATAAAGTGGAGAAAATTCTGTATCGGTTGTTTGTTTAAAACATAATATTGATACACTATCTATTTCATGTATTTAGTGAGGCAGAATTGTATCTAAAAAGTTGACTTTCGTGTGATACAAAATTGAATCCGAAATATTTGATTTGATTAGATATGCACACCAGGAATTTATTGCTCTTCAGTTGTGCTCCAAACTAAAAATTCGTAAACCGAAAGTAATTAATTATGTTAGCTTTCGTCGTTTTTTCGTTTATTTGCCATGACCGTGTCAGGTTTTTTTTCGGATTATGAGTTTTGAATGTCTCCCTGGTATCTTCCGCCTCTTTTTTTTTAACTTTGTTTTTCAAAGTATCAAAATGTTCCTTTTCACTTTTGTTTGCAAGTGAAATGTACGTTATTTGGGATGATATGAGTAAATAAACTTATTGCTGTAACGTACATATGTGATGTCAAAGAGAAAATGCACAGCTTCATTAATGTAGCAGAGATCTAATTGTATCTTCGATATCTCATGCATTTATCTTTTCATTACAGATAATTAATAAATGGGTTGCAGAAAGATTGTTCTATTTATATTTATTCCCCGAGCCATTTTGTCCATAGTTATAATTTTACCATTAAACCTTAATTTTTTAATGTCATTTTTAAAATGTTATCTGGAGATAGCGATTTTAGTACTCATTACATAGAACAAATGTATACAACTGTAACACATAGATAACTAATAGTTCATTTTTATTTGAAAACCCATACGTTAGTTCCAGCCAAATTATAATGTGCTCGTGTATGCCTGTACCAAGTCAGAAATATGACAGTTGTTTTCCACTCGTTTCATGTGTTTGAGCATTTGATTTTGCCATTTGATAAGGGACTGTCCGTTTTGAATTTTCCTTGGAGTTTGGTATTATTAATTATTTTAATTTTTATGCATTAATGTATAAATGTTTGAATTGTTTCGGTATATAACAGTGAGTCATTTACGACAGTATTTGTTAGTGTCTTGCAGATATAATTCATAATTAATGTGTTCTGAAATCGACATCAATAGCAATACATTCCGTTCAAACCGGCTATAAGGGCTGGCTTGGAACTGCAGTGAGGTTAGTGTTTCTGCTTTATATTAAAGGCCTCGCTGTAACCTTTAGGCAAATAAAAGCAATATAAGCTGTTTTCTTGTGGGTTTGGTTATTTTATGTAAGCGAATGATTTTGTGTCTTGAACTGATACACCATGCCCTTGTTTTTAATTATACAATACAGGCTTCAATTAAAAAGCTCATTCATTATCATAAATTCCCCGACAAAAAAAAAGATGACTAATTGTCTTCCGTTATTTTTTTTTTTGGGTAGTATAACCGATAATACATAAAAAAAAAGGATTCACTTGCACACAAACCTCTCCCTATCTTGTCTATATGTCATTCAGCTAAACAAATAAAATGGAAAAAAATCATATATTCAGAGCAATGACGAAAAAATTTAATCTCAAAATATGCAAGTTTTCTTATTCTAATGTAGATTTCAAGGTTTGTAACATATGTCTAAAAATTTAAAAATTAAAATAACAAAAATACACTCACCTTTCGACAATGCTGAAACAACAATAACAGATGTATAATTATATACAGTTTACTATGAGCATAAATAATGATGATACATTGGTTCCAGAAATGTGACAATTATTTTCAGAAAAAAAGCTAAAATAAATTATGTAATCCAAATGAGTAATTTAAATCTTCGAATATTCTTCTGAAGTTTATTTTTTATGAATGCAAGATGTGACAACGAACATTAAAACATACCAGTGACTACAAGAAACCTAATTTACGTTAAAGAGAGGCGAAGGATACCAAAAGGACATTCAAACTCAACAAGGTTGTTATTGGACGTATCTATATTGTTTTCACCGTTAACTTGATTGACTGAATTAAGATATCAATTAGAACAGACATGATTAATTTTGTTGACGCTAATTGCTCTTTGAAATAAAGGAATGCTATCAATATTTGTTGGTAACTGTAAACATTGAAAAAGCAACCCTGAAAAACAAAAACCCATCGAAGCTCTCAAAAGTTAAAGTTATCTGCACGTATCATTTACAAATCAAGCGAGATGACCCTTCCCATTGTTAAATCTCTAATAATTGTCCGAAACTTGGTAACTTGAACTATTAAAACCAATGACTTACCATTAAAAAAACAATTGATGATACAATGAACAATTTTCAGTTACGGTATATAACCAAAGGTTAAGTGTTGTCGTCTTGGAAAACATAACATATTTATTTGTTGTAATTGATTTTTAGCTTACATCAGTTACCATTTTATATCTGTAATTTTTGTCTTTTGCCTTATTGTTACTAAACACAATTTGAGATTTTTGTATTTGTTTTGCACTACCGCAGGTTAGGCGAGGGTTGAGAGCCCCCAAACATATATAACGCCGAAACGTTCTGTATGTGCCTGTCGAAATATAAGTAGAAGTAGTTAATCGATGCTCAGAGTCAGGATCATAAATTTCAGTAGTTGCCGAACGATTAGCTATCATATCTGTTTTTCGATTATTGTTTGAACATAAATCATGCCGTTGGTTTTTGTTGTTTGTCATGTCTGGGCCTTTTATGGGTTGTTTTGCAATATAAATTTTCCTATTGATGAAGGCCGTACTGTGACCTTTAGTTGCTAACATCTTTGTCCTTTGGATAATAGTTCTCGCATTGACAATCATACCACTTCTTCGTATCTTTTTACTAACACCAGAGCTTTTTTTTCTATTTTGTTTATTTTCATTGATGATGTTAACCCTAATGTCTATTTAGTTTTAATCATGCTCAACACATTATATTAATTGTGTTGACAACAAATTTGGTATAAAGGAGAACGTGCGTCAATAGTAACTGTATCTGTGATTGTTTCAAATTATGTTAATTTTATCAAAACTAAATAGTTATTAAATTTGTAAGTACATGTACATAAAATACATGATGATGTTTAACACTGTGGAAACTAACAGACGAAGTAACTTATACACATCATAGAATGCGAAACAAGTTTTTGGAAAATGAAAAATTTTGAATACCCAAGTCGTACCATTAAGTTCACCATACGTGTCTTCGTTCTTTATTTTTTTTAAAATTTTTTCATTCGAGCGTCACTGATGAGTCTTTTGTAGAAGAAACCCGAGTTTGGCGTACAAATTTTAATCCTGGTATCTATCTATATGAGACATAAATAATCAGTCAAATTAAGTCTGCAGTAGTTTACTGATGTTCAAAACGATTCTATGTAACAAATCCGTCGTTATGATATGTAAGGCACATCAAAAAGTTTTCAAATGTTTATATCATTTATGACTATTGAACAGTGGTATACTACTGCTCTTTGATCGGGGTATTGTCTTTTTGACCCATTCCCGATTTCCATTCTCAATTTAACTATTGCCTTTATAGATACATGTATCCAAAATATGAAAATATGAACGATTCTGAAAGGTAGATAATCGTTCTAATTGAATTTGAAATTTGGAAGTCAAGTGATTAATCAGTGAAAATAAACTAAGCAGTACAAATTAGAAAAAAAAAATTATATGATTTTATTGTCATAAACTCATCTCTTAAAAATTATTAAAACAATACTCACCTTATTTTCCTAAAATAACATAAAAAATGTATCAATACATAGTAAAATATATAGTAAAGCAAGTTACACTTGAAATGAGTATATATAGTTCTTTCCGTTGGAGTAAGGGATTTTCCCTGTATTTAATATAGTTACTATATTTATATGTTATACATAACTGGATAGATCAGTTGGAAAACGGGTTCTTGTTATTTTGGAGCTAAATATATATATATATTAGTTAATATGAGTCTTATATGTCATATGAGTTTGAAAATCTGGCTTATACTTAACAACTACTATCTTAGTTTTTTAAAATTCTATAGGATGTCATTATGCTCGATTAAAACATGACCAGTAGGACTGTCAATTTTGCATTTCTACATTGAGCGCCATCAGGATAAAAAGATTAAGATAAAATGTTTTGAAAGTATTAAAAACATATTAAACAATGTTTTTATATTTTTTTCAGCACTTCAACATTTGTATTGCTTTACAATTCAAACTTTTAAGAACAAGATATAAACCTGATGATAGAAAATTCCAGAAACGCATGTACAGCACACGGATATTTCTTTTTTGCTGTGTTTTTTTCCTATTTTTGCCATTTGTACCTATTATGTCTGTTTGTGTTGTTTACACATCGTTGTCAACATAGTGTAATTTTATACGACTGTCATAGAGATGAGAGGTTTAGCTAGCCATAAAACCGGGTTTTTTCCACCATTTTATATATAAGAAAATTTCTGTACCAAGTCAGGAATATGACAGTTGGTATCCATTCGTTTGATGTGTTTGAGCTTTTGATTTTGCCATTTGATTACGAACTTTCCGTTTTGAATTTTCCTCGGAGTTCAGTATTTTTGTTATTTTACTTTTTTCATACGTTTTTATAAATTTTAATATGAGGTTTTACATGGAAAAATGTCAAATGGTTGCATACGAATAATAATTCTAACATATCTTTTTGTTTGAAATGTTTTGTGTAATATTTCCATCCTCTGCTTTTTATCTATGGTATCGTGTGTTTTGCTCTAACATCTTAATATAATACATACCGAGGCTTCTGTCTGAAAATACACATGCAATAAGTAAAATGATACAAAAATTGGCACATATTTAATGTAATATCTTGATAAAAGATAAAAATATCTTAATTATTCCACAATCCTAAAAGATAATCAGTCACGTGTTCTCCTTTATATACAAAAGACACACATAACATTAAATCAACATGTATTGTGTGCTCCTTGACACTATTTTTAAAGGTAAAGCTTGATTGCATGCTTTTACTTACATTTCTTCAATTTGTTTTCTTATGTAAATTTAAAATGATGTTTCTAGCGCCAAACCATACGGCAACCTGTAGTTCTATATATTTTTGATCTTAGGTTAAAGGTTAAGTGGATATTTGTCTCACTAGAAATTAGAAGAACCATAGTACATGTACGTTATTTTAGACAGTTATGCATGGTTTTATAATCATTGGATTATTTATCATTATTGCTTAACAATTAAAATTAGTCTTTACAGGTATTTTGCATTTCAAGGTTGTGTATTTTTCGCCTATTTGTTTTTAAATATATTTACAGGTATTTTGCATTTCAAGGTTGTGTATTTTTCGCCTATTTGTTTTTAAATATAGGTACTTACTCTGAAATAATTTCTGTCCTGAAAGTAAGATCATTGAATGTTTAAAGATATTTTAACAAAAGTACGCAATAGAATTTACTAATTAAATGCAAAAACACAAAAAAATAATCAATTAGTGCGTTCAATACAAAATTGTCGATAATGCAAATGAGTATGTGCAGCCCCTGGACGCAATTTCTACCAGCAGTGGCATCGCACGACGTAGTCGTCAACAGAACTCATAAAAGATACCAGGCTACATTTGATTCATCAGCTTGAAATGAAAACAGCAAACCAAATCAATCAAGACGATGCACAGCACTGAAAACTAAGTTTTCAAAAATTTAAAAAGTGAACTAGAGTGAATATAGAATTCCACTGTCAATCGAGTTTACAATAAAGATTAAAATAATTCAATCCAAATGTAATATTGCAAAGTTTCAACCATGCAATATGAAGAACAAACTTTAATTATTCGATATAAATGATTTTTAAAAAAGTTTGAAAATAATACATTTTTGTATTTTTTCAAACTTAAAATTTATTCTTTTTCTGTAAAAAGAAATATACATGTTTAGTTTAAATATAGAAAAATCAAAGATTTAGACCAAGTAGCGAAGTCCAATAAAAACAGACAACACCATTGCCAAACATAAAAACTACGAAACGACAAACAGCAATAACAAAACATAATATACCATCACCTTCCATGCCATTCGATCATTCCCGAGTAAGTATTTTACTTATGGAATAATCTTGTAGTTCGTCAAACACGGTATGATAAAAATCATGAACTTTAAAGGTAGTTATATATGATATACATTTCAAAGGCTGTATTTTGTTGTGTATATAAATAATTGTATATGAACAAGTCTAAATTGAAAACAACGTTCAAACCTATGATTGCGTTGGATAGAAACCGCAATTTGTATATGAGTGCATGCAAAACTAATTTTTTGTAGAGGGGTCTAAATATAAATGTATATAATATACATTTCAAAGGCTGTGTTTTGTATCCATTATTACCACAAACTGCAATTTGTACAAATAATCATTATGATATCACACTTACTTGCAGACAAAGCATCTGTATCTGTATTTTTTATCTGTCGTAGGGTCTCTGTAAACATTACATATAAAATGATAAGAATATACATTGGAACGGGGAGAGTAATACGTTTTGTTTCATTTGTCAGATTTACACACATACAAAAAAAAAATGTCAAGTTGGTTTCCGATGTTCAATTTTCAAAATTCAATACAGCATATACACCTCCAAATAATAGCAAAACCTGTGGCAGTCGCATTAAGTTAAAAAGAAACGAAACCGGGTGGGTCGACAGGGTAAGCTTCTCCCGCTGATATGCATGTATCAGCCGTCTTTACAAGTCGACACCGATTCGATGTCACAATAAAGAATCGGAAACCATCGACAAGTTAAGAGGTCCGATGACTGTTCATGTTTCTAAAGATCAAAGACCACGTCAATATATCTCTTGAAACATAGACACAGACAAAACTTGATAATACCCGTACATCTTATGAAGTATACATTTTATTAATGTAAATTTCTTCTGCTAATTCTGTGTATCTTTAAGATGATGTCAGATTGACGAATGCCTCATATCTCATTGAAAAGTTTTAAAAAACCCAGAAACGTTCTATGGTATGGACAGTGTATTTACTGAATAGTAGAACTATTAAAATGTGGAAGAGGGTAATACATTTTGTTATATTGATGAGCAAATTGAAATAAAAATTTTACCTGTCATTTTTATGTTGTCTCATGTTCTCTTTTCTTTTGATAATTTCTCTGAAAAAAATATTTCTCTACAAATTTTATCCAGTTATCATCTGTGTTCATCAAAATAGTCCTGTATATAAAACATAACACATTCGTTGTCAGCTAGTTATAAGTTTTGCATTGAACTGTAATATTTGCACTTCTGGAAAGGGAGGACTGTGCTCTAGAAAAACTAGTTTTCATCCTCCTCCGCCTCATTATTATTATTATTATTATTATTATTATTTTTATTATTATTATTATTATTATTATTACTTTTTACTGATATCGTAAGTCACATTTTTGCTGTAATGCATAACGAGATTTTTAAGAGGTAGACGAATCAGTTTTGAAACTATCAAACAGTCTTGTTATGTACAAAAATAGACAGATTGCTTATATTCTGGCATTTTGTAGTACCTACTTATAGTTTGTGTGAATAGATATGATAGAAATATAATACTCAATAATGAGTTGGGTAAATACATTGTTCCTCAAATCGCAGAGTAACGTTTAATATGACGTAAACGGGCGTAAAATACATTTTTGATATGATATCTTGCTAACAAAAAATCAATTAATATTATTTTCAACGCTTCTCTAAATAATACCCTACTTTCAATCTCTATTAATGCTAACAATATGTGAAAAAACTTATCTTTAACATGTTTAACGAAACCGTGTTTTATTGCTAGCTCTTATCGTATTTTGATTATTCTTGTCCAAGTAGGGGAACAAAGGTAATTTATGGACAGTGTTCAAATAAAAGCAACTGAATACGTATAGAAGGGAAGTTTTGCCTATTTTATAGTAAATGTGGGGAAATAATTTCAATGTTAGGACAACCGAATTGACAATAACACACATTTATGATAAGAGGATCATTTCTATTAAGGGAAATTTTTTTTTATGACATTATTTAGGGATAATAAATTTGTTCAGTCATTAAACATGTAGAGCAGGAACTGCTTACCCTTCCCGTGCACCTGAAATCAATCCCAATTCCAAGTGGGGTTCTTGTTGCTTAGTCTTTAGTTGTCTATGTAATGTTGACTTGTTCGTCTATTCTCTTTTTGCAATGGCGTCGTCAGTTGTTTTCGATTTTTTATTTGCCCCCTTGGTGTCTTCTGTCTCTTTTTTTTTTAAGTTATGAAAATATATGTAATTTGTTCTCTAATCTTAGGGTTGTGTCATGAATGTCTGAAAAGCATGAAATATGTCAAAGATCGTCAAGTTTTATTTCTTAACATCAACAAAATTCCGAAACATTGAAAAAGTTGTAGCATTGAATCTAAAACAACCTCTCATATTCACAAAACAAGTAAAAAAAGCCACCGAGCGACCACTCATTTCATCAAGTCTACATAGTCACGTTCAAAGGCGACAACCCTCCCCCTTTTTTCCTTTCAAATTTTTACTTTTCCCTAAGAAAATTTAACGTTAAACTTTCTAACATCGTATGAAGACCATTCATACTTAATAGATATTTAAACAGTACTTACAATTTTTTAATCAGAATATTGTAACGTTTTGTTTTCCCCGACAGAGTACTATCAAAACCTAATGTACAACAGGTTAGTATTTGCTAGTTTGATTCCATGTCACGCATTGTAATGATGTCGAGGTAAAAACCCGTGATTAATTATTCTTACAGTTTGTTATTTTAAGCATCATCATAATAAAAGTTGATGAAGTGAGTGACGCTTACGCTCTGTATGCAGAAAATGCAAAAATGACAGCTTTTATAATGAGGTAAATATTAAAAATGTACGTCTTAATAGTTGATTCTTCCAACTCCATGTTATCAACTATACAACCAATCAAACAGAGAAAAAGACGTTTTTTTTAAGATTTCGAAAAATCGTTGAAATGTATGCATCACAGAATACAGCTATACTGTACTGCTAAATATTACTAGTAATTGTCAATAAACGTTTGTCAATTTGATTCAGCAAAAATCAACTGACAAGTATATCATAATTGAAAAACACCAAAGGGGTATACAACAGAATATATAGAATAATGGCATTTTTGTTTTTATTAATTACTTTAACAGAAAAAAGAGAACCCGCTGATATCCGAGCAATTTTTCTTATTTTCTTAACTATGTGTTTGTTTGTTTAGGATATTGAATAACATGAAGTAGTTAGTCGAATTGATTTTATGAATAACGTCAAGTGCATTTTATTGATTTGTTTATGTGGGTTGTAATGAAAAAGTGACGTTTTTTCTACATTGTTACCTGACGTCATTGCCTAAAATATTTGAGCAGCAGGTCCTTGATTAAAAAGTTTAATTAGGAAGTAGAATCAACATGAAAGATGTCCAGATTGTCATTAAAGGACACATTTAACGTTAACAAAAAGACACATACCCAAATGCTAATACCCCAAACAGTTTCTCTAATTCAGTTTCTGTTGCCTTTCTTTGATTATATTCGACTGATGGCATAACGGGAACCAGTTTTTCGTCTATCGCATTGATTTCTGACTTTATTTGTTTCAGTCTTTGAAGCATTTTTGTGTTATCTTTTATTCTTTGTGTGTCAACATACATCTTCTGCTGTTCCTTTGCTTTATCCAAAGCGATTTGAAACTCATTGACCATAAATTGTAAAGTCTGCAGATTCTTTGCTTCATTTGATTTTATCGATCTAATTAAAGCTTCAACCTTCTTCTCAATAAGGTCTTTCAATTGTCTGCCTTCTTCCTGAATGACTTGAATGACTTCTTTGACATCTGTCTGGTATTTCTGTGTTCCTTGATCAATTTTGGCTATATTGGACTGAAGGTTTCTTATCTTCGTTTCAATGTTATTCTTTACTGCCGATGTTATTGCTTTGGTTGATTCCTTAATCTCAGATAAATCATGCGTTTTGTGATTTTTTATCGCACATATTTTACAAACTGGAGTATCACATTCCATGCAGTAGTATATGAAATTTTCATCGTGTTCTTTACAGTTTTGTTTAACATCCGGCTTGTTGTCAGGACCACTTTTAAATGTGTGATTTTTGGACATTGATGTCCGTAAATGTGATATTTTACATCCATCGCAAAATAGTTGTTGACATTGTTCGCAATAGTTATCCCCTGGTCCTCCAACACAAATATCACATGTTGAAATAGCAACCTGAGCCATTTGTGTTGTTGTTTACTGGTTGATATGACAATAAATGGAAATCATAGAATCATTCCGGAAAGGAAGCCAGATTACGGATTATTACTGAAGTGACTATAAAAGGAGGTATCACAATCAATATTCTTAAAGTTCGAAATATTCTTTGGCACATCAATACCATGGCATATAATTTGGAACAAACCTACTTTATTTATTTCAAAGTATGATGTAAAGAAAAAAATAATGTTACGGGTATTTAACTGTTCTTTTGAATTTTTGCTACCAAGATAACCATACCGACTTTACTTTAAATGATGAATACGTTAGTTTTATAATTTATAGGTTTTGTGGTGTTGTTTTTTTTAATGTTAAAAGATTTTAATACATATTAATAAAAATGTGTTGACGAGATAAACTGTTTACTGCTTACTTTATATTATCCTGTTTAACCTTATTAAAAGGTTTGGACTTCTTCTTAATATTGTAAACAATGGATCGTCAATCACCTAGATTAATCATTTACCATAAATACATCCATATTTGCTTGTCTTTGACATTTGCTCTTATCGAAATTGATATTGTAATTAGATCATCGTGGTATGAGAATTAAAATCTGAATCAATTTAAACCGTTAAAAGAAAATAAAGTTATGTAAAAATATAAACTCAACAATTCGAACCTTTCATAAATCAAAGCCTTCAAATTGTATACTCTACCGAAGAAAAAAAACTTTAGCACTTTAACTTTGCACAATTATTAAAAAGTCACCAATGATACTAGCCTTGTATAAACCTACAGCTAAAACACGTCATGCGATAAATAAGGTTGATATTTATAGATTTTGTTGAACAGGTAAACCAATTGCTAAACAATTTAATACTGAAGGTCAACGACATAAACATATCGATCTATTTACACACTTCATCAATATTATTAAGTTGTCGAGAGTGCATGTTTTGTTGTTGTTATTATGATCATTAAAAGCTCTTTGTCATAATCATTTTACCTCATCTTCGAGATAGTTTAAAACAATTAAAAGTTTACTAACCTACACAATGCCTGCTTTTCAATAACACATCCTTATTTCTGAATATTAAAAAAAACTAACTAATAAGTTACTAAGTTATACACATTCTTGTGATGTGTTTGAGCTATTGATTTTGCCATTTGATTGCGGACTTTCGATTCTGAATTTTCCTCGCAGTGTAGTATTTTTTATTTTACTTTTAATCCACCATTTTCAGGTTTTATATACATGTTTGGGGCCTGTATAGCTTGCTGTTCGGTGTGAGCCAAGGCTCAGTGTTGAAGACCGTACTTGACTTATAATGGATTACTTTTACAAATTGTGACTTGGATGGAGAGTTGTCTCATTTGCATTCACCACATTTTTTTTTATATCTATATCTTTTCTTTCTATGTTTTCCAATGCATTATTGTTATTCATCTAGCTATTGATTGATTGGCTTTAAGCTTTCCTGATGCAGGTGAGAGATCTTTATAGTGCTGTTTCCATTTTGTTTACCCTGTATTTCTATTTCATGTAATATGTACTTTGTCGAGAAAGTGTATACTATATACTGAATGTACTATTAACTTCAAAAACTTTATTTGTTGTGTATTTCTTTTGGAAATGTATTTAGCAAGTCAGTAATATGACACATGTTTTCTATTCGTTCTGTTGGTTAATAACGTTTGAGCTTGTCAGTTTTTATAGATTTCCCTTATTGGAATTTACCTTAGAGTTCGTTCTTTTTGTTATACTTTTTTACGCGTACATTACTCATGTTACTTGATATACTCTTTTTACTGAACATGTATTCATCATGATATAGTTAACGGCACCAAGTGATAACAGAAGTATTTGACAGTTTTTTAATTATTATATTTTAGGTATGAACAAAATATCTTCTAAACGAATCCAAACTTCCCTTCATTTTACGTCTTATTCTTCGACCTAAAATCATCTCATCAAAACACAAGCAAATGCCTTTAGAAAGTCATACCACTTCTCGAATATTATAGCATGAATCACATTGTAGTATAAAAAACATCATGTATTATTGTCTAATGAATACTTCATCGTATATTAGCTCACTCCATTTTTAAACCTTCAATTTTAGTTTATTTGTATTTATTGATATTGTTTATTTCTCTGTAAACTTGTACCTTTTTTTAATAAAATAAAGTATATATCTATTTATCTAATTAAAATTAGACTAATGCAAAATGTAAAGGAGACACCGCAACGACAAAATACAGCTAGAGGCGAACTGTCTTAGAAAGATACAGGTTATAGATTAATGCAGACTGACATATGATTAAGACACTTTTTATTGTTAAATATATGCTGTCTCCTTGTAGGTATTTTGTAGATAAAGTTGCTGTTGCATTGACGTATACTCTAAGTTTCTCCTTTAATTGATATCAAGACAAGTCACAACTATTTTATTAATAAAATGACTTACATTTTGGGTGAATGCAATATTTTATATACTCATACTATTTTTTATTTTTTTTTAATATTGTTATAAGGTACGTTACCAAAAATGGTATTTTATTAGGAATAACAATGACTGAAAGTACATAACAAATATCTTAAGGGATTAAGGACTTATGATATCGAAATATATCTATTAAATCTGGATCTGCATCATATTGTAACAAAAAGTTTGATACAGTAAAACGAAAGTATATGAGACTTGTTAGTCTTGTTAGTTGTCACAGTTGCATTACTCACCATGGTAGTTCTTTAGGATAATTCTCAAATCAAAAGACATAACTTTTCTAATCTAAAAATGATAAACACCAAGTAAATGAAAAAGCAATATGTATAATATATCAATCACTGTGAAATCCTTATGAATAATCTCACCCATTTATGTCATCACTTTATTGTTGAAATATAATGTTTAAAAAAAGTTATCTTTAGCCAATGAGTAAAATTCTTGTGAGCGTTCAACATTAATATTAAAACCCGTTAAAACAGAGGTAAAACAAAATGTAACTACTAGTTAAAGAAGCAGTCCAACGTCAAAAATTCTTGATGTCCATCAAAATAAGGCGACAGTAGTTCATGTATGGTCAAATCTAGTAAATTAATTAGAAAGAGCAATCAAGGTAATAAACAGCAACTGAGGGAATCGCATGAACTCGGAGAGAAAACAATTATTGTTTATTACCTTGATTCGTCTTTCCTTATCAATTTACAAGATTTAAACATCAGTTAAGTACTGTCGCCTTTACCAAGAACCGTCGTTTATAGTGTCTTTGAAACAGACAAATCTAACAAACTTAACATTGACTATTGAACAATGAAAAAGATGTAGCGGTTAGATGAAACCTGACAGACAATGACGTCACTGCAATTTTTTAATATATATTATATTCTTTTGACTTACTTATATTTAAGACAAAGAGTTTTTAAAACAGACATGCACAACCTTAAAATAATTGCATACAATAAATATATTTTACCTATTGCTTATAATATCTGAGAAACGGACGTTTTCACGAAAATATTTTCTTGGTTACTGTTTCATGAACCTTGTCTGTTTTAAAAATATAGAAATTCACATTACAACCCAAATAATTTTTTCAGCAGTCGTTGAACAAAGTTTATTACGTCAAAACAAGGTGTGACGCATCCATGTCTTTTGATATTCCAAAAAAATAAATAAAAAGATGGGTATGATTGTCAATAAGACAACTCTCCACCAGGGACCAAATGGCATAGAAGTTAACATTTATAGGTGACTGTACGGCCATTTAACAATGAGCAAAACCTTTACTACATAGTAAGCTATAAAAGCCCAAACAATGTAGAACATTCAAATTTTTAAGTTCTGATTTACAACGCTTAACATATATAGTTTACAACGTCGCCGTCGAAAAATATGCATCCCTATATCTAGCACTCACCAATTCTGTTTTTACCCCCAGACGTTTTCCTGCACTGGTCAAATAACTTTCTCTTGACATTAAAAAAAGAGGTTTACTATCATACTAGTGTATTTCATGTGATAAATGCCTATATTTTCAATGTCTTTTTAGTCACTAGACACCAACCAATTTTGAAGAATCTTTAACAAAAAATAAGTAGTGAATTTTCTTAATATTTTGTGTAGTTTAAAAAAAACCAAAAAGAACCTTTAACACTGTAAAAACACCTGTTACATGTATTTCCTCATACATAACTGAGCAAACAAAAACCATGTATGATATATACCCTAGAAAAAGTAGTGTATTGCGGTCCTTACTATTTCATGATCAACATTTTAGAGTATCACAATACTAGAAGGTTACTTGTATGATGTACACATCTCTTACCCACAACTCCTTATTACAAAAATCAGCAAAACTGAGTAACAGAAAGTGTGGTATGGTATAAACTGTTTTCTTTTGGATCCCTGCACGAAGGTTAGGGAAATATATCTTCTATCTCGTATCTTGTAGGCTAAAAATAATATTATTTTGGATGAATTTTCAATAGGAGCAATTCGAATATTTTTTTTATGAAAAAAAGGTACATTTCAAATGTTGTGTGATTTATTTCTTAAAGAGAAACTATCTCGGGAATGAACTGGTCATGTGACGTACTTTCAAAAGGGAAACACTTGAGAGAAAAGATATGCAAATATTCGAATAAGTGAAATCAATAATCAAAGGTTGATAACATTTTTCCTTGTAAGGGGGTAATGCCAGGGAGCAAACATTGATCTACTGTGACTTTCATGATAACACACCCAGTCATTGTGCAATATTTTATGGTGAAGATCATGAACAATTTTTGAGAGCCTTTTTTCTGATGATTTCTTTTTCTTTTTTGGTCATATTCAATCAACAGCTTCCTATATGAACAAACATCACTTGTCATTGATCATCGTGTCTGTAGCTGGACTTTGCAGATACTATTTTGTGTGTTTTACATCATATTGTCCAGCTAAGCATTTTTTTATTAAACGTACATAAAAACATACTATACTAAACAACCTTCCAGTGTTCTTGCATCAGCTCTTCCGACTTTTATTATATTGGTCTACGATAAGGAAATAATTATGAACAGTTAAATCTTTATATTTGCATATATAATCAAGATACAGTTGTTCACCGCGCAACTTGAACAATGAGCAAAAGCCATATCGCACAGTAAGATATAAGAGGCCTCGAATGACAAATGTAGAACAATTGAAATTTCTAAGTTCTGAGTTACAACGCTTAATTAAAATACACAGTTAACAAAATTGCCGTCGAAAAGTATGCATCACTATATCAGCTCGCACTCGCCCATTCTATATGTTAACCCAGACCTGTTCATTCACTGGCCATATATGTTTCTCTAGAAATAAAAAAAGAGGTTTACTATAAGGCTAGTGTATCACATGTGATAAATGTCTATTTTATAATGTCTATGTAATCACTAGAAACCAATCCATTTTGAAAAAATCTTCAACAAAAATAAGTAGTGCATTACTTAATATGTTGTGTAGTTCGAAACAAAAAAAGAAGAAAGGAACTTAAGCATTATTAAGAAACCATTTACATGTGTTTTTTCATACACCACTGAGCAAACAAAAACCATGTTTGGTATATACTCTATAAGTAAAAAGTAAAATAACAAAATTACTGAACTCTAAGTGAAATTCAAAAAGGGAAGTCCTTTATAAAATAGCAAAATCAAAAGCTAAAACACATCTTATGAATGGAAAGCAATTGTTATATTCCTTACTGGGTACAGGCATTTCATTATGTAGAAAATGGTGGATTACACCTGATTTTATAGCTAGCTAAACCTCTCACTTATGACAGTCGCATAGACTTCCATTATATTGACAACAATGTGTGATTGTATTGCGATCCTTTCTATTTCATGATCAATATTTCTGAGTATCACAATACTAGACGGGTATTTGTATGATTCCCCTCTCCCCCCCCCCCCCCAAAAAAAAAAACAAAAAACAAAAAAACCGTACACATCTCCTTCCCACAACTCCTTAGTAACGACCTTGGAAAAACTTATTAACATGAAGCGTGGTACGGTATAAACTGTTTCCTTTTAAATCCTTGACTCTTCCCCTATACAATGGTAAGGGAAATATATCTTCTATCTCACTTGGTTGCATAAATCTTGTTGTGAAATCACTGCTGGATTTGAATAATGTTTTTGTGTAGGCTGGAAATATTATTATCTCAATTTTGATGAGTTTTTAATGAGAGCAATTCCAATATATTTTTTTTATGAAAAATGTTGAATTTTGAATGTTGTCTGTGTGGTTGTTTTTCTACAAGAAAGACCATCTCGGGAATTAACTTAGTTATGTGACGTACTTTCAAAAGGGAAACACTTGAGAAAAATTCCTGCAAATATTAAAAAAAGTGAAATCAATTACCAAAGTTTGATAACATTTTTTCCCTCCTAGGGGATAATGTCAGGGAGCAAACATTGATCTACTGTGAGTCTAGTGATACTATCCAGTAGCTAGTAGCCTATGATCAAGATCATGAAACTTGTTGAAAGTTGTGTTTCTGAGGGGTTCCTTTTTCTTGTTCGGTCTTATTCAATCAACATCTATGGCGAAATTAGCAAGCTTCCTATAGGAACAAACATATTTTGACCCCAATTTTTAAATCATGTGCCTTTTTTTTATTTCCTTGTTCATCGTGTTGTTGTTTTGTGTCTTTTCTAGCTAAGCTTTTTTTCTTGGTTTGTTCACAAGTTAATACTTCGTTAACCCTACCACATTGTGTGCCTTTACCAAGTCAGACTATTTTGACCATGTGTTATTTATGTATCCTTATTGTTTTATGTCTGTTTTCCGAAAAGAGGTATTCGTTGGTAGTTGATGTAGTATGTAGTACTGTTAAATATTTTTCGTACTTTTCGTACTCCATTTTATGTGTTTTACTAATATGTTTACTACGTAATCAGTATTCCAAACATTGGAAGTAGTAAACGTTTTTTTGTTGTTGTTGTCGTAACTGTTTATTGCGCAGTTAGTAATTTTTCGATTTTGTTTTGGTTTGCAACGGCAGACGGTTTTTTAGAGACCCTGTCAGACTGAATAATTTGTCATACCGTTCTCTCAATTATTATATAGTTGCATCGAACATATTGTTGTCCAAAAAAAAAAATTGCAAACCAAAATATATGTTGAATATAGGAAAAAAGAAAAATTGGTTCTTAATATTCTAATAAACGCAAAAATGTCTATGTTGTACATCTACACATGAAATCAAGTAAAGCAGTCGATATTAATCCATTACCTACAGGTAAAAATATTTAATTTTTTGAACTGCATAGAAACATTTAATTTCAAAACAATTTCTAAACTTCAATTAAGTTATCTATTCATTTTGACTTGACAAGTTAACTTGTATCATCCGCCCTTCTACCCTGTCATGCAAAAATCAAAAAAGAATTAAAGCAGTAAAACTTTATTAAACATAATTCTAGCAAATTATGAATCCTTTACATTTCCCATATAAACATTAATAAGTTAAATCATTGTTAGTAACGTACAAAAAAAATGTGTCCAAAACCTTCACATTATTCATGATTATATAATGAGAATGAAAAGATGTTAAAAGCACTTCAACTTATCATAACACAAATTAAACACCATAAAAACAACTAAAATCTTAGTAGTAATTTAAATCAAGGAATATCATGAATATATCATGCAAAGCTCTGATTCCTTGCCCGAGTTCTTGCTTTTTGTTTGTCCTTTTTGGTTTATAAGCGCTTCATTGTTTTTCATAGGCTTTGGATTTTCAAATATGTTGGCCTTGAGCATCACTGAAGAGACATTTATATTCGGAGTGCACATCTGGTGCAGAAAAATTGGTAGCGTTATTAATGTTAGTGAAATTTATTAAATAAATGTAGGTGGGATTTGTAAATTTATAGACATTCAAATACTATAAAGGTGCTACTCACCAGAAGGTCCTTTAAATAATAATATAAACTTTCAACTGTCAAATTGTGTATTTTACAAAATTGGTTTTGTATACCAATCATAATTATGCTGTTGGGGGACCATCCAAGTTTAAAACAAAGCAAAAAAAATAAAGATTACAGGATTTAAATTTTGAAATATAACTCTGATATAAAAAAAGAGATGTAGCATGATTGCCAATGTGACAACTATCCACCAGAGTCTTCAGAAGTGATGATACAACACTATATGTATCTTTAAGGCTTACTAGATAGAAGTGCACAGAAAACAGTTTACGGTGCTCTAGAATAATTAAGCCAAAAGTATAACAAAAATTCCGAACTCCAAGGTAACTAAAAAAAAGGAAGTCATAAAAACGAACAAATTTAAACGTTATCAACCAACGGAACGTTTGAAGAACAACGTTTTCCTTTTTTACTTTTGGCTTGTTACAGACATTTTCCGAAGAAAATGGGGATTAAACGTAGTTTCATAGCTAGCTAAACCTCCCACTTGTATGACGGTTGATAATTTTGTTTTATTGACAAAATTGAGTGAGCAACCCAAACAGACATTATAGGTTAATGTGAATAACTGGGTTCAAGAAGCCAACATTGTGTAAAGAAATATCACAGACATACAACGCAACTGACTTCAAAATTCAAACAAGCATACACATAAATCTAACAAAGACGTCGACAAAAAAGGTATGGTAGTTGATAGTAATTTTGAAAAAGACGCCAAAAAAATGTTTTTGTAGTTGATAGTACATACCGTATACAGTATACACTTTCTCGATAAAACACACATTACGTAAACTATAAATACACTGGTAAGCAAAATGGAAAACCCCCCTGTAAAACATGTAAAAACCTCTTGCCTTTGATTAAAAAGTTGTATAAAAAGCATTTATAGGTAACAAGTAAGCACATGATTTAACATTAAACTGATAAAAAGAAAATAAAATTAAACATTTTTTCTCCATATCTGTACAATTACCAGGGTTGTAATAAAAATGATATGAATAACCACAACAACAAACAAAATATGCTTTGAAAATTATGGTTACAAGCTTATATTTCAAATAAAATCCAATGTGTTCATGTCTTTATACCAACACCATCAAATGCTCAGATATCTTCAAAACTTAATCAAATGAGTCTTTTCAAATAACTAGTCGAATTCTATTGGCCTTCTAGGAGCGTTACAATTTTTCTGTTCCAGATGTTGGTTGACATGTCGTTGGAATTCTTCGTCAGTAAAATTGTCCATTGTATTGTAACACAACGGACATATTCGACCAACATGACCAATAACATGTTCCTCAAAACTGGTGTCAGTGACATCAGCTGAAAAAGTACTGGAACACACTGGACATATCTTCATCTTTTCACCTGGAGCATCAACATACCTGTCAACAACAGAATAATAACGTAATTACTATTTAATTTTAATATCAATGCCACTATGTGAAGTAATTCTCCAATGCATCATTTCAGAGTCATGGGTAGTGTTTGTGGATAATATGTTTAGTATAAATAATGTTATAGTAAATTATTTCGTAATATGAAAGTATATTCTCCTATTTAACAAAGTAAGAAATAAACAATTAACATCTGAGTTTGTAATCAACGACATACCTATCAGATTTTATGATTATTTCTTTAACCTTTTCCAGTCAGGGGATTGTAATACTACATGGGTATCTTCTTGATACTGGGAAAAATATCTGTATTTCATATATTCTTTCAGCAGTTCTTGTATAAGTAACAATACTTATAGAATAACTAATTGAAGAATTCAAATCGAGAAAAATATTCAACGAGTGACCGAACAACACATTAATTCACGAATGCGCGTAGCGCATGAGTTAATTATCAGTGTTGTTCGGTCACGAGTTGAATATTTTTCGATATTTGAATTCTTTGATTAGTTATTCTTTTTATTACATTGGCAAATGTTTTTTTAAATGAAATTAATGTAGAAAATGTAAGGAACTATATTTTTTTTCTACGCATTCACAATTTGTTTTGATCCGACGTTATCGACGTCTTGACAACGCCTATTGTTGTATGACGTCAGACAGTGAAATAACCACGTTTATTTCACATGTGAAATTATCGGTTTTTATTTGACTGGGAAATCAATGTAATTTATTGCTACCAATGTAATAAAATTATTTATTATTCATAAGAATGAATAACGGTCCTATATATAATTATAGTAGTCAAATGCGACACAAATAAAAAAAGGAAAAGGATTTGACAAAAATACATTTAATAGATTCCTTACATCCTATTATTTTTAATCTTACTAATTTCAATTATGTAAATATTGATAACCCTCAACAGCTAATGATATCTTAATCTGAGAGGTAAGTTGTATTTGCATCAATCATATTCCGAAATATATTTGAATCTTATTTGTGACGTTTACGTCCAATGAGTCAAAAGTACAGATCCGTCATCTGTCATTAGAAAAAAAAAAATTAACGGCTGACTAATAGCTAAATTAGTAAATATACAAGTACCAGTACTGCACAAAGTTTTTGACGTAGGACAAGTTGATGTTATTATTACTTAGATCTCAACCCCGATTTCTTTTTTGAATTTCAACTCAACTTTGTAACATATGTTTCTATTATTCAACTAAGCAGGGTCCGGAATGTTTTTGTAGTTTACCTTCATGTATAAAAAAGGAGAGGAGGTTTGAATGACAAAAGAGACAGATTTCCACCAGAGACCAAATGACGAGGAAATTAGTACCATAGATCACTGTACAGCTTTTAACAATAAGCAACACTCACACCGCATAGCAAGCAATATGAAAGGCTCCAACATGACAAATACAAAACAATTAAAACGAGAAAACGACATCATGGAAACTATTGTGCTTAAACCAGTGCCATGGTCTTTAAATTGTAGTTCAATACACAACATGGAAAGACCTGCTTTTACTTTGAAATGAAGAATAACTATAAAAGCGCCGTTAATTTGTCTTTGTTTTGTATGTGCAGGTAGGAATTGTCTATCATGAATTGAGGAATAATTACAACTATTCACACAAGATCTACCGAGATTAGTCTAAATTGGAACCAAGTATGACTTTTTTTTATATTTCTACTTGATGGAATTAGTACTTTGGCCTTCTTATCACGATGGAAAAAAAAATAACATGAAAGAGATATCCCTTATTATTTTCAATTAACTGAAATAAGTTGCTGCTATAGGGCACTTATGATTTTCCCGCTATTGTGTTTGTTGAACAGGAAGTTTACGAGTCTTTGATGTAAAAACGATTTGCATGGCTCAAATGAAACTTGACACCAAATTTCAGAAAGATTTGTATTCCATAAGAAAATAAATGTTACAATGTATGATACTGATGGACAGAACAATGGACAGACATAAACCAGTATACACACCCCGATTTGTAACCGGGATAATTCATTCGTCAGTGGTGCATTGTAGAAAATTTAGGTATTTAATCTTTTGTCGTCTGTACATTTATATTGTTACATTTATGAATTATGTAGTGTATTTTTTCAATGTTAAGACTTGTATAATCTAACTGGCATACACTAATTATGGGAAATACAAATGATAACTCAACATAGTAATTCTAATTTCAAAAAAGGCGGAAAATAATTTTAAAAAGGCGGAAACTACCAAAGGAACATTCAAATGTAATTAGTTATGTTTTTTATCATGTATGTTAAACATGTGTACTCTTTATAAGAACCTGATGACACTGTAAACGAAATGCTTTTTACTTCAGGGTTAGGCATTATTACTGACAAAAGTTATCGATTGATAATCAATCACTTAAAAGAATTTTGGCTATTCAATTAAATATCGATTACTTCACTGTAAGATTTGTTTTCATCTTAAATAATTATTGAATTTTCGATTATTCTCAATTGAATGCTACAAAATTAAAAAAATATATTTAACATTAATGAGAGGTTTATTGACTATTGTGTATTTGAATGTTTTAAGTTTTCTCGGAAAAAATATATATAAATAGATAAACTAGTTTGTTCACTAAAATGTAAAGAGGGAAATTTCACAGGTAAAAACACTGTGAATGGAGTGAAACTAGTAACATATGAAAATACAATATAAATCTCAATACAATCGATTCAATTTTTGGACGTAGAAATATTGATATGAAGACATTAACCTTTTATTGTTTAAAATGAATTTATACCTAACATTTTCTTGTTGTTTCGGGGTTTCTTCTCTTTTTACAGTTTCTCTGAAAACAAATTGTAACTTCTCAATAACTTTCTATCTATAATTTCAGGTGTGCATCAACATTTTAATGTTTATGAATCATACTGCATTAGCTGAGTTCAAAAAATATAAATGCAAGGTATTTTCTTAACTTCCATTTACATAACTGCTTTAATTCTACCTCATAAATTCATCCGAATTTAAAACATTTCTTATCTATCTACATATCTAAATAAAGGCCAAGTCAGAATGTAGGCTTTGTTTGCTCGCAGTAATTTATAATTTTCCTTGCCATGCAACATGTAATAAAGATAACAAAAAAAGAAAACATTACAAACATCTTCAAACAAAAACACACCTAGTTATTCTAAGCTAAATCAATATCAAATAATGTAAATGATATACTATGCAGACCGTGTTGTACTTAGACGTTACTGTGATCACCTCGATATCTACTATACAAGTATTGGACTTATATATAATTATAAAACCCCACCGTAATACCGACAAAGAAATATCCGTGCAGTACTAACACGATACATACTATACAAGTATTGGACTTATATATAACTATAAAACCCCACCGTAATACCGCCAAAGAAATATCTGTGCAGTTCTAACACAATGACTTATAATTAAATACCAATTAGACTAGTTCTACAAACTAGATCCACAGTTTCCAAAGATATAAATCGAACAGGGAAATTCAATTTATAGCAGAATAGAAATAAATTGATCTTTGTTCTTTGCCATCAAGCAAGATTAAATAGTGGACTTTGTACTAAGCCAAGAAGTTTAAGGTGCAATAGCTCGTCGGTGATCGTTTTAAGATATTAAGCATTTCTCCTCAACATAAGACTGATAATAACTATCTAGTAGTGATTAAATCTAGGCAAGGTTTACATTTTCTGAAAATGCAGCATTCCAGGTGTTGATTTAAACTCATTAAATATACCAGTCTTATAATTTGATGCGCAGGTTGCGCAATTTGTATAGATATTCAAAGTTTATGACTTTTAGACATTGATACCCAATAAATTAAGACAAACTCACCCGAATGTTAAATCTCCAAGCAGTTTTTTTATTTCGCCTGCTGGTGCTCTGTTTTTAACATAGTTTACCGACGGCATGTTAGGAACCTGCTTTACTTCTACATCAGCGATTTGTAACTTTATCTGTTTCAGTTTAAGAAGCAATTTAGATGTTTCTGTTATCTGTGTTGTGTCTCGATATATCTTGTGCTGTTCATCAGCCTTATCAAAAGCAGTTTTAAATTCATTGCCAATTGACTGTAAGGATTGAAGTTTTGTTGCTTGTTTCTCTTTCACTGATCTGATAAGATCTTCAACTTTTGTATCAATTAGCTTCTTCAACAGTATGCCGTCTTCTCTTATGGATAGAATGACTGCATTGACATCACATTGATATGCATTTGTTCCTTGGTCGATCGCCATTATATTTGTTTTTAGTTTGTTCAACTTCATATTAATCTCTCTTTCAACTTCAGCTTTGTATTTTTCAGTTAATGTTTTAATTTCAGAAAAATCATGCTTTTTGTGATTTTCAATTACACATATTTTGCATATTGGCGTATTACATTCTTTGCAGTAATAGATAAAGTTTTCATCATGTTCGTTACAATATTGTTTACCTTCCGGGTTTATATTTGGGCCACTTAGAAATGTGTGGTTTTTGCTCATCTTTGTACGTAGATGTGATATTTTACATCCATCACAAAACAACTGGTCACACTGTTCACAGTAGTTATGTCCAGGACTTGAAACACAAATTTCACAAGTTTTGAAAGCGGCCTGCGCCATTTTATGTTTATATTGTTTTCAAGTAGTAATATGAAACGGTAAATTTAAATCGTACGGACAGGATATTATTTTCCGGATCGTATCTAGATTTTCGTTTGATTCAATGTGACATTATAACAAATTCTACCGTTTATTGTATTTACTCATTTTGATCATTATTACATGTAACTTTATATTTCCAAGTGAGATTGGTATGTATTTCCTTTCAAGACTTTCTTTTTCACATTTTTAATGTTTGTCATGGGAGTCATTTCTTGTGCCGTTATAAATATAATAAATGTTTAAATAGTTGAATTAATAATATTGTACAACCTACTTGTTATTCAATACTTCCTATAAAGAAAAAAGTAATGCATACTAATTATGGATTTAAAAGAAAATAACAAAAATACCGAACTCCGAGGAAAATTCTAAACGGAAAGTCCATAAGCAAATGGCAAAATCAAAAGCGCAAACACATCAAACGAATGGAAAACAACCGTCATATTTCTGACTTGGTACAGGCATCTGGTTTTATAGCTAGCTAAACCTCTCTCTTGTTTGACAGTTGCATACAATTCCATTATATTGACAACGATGTGTGAACAAACCAAACAGACATAACAGGTAAAAATGTCAAAAATAGGGGTACAGCATTCAACATTGTGTTATAATCTTAATCACGATAAAAACTAACAAATATATAAGCCGTTACAATTCATTTCACTGGAACATGTAGTCTGGTTTGTAATTCATTGCAATGTAATGTGATTGCTGTCTAATTAAATTTTATTCTTATCTAAATTAATTCTAATCAATTATGGGTTAATGGGATATCGGCTGAAATAAAAATTACAGATGACAAAAGTATAATTATAAAATGAAGTAGAGCTGTTATTACCCGGGTAGTAAACTTATCTGGCTATAATTCTATATGCTAATTTATTAAGTCATCCAAATTGTCGCTTAGGAAAGTTACCTCTGCTCTCCTCGCCTATATAGCGATAAACCGTTATTTGACATTAAAATGTATCATGCGATACACTGCCCCAGAAAATTAAAGATGTATGTAACAAGTAACACAATTGTTTATCAATTATGTAACAGGGAACTACGCATGTAGATCGATGTGTGTATTTGTTGAGCGTATTATGTAACAGGAAACTTTTAATCAATAATTACACGACAGGTGTCAACTACATACACATGTCGATCTATTTAGATATTACATAATCTTTATAGCAAAATTAAACCCATCAGGGTCAAAGCAATACAAACAAACACTACAATTAAACAAAATGTAACCCTTCCAAAAAGATGATTTGATAAATTGATTAACGAAAAACAAAGTTGACTTAGATAAGTTACATGAAAACTGAATAAACTTACTTATAAACATTAGTTATCGTAATATCTCTATCTATACAATATCATAATGACCAGCAAATAAATCACAACACTATTTGGTTTCTTTACTGTGTTTTTATTTAAATAAAATTTTCTTCTATTTTAGCGACACATATTGTTTACTAACGTAGTCGATAGCAACAAGAAAGTAATTCACATTTCACAATGTGAGTATATTACTGTAAGGTGTCTACATATGTGTGACAAAACCAAGAGTTTGTTCAGTGTAGTTGCTTTACCATATGTGTGACACAGCCAAGGATGTGGTCAGTGTAGTTGCTACACCATATGTGTGGCACAGCTTGGGTCTTCTCGTTTAAATATTCAATGTTTAGAGACAATACGAATTATGTCTTTTAATTAACATATACAATGTTTAGAGACTATATAGATTATGTCTTTTCATCAAAATATTCAATGTTTAGAGATTATATAGATTATGTCCTTTCAATAAAATATTTACTGTTAGAGACTACATAGTGTCTTTCATTAAAATGTTCAATTTTAGAGACTATATTTTTGGAGACTATATAGTTGATGTCTCTTCACTAAAATAGTCAATGTTTCGAGACTATATCGATAATGTCTTTAACTAAAATATTCAATGTTAAGAGACTACTTAAATGCTGTCTTTTCATTTAAATAATCTATGTTTAATGACTATGTTGAAGATCTATCCAATCGAAACAAAAAATACCACAGATACAATTAAGCCTGTCTCTTAAAATGCAGGAATATTTGATTGACATCAACTATGTTTAGTTTGATGTATTAATATTTCAGCAGACAGTCGGCATTTCAATGCGTATTTATTGTGCACTAATACTGGCAGACTTGTTTGTGTACTCAAATGAAGAAGAATCCATACGGATCCTTCTAAAAGTGAATCTTTAATTGTTTTCAAATTTCACTTTCAAAATGATTGACTTTGATCTGTCACTCAATACTCCACAATTCTATGAACGTTTACATGTCATATACCTCAGTGATCTTGAAATTAGGGATGCCACCGAAAAAAATATTTATTGGAGCTTTTGCTTATTTCTTGATCTGTTCCTCGATATTGGCATAAATGGAAATATTCAAACTAGAATCTATGACAAACGTTATGACATCAATTTTCCAATTGTCAATATACCCATTTTTCAGCAGTAACAATCCCTCTGCTCCATCATATGGCGTTTACATATCTTAGTTAATACGTTACGCAGGTACATGTTGACACTATATATGGACTTTATTAACAGGAGTAGAAAAATATGCTCCAATAGAGTTATGAAGAAGAACGACTGAAATCAACGCTATATAACAAGCAATACGATGTGTCGGCGTTTCAACTCACTAGCAAGATGTTCTCACGGTCTAAGAGTTTTGATTATTAGTATATTCCTTTCATCAGTAATATATACGATCGCGTTCTATTACCGATTGTGACAGCATGTAGAGCAGGTGACGTTTACTCTGTCGACGCACCCGCCTTCACTCCATTTGGATTTCAAGTTTCTATTCCTACCTTGATTTTTCTCTTTTAATCGATTTATAGTCCTGCAGATCGGTGACAAAATTGTCAGTTTGATTATAAAAGCACCAAATTTGCATGGTATTAGTTCTGGGTGTTTCAAACAATATTAGCTATGGACCCACCTTGAAATTTCAATATGGCGGCTATTTCTATGATGGCCGTCATATAATATCAAAATCAACATATATGACTTTTATAAGGACACATTTAAGATCAAATTTGCCATAGTAATAGTGATGGGTGTTTCGAAAAATATAAGCTATGGATCCAAATTGAAATTTAAATATGGCGGCTTTTTCCAAGATTACCGCCATAAGATATCAAAATCAACAGATATCACTTATAGAAGGCTACCTTCAGTAAAACTAAGTGCCCTATAATACCAAGTGTATGTCACATTTATATACTTAAGCCCAATATCAAAAGACGTGTGAGGAAAGTATAGAATAAAGGCAACAGTAGTATGCCGCTGTTCAAACGTCATAGTCGATTAAGAGAAAACAAATCCGGGTTACAAACTAAAACCGATGGAAACACATCAACTATAAGAGAAAAACAACGACACAACAGAAACGCTGAACTGCAACAAAAACAAACGCCAACATATATATAAACGGAATATTTGATAACAACTGCCATATTCCTGACTTGTTACAGGACATTTTAAGAAAAAATGGTGGGTTGAACCTGGTTTTATGGCTAGCCAAACCTCCAGCTTATGTGGCAATGTTAAAAGATATATCGCTAAAATGACAACACTACGTGACAGGAATACAGTACAAACAAAGACAAGAACACTGAGCACGGAAAAATGCATAATATAATAGTACATTACAATATTTAAAACGCAGAATAACAACGGACTTCTGCCGTGAATTAACGACAGCACAGGACACCAGAAAAAGTGACGTATTTTTGTGCATAGAAAATCGTCACTACGGTAAAATTATTGCAGAACAGTAGTCTACAACGAGGGATCACCTATAGACATTGGCGTTATTCCATTATTTAAGCTAGACTTAACGAGAATGTAAACATCTCTACTCGAACAGTTTTCTTTGTGATCAACTGTAAGAGGATAGTAATAATGTAACAAATTGCAGATGCTCGCTTCTTCTGTTAAATGATTATGTTGGTGTTAAACAAGCAACCTCCAAAATATGTTTGTATGACAACGATACTTGAAAAAGCTGCACATGCAGGTAGTTCAAAAAGACATGATGTAGGCAAAAGTCTTTTCCACAGTCATTACAACATTAGTTGATAATCGTTTGGCCAAATATTGAGATGCAGTCGAGTTATTCTATTGAGGCAAATACGACACCGTCCATTTCAAAGTTACTTATGTTTGTTTTCTCTATTCTTCTTTCATATTACATTTAACTGAACTTAAACCATTTCTTTGTATATAGGCCTTCTTCTGGATGCTAGGACCAAGACATGAGATGCCAAAATGACTAAATGTACAGTTTATTATGAACATACTATCTGTCAATTGTCTTGCCAGAAATGCATGTATGCCAACCTGGTATAATTAGTCAATTGTGCAACCATATCCTTACATGGTATAAATAAGTTAACAAAATGATAACACAGATGGCTTGCAGAAGAAGATTATGAAAGCATTAAATATATTTTGACAGCATTTAACGTGTGTAGAGCCAAGAAAAATGGTCATTCGCCTTTATATATCGGCCTGCATTGGCCAATGTTTCAGGAAGAGATCAAATATGTCACAACAATTCGAGATTCCATGAATACATTCCAACAATGTCTTAATTTTTTTGCGAGACATGTATCAAGTATCACTTGTGATCAACAGATTTTTGCTTCTGCAAAATCGGAATAGTGGAACTAGGCAAACACATTTCTAGCAGAACAAAGAATACAGTTTTGGTAAAGGTCTTCGTATAGAAATGGCATCATTGAAAACCTTATGTGATTAGTTAGAAAACAGTGGTTGAACAAGTGTTAAATCAAGGAAACGTAGTACTTCATGAACAGCAGATTCTTGTTTAGAGGCTCGCATGCATCATGAACAAGACATTTTCATGAGGTTACAGTAGGTGTACATTTAATTCTTATGCAAAGATACTGACATAA